TATGAGGGATTCGATCAGCCAATTCACATAGATGACTATAATAATTACATTTAACTTCTAACATATCAAAGAATATTATTATAGTAATAAAATTTCCTATTAATCTCTCTCTATCAAATCTGACTGTGTTTATTAATTCAGTTGAAAGAATCATTTACCATAAAGGATCAATTTTACATACTAAAAATTTTGATTTACTTTCTAATAAAAAATTAATATTTGCAATTATTTATTATAAGATTTCTTTTTTATTTGATAGATTTTAACTAGAATTATCAATTACATATTCTAATGAAGACTTTAATAATCTAATTTATAAAGGTTTTTCACATTCATCTAAAAGGGATAGAAGATTGACCATATTTAATTAATTCTCAATAAGTGCATAAGTTCTAGGATTGAGTCCCAAATTAACAAGAGAAACTACTTATTAATGTGATGTATCTTATTATATTGATTCTTTTTTATTTACAATTTATTCAAATATTCTTATGGCTTCATTATTAATAAGTACTTCATGAACTTCCTCTGTAAATGTTGTATTAGCTAATAAAATTTAGATTTATTCCTTTAAAACTTTTGATGTACCACTTTCAAAAAATAGTTTATGTAATCTTTTAAGAATATCTTAACTTGCAATCCATGTATGTAAATCTTAATTTAAAGATAAATTAGCTAATAATTATACAATTCTTTTAGTTGTAGATTCATCATGTTCTGATAAAAATATTTCTTTAATTAATTAAAGAGTTTTTTCATATTTAGGCATAATTAATTAAATTTCTTTAATATATGTTAAATTAACTAATATTGTTAATAATAATTCTCTATCAGGTGCCTAAGTGAGATTTAGATAAGCAGTTCTATATTTGATCATGAAATCTTCTATATTTAAAAAGGTTTCAAAAAAATCAAAGGAATGTTCATGATAAGCAAGATTAGCAAGTAATAATAATAATGATGATCTGAATCTTTATTCTTATTATTCCAATTTTTCATAATTGTGATGTAATAGATCAAATATTTTAATCATAACTGGATAATTGGATTTAAATGTTTATAATGTTTTCTATGATTCAACCATAACACAGAAAATAGATAAAATAAGTCCTAAAATCTCTTAAGATGTAAATTTGATAAACATTTTCTATATATCTTATAGACATTCAATCATAATAAGATTGTCTTCAATTTCTGAATAATGTTATAGTACCATATTATGCATGACTTTGAGAAATGAGACTACAACATAATCAGGTTATGTTGGATCAAGTTAATCTTCATTTTCTTAAATTGATTATCTTAATTAATTTACTAAAGAAGGAATATCTTTTTCTTTTTTAAGAATATCAGGATCTATAAGCATATTGGAAAGAGTAAGAAAACATAAAATAGTAATATGTTATGGTCCTTTTTATTCTTTTATATAAACTTTAACAAAATTTAAAATGTCACTTCTTGCTATTGCTTTAATTAATCCATAATCTGATTTTGTCATATTAAGAATACAAATTAAAACAGGGTAACATATTTGAGGATCTTATTTTTCTGAGAAAGTAACTTATTAGAGATGATCAAAAATATTGGCATATATTTCATCACTAAATATTTTAGGTTTAAATGAAGGATGTGAACTCAAATGTGCTAATAAACGTATAATATCAGTTAATTTAATATTATGTTTCTATTGACGTAATTTAAATATAGATGTAAGAATCTAAGCTTCAAAAATCTAATTAAGAATTTCATTTTCTTTTGATATATTTGCTAATAATGAACAAAAATATTAAGAAATATTTAAGAATGAAAGATCTTATTACATTTTTTCACTTAAAAATGGTACTATCTTTGATTATTTGAAGTACTCAAGAGAATGAGGATTATAAGACATTCTATTTAAAACATATACTCTTAATGGTAATGATTCCTCATCATCCATTTCATAATCAGGATCAGCCAATTTAACAATTACATTAAGTATATCTGATGGATATTTATCAGACATTGAAATTAGAATATTTATACTTTCTAACAAACTTCTAAAGAAATAACTCTTATTAGATAAAATCAATTCCTATATTATTTAAGTAGCTCCTTATTTAAAGATTTCTGGTAATTTCTCTTATAAATTTGGTATCTTTAATAATTAACGTATAAATGTAAAGAGATATGTACGAAAATCAAATTCAGGATCTTTTTCTTAATTATTTGTTAACATAACACAAATATCTCTCATAACTTTAATAAATTTAAAATTTAGTAGTTTTTCTAAATTATTTAAATTTAAAGACAAATTCATTATAGCAATACTTAAAAATGTAGCATTTTATGGTTTTAAATCATTTGTGTTATTACTTTTGAATACTTTATTAGCTATTGTTTAAAGTAAATGATCATGTGCCATAACAGTTTCATGATATATTTATTATTCTGATAATAACATGAAAGCAAACATTCCTAATTGTTGTGCATCTTATTCATCACCTTTTAATACTTCATGAGCAAGAAAACATAAATGATTTATTATAAATGCCTTTGGACGTTTATGAATTATAATATTAACAAAAAATCTTAAACCTTCTTTCAATATTCTTCTTTCTCTTGTAAGAGAATATTTTGCAACACTCTCACAAATTGATTTTCTAGCTACTTAAGATAAAGAAGATTCCATTCTACTTATTAATACAAAACTTTTAGCAGCTATATAAGCATGAAAGTTATCACTTTATGACATTAAATATAATAAACATTCAGTTCCTTATTCATTAATAAATTATTTTTGAAATTCTTCATTTATTGATAACATCATCATTATTGATAATAATATCATTCTTTTTGTTTCTCTATTTGATTTATATATAGAATTAACTAATGATTTCATGAAACCTTTCTGCAAAATTAATTTCTTACATTCTGGAACAACTGATAAAGCACTTAAACAACGAGATAGATATCCTCTTAATTCTTCATAATCTTTTTAATATAATAAAAAGAGACAATTCAATATATCTTATTAAGCTAAATCAGTTATGAGATTACTATTAGTACTAATGTTAGTGAAAATAATAATTATTGATTTAATCAATATGATATCAGTTGCAGAATAAATTAATTTTAAAATAATAGTTTTTTCTGGATCTTTAAGAAAATTTTATTAATAAGTGTGATCAATTGAAATATTTGCTAAAGTATTTGCAGCAGCTCTTAAGACTGCATGATTAGAAGGATCTGATAATTCTAATATATGTATTAATAATTTTATATTAATATTACCAATATATTTATGAAAGTTTTATGAGCATGATAGATTACTAAGTGAAAGTATACTATATATCTTACATGCTTTTTCATCTGAATTTAATGAGTTAACTAATAAATCAATCATACCCATATTAATTAAATTCTGAAGATATTTTGGATTTAAAGAAATACATGAAATTATTTTAAATGCTTACTATTTAATTTTTTAATCCTTACAATCCTTTAAGATTTAATACATCAATTCAAGTATCTTCTTTTCAACTAATTTATCATGAGATTCAACTAATTCACTCATATAAGCTAAACATGAGATACCATAATAATTTAATTCATAAACATTTGTATCAAACATTTGCAAACATAAAATATAATAACTATCCATTACTAGTTATTGTTGAAAATCCTTTATTTTTAATAGATTCTCTAGAGTTTACATTATGGCTCTATAATTATAAAATTAATATAATACTTAGTTATCTTAATTGAATTCTCATGTCCTTAAAATAATTTATAAGTTAAGAGTAATTTAGGAGGTAGTTTTAATTTAAGAAGTCTTTTTAAATTCTTATTATTATTATTATTATTATTATTATTATTATCTATTTATGGAGAGCTTTCTAGATTCTCTTGATTCTTATTATCAATATTCTATTATCTATCTATTTTTTTACTATTTATGATCAATTAACTATTTTAATAAGATTTATGAATACTTAATTATGAGAATAGCTTAGGTAGCAACATCTACATCAGCAGAAACAATACTACGCATGATTTTTTTAATAAACCTCTTCTTTAACATTAATTTACACATCTAATCAAGATAAGTATGTTATTGATAAGTCATTTCGTATATGATTTATAAAACATATAATTAGGATTGATTAGGTAAAACTTATTCTAAGACTTAGGTATCATCTAGAAAATTCTATTCCAAGATCTTCCGAAAATTAGCAGCAACCTTTGCAAGATTAGCTATAGTTTATAGTGCATATTTGGTTATCTCATAATGTAATTTTTTCTTTATGAGAGCAGTTAGACTTTGAAGACTTTCACTTTTTATGATTCTTTTATGAGTTTCCTAATTCTCACTTAAACAAGCAATTATGATAGTGCCACTCTTTATGATATCAACTGGATTTTCACTATGCAATAATGGAACAATTGTAGTCATTAGGAATGCCTTCTCACAAACTCTAATTTGGAATCGTTCTAATCATACTTTTAAAAATCAAATTACAATCACAACAATATTATATTATAAGATCCAAAACACATTTTTCCTTTTTTAAATACATATATTAGATTTCTCTGATCATGGCTAACTCTGTTAATGACAACGGTTTATCAGGTTGCCTTTTTCGAATTTCATTAACAATCTCTTCACTTTATTTTTTCATTTAATTTATTATTAATAATGAACATCCTCAATCATACTAAATCATTCATCAAATCTCAATCTATTTAAAACTATTATCAATCTTAGAACTATTATTTAATCAATGAAATAAATAAAATTCTTAATGATCCCACTATCTAATCAAGATTCAAGAATTTGAATTGTTATTATCTTAGAAGAATCAATTATCAAACCTAAAATAAACAATCAATAACTAAAATTTGTTTACTATCAATCTGAATATCCTCAAAAGTTAAAATTCTTCACAACATATTATAAATTAAGATTGTATCATCCTATAAGTTAAATAATGATATAGTACAATGTATCTAAGAATTAAATGAACCTATTTATAAGAAATATTAAAACAATATGTTTAAGATTGAAAACTATTGATCAGGAATTCAAAAATACCACATAAAAGTAATATATAAAAAAAGATAATAATTTCTAAATCTAAGATCAAAATATATAAATAATCAAAGAACTCAGATACATATATATTAATTATACCAAGTTATTTGAATATCCAATTCTAAGCAATTTGATAAACATATAAGAATTAATTTTGATATCTTTTATACTCTTAATTATTATTGTAGAATAAATAAGCAATTTTATGATAAATCTTCACTCTCTATATTCATATCAACAATTAGAACCAAAGATATAAAACTAAATCAATCCTTAAATTTTATAAATTAAAAATCAAAATAATTTAATTAAAAATAATTAAAATAATAAAACAAACAATACACTAAGCTAAGTCAATCCTAAAAATAAACTCATTCATTCTATCATTAAGCAGAAACTACACAATCAATCGAAATAATTAAATATCTACTAAAAAAAACAATGTGATAATCATTCCATCAAATTCATTTTTGATTTAACACCTCTATCAAACCAATCTAAAAAATGTAGAATACATTATAAAAACAGACTCAAAATTAGTTGAATCATTGAAAAATTAATCCATATATATGATCAACAAAGATTCAATTTAAACAATTCACCTTCTATTCAAATCAATTTTAATTAAAATTATAATAATGTATAATTAATTCTTAAAATACAACAATCTTAAATTCGTTAAAGAAGATGAAATTTTGGAATCGCATTTCAAATGGAAAAATTATAGCCTAACATGCATCTGCCAATCTAAAGAATTTTTAACCACTTTAATCATTGACCACAAATTTAGAAATTGAAGATATACAATTGCAAAATTCTTAAATTAAATTTAACATTAACCATCATCTTAATTTCGTACACTATAGAATTAACTTATCAAATCACACATTAGCGTTAAAGATATATAAATATTTTAATCTTTAAAACACCAAATCATAGATAAAAATAAATTTTATTAAAACTGGCATAATTAACAAAAGATTGGATTGCAATAATATTTTAAACAATTAAAAATAGTTGAACATTTTATTATTGATTAAGAAAGTAGTTAAATAAAATCAATAAGTATATTTAAATAATTATAAGTATTAAAATATCATTCTTGACTTTTATTTTGTTTTTTTTTATCATATAATTAATTAAAATTATCATGAGTAATCAGTGTGGAATTTTGAAATCACCATAATTAAATAAAGAACGATTAGAAACATAAAGAGAAATGGATCAACATTTAAGAATGTCTCCTGTTAGAAAAAGTAGTTTTTTACCTTCACGTACAAAAAGCTTAGGTTAAAGATTGCTTAATTTTGTTGGAAGATAAATCTCTGTAGATTATTAAGAAAGACTAGTACTTAAAAGTCTCTAAGCGGAAAATAATAATGCTAAAAAATTCTTTCAAATATTGCTTGCTCGAAAAAATAATCTAAACAATCTTACAAATTTTCATTTAGGCTTATTAAATGATAAAGCAATTGGAAATATTAGTTTAATTTAAAGATAAACGTCGTTTAAATTATTTATTGATAGAGTGTTAGCAAAGAAACTTCTCATAACTATTAAACCCTTTGTAGATAATTTAACATAGCATATTAAAGCATTGCCTTTATTATATCCAGAAAGTACTAAAATTGTAGTATGGGACATAATTGCAATTTCATCCAAATTATACTTTTTATATCTAATCCCTCTAGAATTAGCATGGACAAACAGATCATTACTTTACAATAGATACTATTCATCTTCAATAATTATGCTCATAATTTTATTTATAGATTTTATTATTGGTCTAAATACTGCTTATTATAATGCAGGATCATTGATTACAAATCGAATTTAAATATTTAAACATTAAATTACTAAATCTTTTGGATTAGAGTGGATATCTACTATAATTTTAATAATATTACTTATAATTTGTAAATCAACAGATACTATGATAAATGTGACTGAAAATCCTGTGTATTTGATTTTATTAAGTGTGCTATCTCACTAAATAAATGTACATTATAAAACAAGCCAATATGAATTAGCATTAAATTTATCTAAAAAAGTTTCAAGTTGTTTAGAATTACTTAAATTCTTACTTTTATTATTTTATGTCATTCATTTATTTTCTTGTCTATGGTTTTGGGTATTAAATTTAAATATTATTAAAGGTTGGTAATTATAGTCGAGAATAAAATGAATAAACTTGGTTAGACACTCTTAAAGATCTTCCAATAATAGATTGGACAGATGAATACCTATAATCATTTTATTATATATGTGTAACTATGTTTACAGTTGGATATGGTGATATTACTCCTAAAAGTGGTTTGGAAAAATCTATTTGTATATTTTTGATTCTAGTGTCAAGTATTCAACTTCCATATTCAATAAATACAGTTGGTTCAATAATTGAAAAAATATCAGATTATGGGGAGGAAACAAAAAATAAATTGAGGACAATCAACAGTTATATGAATAAAAAGAGAGTTCCTTATAATATACAGAATTAAATTAGATAGTATTTAAATCATTATTGGGAATCATTACAAGGACAAGATACAGAAGAAGAGAAAGTAATAATATCTTAATTATCTGAAAATTTAAGAGAATAACTTATTATTTAGGCTCATAGTAGAATATTTTCTAAAGTTTCTCTATTAAAATAAAATTTTAGTCATTAAATACAATAAATTTTACTACAAAAGGTATAATCTGTTTTATTATAACCAGAATAGATTATTGAATTAGATAATAAAATTTAATGTTACTTTGTTGATGAAGGGGAAATAAATTTATTAATTGAATCTGGTTTAGTCATTTAAAAAGCAAAAAAAGATGATATTATTGGTTTAGATAATTTATTTTTAGGATTTCAAAATAAAAATCAAAAACTAAAAATTAAAAGTATAGGTTTTACTAAATTGTTGATCTTGTCTAGATAAGATTTTTTATAAGAATTAAAGGAATTTCCTAATGATTATGAAAAGTTCTGCTCTATAAAAGATGATTTATTATATAACTTCAAATCTTCCTACATTAAAAAATAATGTGATTCTTGTTTTTAATCAGGACATGAAATTGTTAATTGTTCTATGCTTCATTATGTACCTTAAAGAGATCTATTGATTAAAAGATAGCAATTTCTTTAATTACAATAGCGTTAATAATTTTCAAGAAGATAATATAAATTATCTAGAATAATTTTATCTGAACTTGTTAATCCAGAGTTTAATGAAACCATATAGTAGTTTTAAAAAAAATATTAATTACCTCAATTATCTAACCTTAATAGTAATAACTTAAATGTTTAATCTTATTAAAATGTTGTATAAGATGATATAAAAGATTTACAGAATATTAAAATAGAAAATTTAAAAGTTTCAACAACTTTAAATTCAAGATAAACATAAAAAAAAGACTCTGTTTTAGCAATTTCTTATATTCCAGGTAGCAATATTGATCAAATGTAAAGAAGTATAAATAATAACAAAAAAATGGTCATAAATCAATCAAGCAAAAAATAAGAACTTGATAATTAATTAGATGGTATGGGTATTTAAAGATAGAATAGTTTAACATCTAGAAGGTAATCATAAGGAATAAATCTTATGAATATGTATTAATTTAATTTAAATAATAATGCCTATAAATAAAACTATTTACATGAGTTACTTAATCCAAGTTATGATATTAATTTTGATGAAGAATTAAAATTAAGGTATGATAATTTAAAATATACTAAAAATATGAGTATAGATGATAAAGTAGCTATAGAATTACTTTATTTGAAATAAGTTAACAATCAAAAATATTGTAAAAAAGGTTTAATAGAATTCGAGACTATTAAATATTATCATGATTATTTCCCTTAACATAATTATAGTAGATAAATAAGTAAGGCAAACAAGCCATAAAATCTAGAATTAAAAAAATTAATTCAAAAATATATGAGTTATATACTTTATCCATCCGAATTTGTTCAAAGTTTTAAATAACTTTAATAAGAAAATTAGAGAATAGGTATATTTACTGATGAAGTTAATAATTAAATTTGATTATCTTTCATAAAATTAAAAGTATATCTATTAATTTAAGCTAATTGTAATAAATATTTTTTTCAATATTGTATTTATTACTATAAATTATTTAATAATTTATTAGAAAATTTGTTAGGCAAGGAAGTATTTGATAACCCTATTTACTGATATTAAATTTAAATAATATTTTTTAATTTTAATAATTCCTGACATTCTAAAATTATTTCTAATTTAATTTATATGTTAATGAATTCTCTGATAATTATTAATTCTATTGATTTTTCTTTAAAAAAAGCAAAACTCTAATTAACCAATTATTTCATAACATCTATATTTGAAATAAAATTGTACTTCAAATTGTAAATCATTATTATGAATATTTAACAAATATAATACTATTTCTCTAAAAATATAGCTTTTACTAATAAAGTATTGATAAAATGTTGAATAATAAATTTACAAATTTTTATAAGAAATTATTATATTTCTTTTTAATTATGATTAATATAAAGTTCTATATTTAAAAAAAGATTATTTGAAAATCTAATAATTATATTTAATACTTCTCTTTTTTGAATGCAGAAAATAACAACATTAAGAATGCCTTATAATAATTACTTCAATATATTTATATTATTTCCACTTTATTATTAAAATAAAAGGTAATTGATTTCAGATTTTTGGTATTCTTCAAAATATTTAATACAGACTTTATCTAAATTGTATATAGAATAAAGAAAATTGATAAATTTGTTTTACTTATTCATTCTAATAATTTTCAGCAACAATTTTTTGAAATTTAAATGGACATTATACAAGTTACTAATATTTATATTAATTATTTGATACTTATTTTCATGTATTAGTTAAATAACACTTATTAAGAATCTTATATACTAGAACATAAAATTTGATATAATATTAAATGATTAAAAATAATATAAGGCCTAGAGCTTCAAGTGAAAGACTTGATAAGTTAGCTATTTTAGAAAATCAAACAAACCTTGAATGGATAATGAAAAACTCATAGATGTTGGAATTAAAATCAAATATCAGAATGATTCCTAAAGATTCTTTGTCTATTAATATTCATGTTCCAGAGCATGAAGGAGTAGCAACAATATGGTCAGATAATTGGTTTGGACAAAAAAAGATTTCATAGTTTAGAGGTTTATTAATATATGACAATCAATTTTGCCTTGTTTTAAATGATTGTTTTATTGAAAAAAAGAGATATTAATCATCACATTTTAGAGCATATTATTTAAAGCTTATTAATCAAACTGGATAATTGGTATTAATATTTTCTCATCCTTTATCATTAAAATAATGGAATAATTGTATTAAGAAGTTTTGCAAAAGAAATAATTTTAATAAAAAGTTTAAAGTTGTAGAGTTGATATGTTAAAACTTTTATCTTATTTAGCACAAAAAGCAAAAATCACTATTAACTACATAAGCGATTAATTTAGCAAGTATTCAAAATAATGACCAGGCAGAATTACTTGACAATTATTTAAAAATCTTAAGAAATTCTTAAATCAGTAATTATATTTAAACAATTGGCGTTTTTGAAGATAAATAAATGTTATTTATAGTTTGTAAATATTTTAAGGGAAATTCTCTTGATTAATACTTTAATTAATCAAAAAAATAATACTTTACTTAATAATAAATAGCAACAATTTGTATATCTATATTATTAGCTCTGAGATCTCTTTCAGATGAAGAATTATTTCATGGTAAAATTTCATGTGAAAACATTATTTGTTACAGTAATCTGAAAACTTAATTTGGAACTTATTTGATTAATTCACATTATAAAGTAAAGTAAATTAAATAATCTTTTTAGTTTTACAATTAAAATACACTTTCAATGTATAAATAATCAACTCCAAATTATTTAATAGCACCAGAGATTCAAGATGGTATAAATCCATCAACATAAACAGATATTTATTAATTAGGGGTTATTTTAGGATTAATTACATTTTTTAATTATACAAAACCATTTAATATTGATTATTTTAATAATTAAGCAGATAAATTAATGTAATTAATATTAGAATAAGAAAAGTTAATAACAAAATAAAAATTTTCATAAGATTATCCATAACTTTTTAGTATTAGTTAATTAGATCTAATAAAAAGAATGATATAACCTAATCCTAATCTTAGAATAAGTATTAATGATGCATTAAAACATGTTTGGTTAATCAACAATAAAGAAAAAAAAATATAAAAATTTATTACTAAATAAATGGCACTTCCTAGTTTAAGAACTATTATTGAAATTAAAGATAGTGAATGTGATATAAAGAAAACTATAAATAATTTTTCAGAAGAAAATATTTAATTTGGTAAATATGGATAAGATCCTAATTCACTTTTTGCATTATTAAAATAAAAAAAAAAGATCAATTCAGAAACTTTTGTAGACTCTAATGATGAAGATGAAAATGTGTTGAATGACAAAATAGAAAAATTAAATTAGTAAAATAATTTAGTACCTTCATTTAATGATCATTGTTTTATGTATCAATCAAGATGGATTTGATTTATATAATTTTTTATTATTTTTATAATAATCTAAGTTTGATTTAATATTCATTTTATATTTAGTAATGTCTGATATTAATAACATATTAAAATAATAGTTAAGTTGACTTAGACAATACGGAAATGAATGTTTTATGAATTAATTTATTGGTCAGAATATTCTTTTAATCAAATTTTGTATTTATGGGAACAAATTTTATATAATTCATAATTATTTTTTTTGTTAGATTGCTCTTGATATTGTTTTGATGAAATCAAAAATTGATTAACCTAATTAATTTTTTGATATTTTTAGGCTTTCAAATGCAAATTATGATAGTCCTATGAATTTAAAAGAATTGAATGACTCTATAGAAATACAATTAAATACTGAAGAAAAGAAGACTGAAATAGAAATAGTGAAATACCTTAAATAATTAGGTATTTAAACAAAAACAGATCCTTTATTTAAAGAATAAGAATATTGGAGAACAAAAAGATTAGAAACTTAGAAAAAGATGCTATCAATTTTATGTTTAACTGAGTCAACCTAAACTCTAACATTAAACGGATATGCATCTAAGTTACTTCATCAAAGAGTATCCTAATCTTTTTTAGAATCATAATTGATCAATAATACTTCTACTATGGTAATAGAATGAACTTTTTTTGTATTAACTTTCATTATGTCTTTATTAATCTATTGGATTTTTTTGTTTTCTTAAACATTTACATTTATATTATATAAACAACTAAATATCTTTATAATTTGTAATATTTGATAAAATCAATGAAATTTAAACATAAAAAAACTTGTAGCTAATTAATGAACCAATTTCTTAAACTAATGTTGATCATTATTTTTGAAATTACTGCTGTGTCTAAAGAGTCTAAAGGTTAATATATATATATTAACTTGATAGATAATTATATGAAATCTATAAATAAGAATTTCTTAAACAATATAATTCATAATTCATAAGAAATTTTAATGATACTATTATAATATGAATATATAAATTTATTAAAACATGATGAAATATGAATTAGAGAGCTCTACAACCACTCCAGATTTAATGGGCAGAAAAAACATACATTAATAAATTCTACGCAAATTAAAGAATTTAGTTGATCACATACCTTATTAAGATTAAGAAGTCCCAATTAATGATTAATATATATTAGAACTATTAGCTGTTTTAGTTAAGATATTTAATAGTGGATTAGATATGTTAGTATACAATTTAGAAATCTCTAGCAAATTTAAAGTCCATAACTTTCAGAAGTTCATAGTGGATTCTTTAGTCATCTCTACCCAGTCATAGAGAATAGAAAGTCAACCAAATTCATCTAAAAGTGCCTGAAATTCGTTAAAGTAGATAGGCTTAAGGCTCCTATTTGGATTTTATTAGAATTGAATTCAAATACACTTTTGGAGTTTATATTATCTAATGAGACTAAAGAGAAATATTAAAATAATGCATGTATTAGACAAGGAGAATTAGTTGATATTTTAGATAGTTATTATTGCAAACATATTACATTGATAGGTGATAAAATTTATGATTTGCCAACACCTTTATATAGAGAATAAAGTAATACAAAAACATTCTTTCCATAACCTCCAAATATATCAAATAATATGCAAGGAGATCTCTTTGAAAGATTTCAATAATTTGAAGATATCTAACCAATTAAACATGTTTTCTCTTTAGATTGTGATGATTCTGCCACTCATGCACCTACACATAGAAAATAAGATATGGAAACACCAGATCTAAATTTTGGTAGTCCAATGATGGAATAAGATTCTATTAAAGGTGATGAATCAGATGAAGAATAACATAAAGCATTACCTTAATATATTTCATTTTAATGCAAAAAATCTACAAAATTATTAAGAGAATTAAGAGATAAATAAATTGAAGAATATTGGAATTGTCAATAAACACCAATTAGTAAATTTACAGGATAATGTCATGCATGTTAAACATAAATTTAAAAGAATTCATATTTCTTTTTTTAAGGGACAGCATATTATTGTCATTATAGTGGTTTATTTTTTTGTCTTTAATGTATTAGTAATGAATTAAGTGTCATTCCACATTTAATTCTTAATAAATTTGATTTTAATAAATATTAAGTTAGTAAAGAAGCTTATGAAACTATTTAAAAGAATATGAAGAAAATCATTTTTTAAATTAATTATTTTGACAATGTAGTATATTAGAATCAAATATTATATGACTTTTTAATTAAAAAAAGATCTCTAAGATTGATGTATGATTTATTATGTCAAGACTTTAATTTTGATTTTAATTTCACTTAAAATTACTCTCATTTACTATTGCCAATTAATCTCTTTAGTATATAAAATTTCATTGACATTAATAATAAAACATTATTTAAAATTGCTAATAATGCATATGATTATGGCTTAGATCATATCTCTAAATGTCCATAATGTCAAAAATTAAGTGTTAAATGTGCTGAATGTTTAAAAGGAAATATTTATATCTTTGATATTATTGGAACATAGTACTGCAGAAAATGCAAGAAAATATTTCATAGGTCTTGTTTCTACGATAAATGTACAAAATGTGGACAAAATCAATATATTAATAGAAGTAATTTACATCATTGATTATTATAAATTATTTTAAAATATTAATAAATTATTATCTTAATAATTGACTAATTGTTCTGATATCAAATTTATGAAGGCCTTAATCAATAGAAATATTTCAATTCTTATCAGTTAAAAATATATTTTACTCTTTTTTAAAATATAATATAACTTAAAGATAAACTACTCAAAATTAAATTTTACAATCATATTAAATATAACAAAAGATGGAATTCAATATCTTTATATCTCTTACAAACTTTTTAATAGATGAATTTATGATTAATTTTATTATAATTTATGAGAAAAACATAATATATTAAAAAAAAATTTAAATACTATATATTTATTATAAAAATTAGATATATCAAAGATGTTAATTCTAAGAATAACTATTTTTATTTATCTCTCCATATTGTTTAGATGTTATAAACTCATATACAATAAACATTACAATAGATTCACGAAAAAATTAACATTGTATGATTTTCTAAATCAATTTGAGTGCTCTTTTCAATTTAGCATTTATATTATTGATTATTAAAATGACTTTACAATATTAAAATTAATAAACATATCATAAAAAATTTATGGATGATGATAACAATAATTTTCAACAAAAAAGGCTCAAAAATATGGAAATTGAATTAATTTAAAAAACACACTAATTATTATGAAATCTAAATATAGAATAATTCCTGATCCTATGAAACTAAATTCTGATATAAAATTGATTAATTTCTATCTTCAGTAATGATATTCAATTTCCTTATAAAAATCATTTTAAAGAATTAGAGGTGTAGATGTATTTAAAATTTGTAAATTTAGACAATCTATTGTATTTAATCATGTTTCTGTTATCACTTATTTATGATATTTTTGATTTGCAATTATATTCAATTATAAATATATATATTAATTAATTATAGCCTATTATTTGATAACTATTTACGCACTTTTGGTAAGTTAATACATACTAAAATATAAAAATATATATAAAACAAATGAAAATTAAGATTTCATATTAAATTTAAATATCATGGAATTTGTGACTGCTCTGGTGTTTATTTTCATAGCTTGCGCTTGTGGTATTGTTTGGGCTATCTTTAATTGGATGGCAGTTCACAAACTGGAGATTCATCACAAACATGAGGGATTGACAGAGCTTTTATAAGGAGCAGAATAAGAGAAAATAGAGACACTATTGGAGATAGGAGAACACATATAAGATGTAAATATTGATTATAATTATAATAGGGAGCTCAAGCCTTTTTAAAAGAGGAATACACAGATTGTAGTGTATTTTTAGCGATCATGGCTGTTTTATTAATAGTAAAAAGAATTAATATATAATCTAGTTTATTTCTCCATGGTCTTCACTTGCATTTGTTTTAGGAGCAGCAACTTCAATGCTTTGTGGATATTTGGGTATGGCTATAGCAACAGCAGCAAATTTCAGAACAGCATTTTCAGCAATCACATCATTATCAAATGCATTTTAGGTAAATAAATTAATCCTATGATAAGATGGCTTATAGAGGTGGTTGTGTAATGGGATTTTTATTAGTCTCAATATCATTGTCAATTTTAACATTGATCATTATAATCTATAATGCAATAATAGTAAGGAGCGATGATAACAATTTTGAAGATTTGGTCACAATGTTTGATTACGTAGCAGCCTATGGTTTAGGAGGATCAACATTTGCATTATTTGGTAGAGTTGGTGGAGGTATTTACACAAAGGCAGCAGATGTTGGAGCAGATCTAGTAGGAAAAGTTGAGAAGAACTTACCAGAAGACAGTCCAAAGGTATTATTAATAATATCTATATAATAGAATCCAGCAACAATTGCAGATAATGTTGGTGATAATGTAGGAGATATTGCTGGTATGGGAGCTGACTTATTCGGTTCTTTTGCAGAATCTACATGTGCAGCATTGGTTGTTTCATCTACATAATTAAGAGTTGTACAAGGAGATACTTATGTGATTGAAATCGGTTAGCTGATGTATCCTTTGATGGTTTCAGCCTTTGGAATTGGAATTTGTATTTTGGTATCAGCTTATGCTGTTTATATTTCAAAAGTAAATCACATAAATAAAATCGAATCCACTTTGAAATTCTAATTGTTATTATCAACAGTGGCTTTGTCTCCAATTATAATAGGTATTGCATATTGGTGTTTACCTGCCGATTTTGTAATGGTTGCTGCAGATAACTCTATTTAATTGTCAGAACTTAAGCCATGGCATGCTTTCTTGTGCTCATTAATGGGATTATGGTCCGGATTATTAATTGGGTATTTCACAGAATACATGACATCTCATTCTTATACACCAGTAAGAGAAGTTGCTAAGGCTTGTGGTACTGGTGCTGCTACCAATATCATCTATGGTTTGGCTTTAGGATATTTATCAACTATTGTACCTATTGTAGCCATAGCAATAACTGCCTTATTATCAATGAAGATGCTTTCATTTTATGGAGTCGCTTTGGCTGCTCTAGGAATGCTTTCAAATCTCACTATAGGATTAGCTATTGATGCATATGGACCTATCTCTGATAATGCAGGTGGTATTGCAGAAATGAGTGAATTGGGAGAAAATGTTAGAGAATCAACTGATGCCTTAGATGCTGCAGGTAATACAACTGCTGCAATTGGAAAAGGTTTTGCTATTGGATCAGCTGCTTTAGTCTCATTATCACTTTATGGTGGATATTTAACAAGAATATAAACTTACAAAGTTGGTGATCAATTCCCATTTGCTGAAGGTGCTAAAATAGATGATCCTATTATATTTGCTATGTTATTGATAGGTGCAATGTTGCCATATGCATTTTCTGCATTTACAATGAAATCAGTTGGAAAAGCTGCTCTTCAAATGGTTGAAGAAGTTCGTAGATAATTACATGAACATCCAGGTATTTATGCAGGAACAGAAGAGCCAGATTTTAGAGCTTGTATTGCCATTTCAACAAAAGCTTCTTTAAAAGAAATGATTCCTCCTGGTTTATTAGTAATTATATTTAATTAATAAATTATAGGTCATAGTTACTCCAACTGCTGTAGGATTGTTTTTTGGACCTTATGCTGTGGCTGGTCTATTACCAGGTGCATTAATTAGTGGTGTTTAAATGGCCATTTCAGCCTCTAATACAGGAGGAGCCTGGGATAATGCTAAGAAATACATTGAAGCCGGATTTTATAGAAATGAAGCTGGAGAAGTGAAAAAGAAGGGATCAGATGAACATAAGGCTGCTGTTATTGGTAATAATTTTTTATTTATTTTGTTTAGGTGATACTGTTGGTGATCCTCTCAAAGATACTTCAGGACCATCTTTAAATATTTTGATTAAATTGATGGCTATATTATCATTAGTCTTGGCTGGAGCATTTTGTAGAACTGGATGGTTGTATAAACCTGAGTGATGTTATTATGCAAATTATTAAATTAAATTCATAATTATTATACTTTTTATATATGTTTATAAAATCACTTCTCTATTTTCTAAAAGAATGGTTCAATTTCTTCATTTAATTATAAATAAACTTTCTTAAAGTCTTTCTCTCTATAACGACCTCCTTTATGTGATCTTTTTATTGCTCCCATATAATTAATAGTATTCACTTTATCAACATTCAATCCATACACTTTTTTTTTTAATATATATTAAACATACATTTTGTAAAGTATTGCTTTATTTCAGGTTTATTCAATGAATACTTATATGGTTATAATTTGAATGCTACAACATTTTTCTCTAATTACTTTTCTGCTCTATGCAAAACCACAGATTAATCAAATAGTCTTTCAATAGGTGTAGCTCTTTTGAAATTTGAAGTAGGCACAATCTTAATTCCTTTAGGATTTAAAAAATATTCCCTAAAATTCAGAATTTTTTGCATTTATATATATATATTTATTATATTTTTATATTGTCCATTTATTCATTCTCAACACACAATTATTTTCGATATTCGTCTCTCAAAACTTTTATTAGTTCAATTTAAAATTTATTATGTATTTTTAAACGATCAAAATATAATTTTTATCCTGCTTATTTTTGTCAATAGTCTACATTCTATAAATATAATGAATTTCATACAATTAAACAAAAATTCCATTACTTCTAAGTCTTGATATATATATTGTTTATCTTTTATATTAATTGATATTATTATTCTATAATTTACTAAGTTTAGCAAGTAATCAGAGTTTTCATTCTAATTATATTAGCTTCTCATTCTATAATTTACAGATGTTTATCAAAAATCTTATTCTATTAATGACATACATTTTCTAGATTAAAAAAGTTTATTTATCCTAGGTAATATTTTTAAATCTAATAAAATCTTTTTAACGTTACTTTTTAATTCTTTCTTATAATCAGATCTAAAGATTAATACTCATATCTTCATCTTAAATTTTGATTTTGTCATACCAAGAAGTAATATTTCTTATTCATTTTATTTTAATTTTATTATAGTATAATTTTTTTATAATCATTTGATCTATCCACTTTTTAAATAGACTCTCATGTTATTGTAATCAATTAAATTTTCAATAAAAATTCATTTCAAAAGCTATAATCCTTGTTTTTTATGTTATATTCATTAACTAGCAGTTCTTTTATTTCTTTTGAAATGATATTATCAAATAATTGAGTGTTTTGTTTTTAAGACTTTATATCATAATTATATGAAAACTTCAATATTTTAAGATAGAAAATACAAATAATATATATAATTTGAAATATTATTCTTACAATCAAACATATGGAACTTTAATTGGAATACATATATTATTTAAACATCTAATTTTATCTTAATATTATCAAAACTTGGATTAAAAGTCTCTACAGAAATAATTGGCATACAATAATGTATTCTGGAAATGAAAATAAAAGGGTTAAAGAAATATTACATCTATATTTTTCTATATTAAGTTTTTGGATGAATCACAATTAACAAAAAAATAAGGTTTTTTGAAAAAGGTAAAAAGGTTTATTTATAAAAAGGCCTAGATCTCTTTTTTGCATAACTAAATATTAGATCTTTCTCTTATATGGCTAGATTATAACTTGAAAAATATTGATGTAAAAGATTTATTCCATAGAAGAAAAAAGAATTTTATGTATTAAGATAAGGAACAATTATTTAAATAACATCTTTAATTGGTTGTATTCTATAATTCAAAGAGTAATATCTCAAATTTTAAAGAATAATAAAATTTTATAGCAAATCCTAAATAAATGTTTATCACAAACAAAATTAACCAGTCAGATTTTAACAAATAATTGCCAAGATTGTGGATATGAATAATGAGATTCTGTGTAGAACTTATTATTTGACATAAATAATTGACGAATCAAATATTATTAATTTTAATTTAAGGTATTATGATTAAGATTTAGAGAACATAAATGCTGTGTGACATTATTTTTAAATAACATTTTAATTTTAAAAATTTTCATGGGATTTTGCTCCTCAAAACAAATTCAATCAACCTTATCTTCATCTCATTAAAGCTAAATTACTGAAGTTCAGCCTTTTCCTAGAATGTCATGGATTAATAAATATTTGCAGTAACCTTAAGAACGAATAATAAAACCCTACAATCCTAACAGTACCTATATGTTTTTATATAAGGCCTTGAATACTAGTATAATGTCGAAGTAGAAGGTGTCATATTTGATGAGATCGCTCCACCTGACTTTCTTGATGATGATATTTTAGAGCCCATAGATGATGATGATGAATGATTTTCTAAACTTTATGATGATTCTCATTCATATTTTATATCAATATTATTTCTAATTCTTCTACAGTACTTAAAGAAGAGACTGTACATATATATATATATATAAACAAACTTTAGCTTTGTATAAATTTCTACAAACATATTTAAAATACTTCTAATCCTATTAACAAATAATAAAATATATCCATTTTTGATGTAAATATTCTAATTTTCTTTAAGCATTTTCTAAATTTTATTTGGAATTTTATTATTTTATACTCCAAACCTAAATAGGTACTACTTTACTACATATATAAATTAAACTCAACCCATATACTCTTTAGTATAATCAACTTTTAAATAACATTGTTAATTTTGAGAGTTTAATTCAGAATTTTATATGAAATAAAATAAAAACTGGATTAATTTGAATATTCTTATATTTTATATATAGGTTGTCATGTTATAATTAATCTAAATTCTGAAACACTCTTAATTTACTTTACTAGTTGGAGAATACATAATATTCAAATATTCTGTTTTTAAAAAAATGGAAAGTTTCTTATTTTTTATTCAAAATGGCAATCTAAAGATAATTTAAATATTTATTACACTTATTGATTACACATATACTCTATTTTCTACTTTGCATGATCAAGAATATTAGAAACATATTTTTAATATTTTTAAATTCTCCTATTTTTAATATAATCATAAGTATGTTAGTGATTCTCATAATGGGATCTTGTAATTAAATAAATATTTAGTTTATAGTATAATTATATCATTATATTAAATATTCTCAAGAAAATCTGAATAATATGAATATATATTTAATATTGTTATTTTTATGAATAGACATATTATAAATAAATATATTAATTTTAATAATAATATAGAATTAGTAGTTTATTAATTTTATAAACATAATTACATTTTTAGTCCTCCATCATTTCCATATTATAAATAAGAGATAAGGGAATGAAATATTTACATTCTTTAAATACAGCGGATTCATAAGGGAATATTTTGTATTTTCGCATCATTATGAATAATTTTTATCGGACTACCAATTTCTATTCATATAAATATAGCTAGAAATAATAATGATTATCATATTTAATTGAATCTTATTAAAGTATCAGATTAAAATCAAGAGATTGAATTATAATTATAGTATTATATTTTCTAATCTAATATTATGAATAATTACAACTAAGAAAAGGAGGTTCTTTCAATAAATTAATTTCTTAGAAGAAAATTATCTAATAAACAATTTAAAATAATAAAACCAATGGCAATTTACAATTAATATCCAAAAAGACCTGTTAAAAATTTATCTAATAAGTAAAGCATAATGTTCTAATTATTATTTATCAATTCAAAATTACTTCACTATTTGATTTTAAATTTATTCTATTTTTAGTTGATTTATCTAAATATTTAATAATAATTTATAGAATTATTTTGCCTTCTTTTAAAATTCTATTAGATGATAAATTAACTAGAGATAGAGGTAAATTATCATTTAATAATTATTCTTCAATTTCTAATTTAGTATTGATCTAATTTTTTGAAATTTCATTTTCATTTTCAATTTTTCTTTTCTTTTATTTATTTTTATCATATTAATGAATTAGATTATTAAATATAATCAAAGATTGTTATAATTATTAATTTAATATTGTACTATTTTAGATTATTCTCTTTTTTGAATGATTTATAGATCACAATTATTTAAAGTATACTTTAAAATAACACTTAATAAATAATAGTTAAAATAATAAAGAAAATTCAAAATTTATCCTTCCATTAGATACGAATTCCTTCACACCAAATCCCTGGTCTTGAAATTTCTTTAATAACAAGAACTCCATCTCCATGTTATTTTCCATTCTTCCAACTACCCTTATATCTAGTGTTTTCATCAATAATGAATTCTCCCTCTCCATCTTTTAAATCATGTTTATAATCTCCTTTATATGATCTACCATCTGGCCATCTAAATTCTCCATACCCATGCATTTAATTGTTTTCCCAAGAACCTTCATATTCTTTTCCATCACTCCAAACGAATTTACCTTAGCCATGTATAAAATTATACTAAAATTCTCCTTTGTAACTAAATATCAATAATTAATAAATACTAATTTTTATTGGAATAAAAACATTCTCCATATCCATGCTTCATTGAATTTAGAAATTGACCTTTATATATTGTACCATCTGGATATTCCTCAACACCATCTCCCTCTTGTTTATCCTCCACCCAATTACCCTTATAGATAGTACCATCATAATGTGTATAAACACCGAAACCATGACATTTATCATCTAACCAATCTCCAATATAAACATCTCCATTTTAATGTATTAATCTGCCAATACCACATGCTTTATTATTTTACCAGAATCCTTCATAAACTGAACCATCTGGCCAAATTTATTTTCCTTTTCCCCATTTAGTTCCATTTTTCCATTAACCTATATAAATAGCACCATCAATTAGTCTATGTGGTTCTAAAAATGGTAGTTTTTTGTCTTCTTCTGAAAATTAGAAATTAGTAGATCTTTTTTGTGGATCATCTGAATTAATATAATCATTATAACGAAATGGACCAAGTTTATATAAGGCTTTTTAAACAGTTAAAGCATAATCAGTAGGAGTTTGACTTAGTTTTTATGCAATCTCTGGTTTTGGATAATGAACAACAGGTGATTCTTCCGTTTTAATCCTCATTTTATGATATAATTTTCTAGCTTTGTATCCTTTATAATGCTTTTAAATTTTAAGAGCGAATTGGTCATACTTAATATCTTCTTTAATAAGTTCAGGAGTAATAGGGTTCTCCATTTTTTGAAGTGGATGTGTGCAGCAAACTCCCATATAAATGTTTAAATTTTAATTATTACTATATATATTAGATAAATATTTATATCTATTTATCATATAAACTAGGCCTATGCTTTCATCATAATAATTTCATTTTCATTTATTTATATTTATTATTTTAATTATTCTACTCTCTTTATTCTTTATTATCCAAAAAGAAATAGTTAATTCATTTTTTCCTTCATTAAATTCATGGATTTAAAAAGACACTCCATTTCCTCTTATTCACTCTCATGAATATCTGCACAAGCATCACAGATATCCACCTATGATTATCTAAAAATACTGAGTATTTAACAAACTGGACAAAAGGCTTAAAAATCTTTACCTCCAAACTATTCAAAACATTCATCACACAAACCTTATGAACATTTAATACAAACTTAAACATTAACATCACTCTAACATTATTAACAACATTATTATTTATTCATTTAACTTAATAATAATCATTTTGTAAATAATGATCTTTTCTAGTCTTAAAATTTTATCTAATGCACTGCTTCTTCATCTAATCCCCAAACCTCTAATTCTTAGATTTAGAAATTAACTTCACTTGATAAAACTTCATTATCAAAAGTTTCACTTGGATTTGATTCTCCTTTACTAAATGAACTACTTACAAATAAACCATATCTATGATAATATTATAAATTATCTTACTTATCTCCTGCTCCAATACTAAATCCAGTCTCATCAGCCATCTAAAAACATCTATTTTTTTAAGTTCCTTTGAATATTCTAGTATGATTATATAGACAAATAAACAAAAAAGATTCTCCTTATCCAAAAAATTCATTTTTAGATAGTCTCCAAGAACTCAATAAGAATCCTCCAAATACTTTCTTACCTGAATCCTTTATAAGTATTACATGAGGACCAGCATATTCAGTTCTCCTTAAAAATTCTTAATAAGAACTACCTACATAATAACATTCTTTTACCATGTCTATTTATTGAAAATAATAAAAACCATGGCTTTGTTTATAAATAAGATGGCATACAATCAGCTATTTCTAATACTTATTTCATAGAAATTATTCTACTCTCCTCATTCAAACTTACTTTAGCCTACTCTTTTGTTTATTATTATTATCTAGCTTTACAAACTTCCATTGACCCATTTTTTTCATTTATTTCAACAAAATTGAAATTATAAACACTACTTAAACACTCTAAATTTGTCTCTCCTTTTTTCACTCTTATATTAAATGAGTCTCCAGTATATTGTTCATGTTCATATTACAGTTATTATATTAAATATGTAAATGCCTCCATTGTTATCATTCTTTTACTCTTACCTTTCATTTACCATAATTCTCTAATAAATGCTTTGACTGCTTTAGTTTCTCCTTTTATAGCTTTTAATTCAATTAGAAGTTTCTTATGATTCTCAGGTACTTTGTTACCACAGATACCCCATATAACTATTTACATTAATTCAGCAATAGGATTGAATATTATTTTGTAAATCTCTTTTACATATATAGAAAAATTTAAATGATCTTCCTTACCTTTATGCTCTTTACTCAATTTCTTAGAATTGACTGTGAATATCAAATAATCATAACAAATTTATAAATTTCCCTATATATGGTCTCTATCCCACATATAGAGGATAGGAATTGAAATGTTTACTGATTTTAGTAAATCGCGTTATAAAATACGCTTATTATCATATTATAATAACACTTCTTAACCAGGAATCAAATGACAATGATCTAATTTATTTACTTTCTTGAGTCTCCAAACATTACAATTATTGAGTATAGCTAGATCTATTAATGTTTAACCTGGTTAAGCAGAACATTTTTAATTACATTGCATTTTTTATTTTAATTAATAATATGGATCCATTAACTAGGTACAAAATGAAATTAGAAAAAGATAAATAACATTTGTAAGAGTATGAGAGAATTCAGAAAGAAAAAGAATTATAAAATGAAATGAAGTTAAGATAAAAAAATGAAAAATATAATAACATATAACAAAAATAGGATAGATAAAAAGAAGTAGCTAGACTTAAGGCAGAATTAAGGAAAAATCATATAGATCGAACATTATTTCAAAGTTAATAAATTGAATAAGACAAGTTGAATGTATAAATTATAATTTAGATTATTTAGGGATACTAATAGAAAATTGCTAAAACTCTAGATTCATTAGAAAAATATGAGAATGGATATCACAAAGATTACTTAACATCTTTGCACAGAAAACAATCAAATCATTCACATTAGATTGAATGTGTATAATAATAAAATGAAACCATCTTGGAAAATAAAATTAATAAAATCAATCAATCCCTAGAATTTCGTTTTAAAAAATCAGAAGATGTATTTATTTGTATATATATATATTAGGTTTTATCAAATCTTTCTAAACAAAATAGTGATAGAAAAAAAAGTGAAAAAATAAAAGTTGAAACTTATTAACAATTAGTTTAGAGACATTAAGAGAGATAACAATAATTAAGAGATCAAAAGGCATAATAATTTGAGGAAAAATTGAATAAAGTAGATTAATTATAGAAATTAAAAGAATAATAACAAAGAGAGAAACATTTATTGAGATTAGAAGCAGATAAATTAAAAGAGAAAATGAGCAAAGAATTCGAATAAGAATTAGCAGTAAATAAATATATAATTATATTTTAGAAAATGAAATCTAAGTAAATTAAACTAATATAAAATTGATAATGAATTTTGTCATAAAAAATTTAATACTTATCCTACTTTTCTTGTTTAATTTTTGTTTTCATAATTAAAAATTAACTTCTTTTAGTTTTTAATTAATTGTAAATAATTGTATATATAAGAATAAATAATCATTTGGGTTTATATTTTTTTGTGATATGTTTGGATTATAAATTATTATTTTTGTTTATATTTTTAAATATTGTGAATATAAGTAAATTATTTAATTAACAGACAAATATTCTAATGGATCAAAAATAAAAGGTTTAATCATTAATGAACAATTATGTAAAGAAAGAAATCAATAGATCAGGTGTAGTAAATGTAAAAATTTACTTAAACAATGAATTATTACATTCAATATAATTTCCAACTTTAAATCAAACCACATAAAATTTAGTGAATCATTTAAAAAATTTGATTAATTCACCATTAATAATTGGATTTTAAACTATAGATTAAAATATACCTTTGGATTTCTATTTAACATAGAATTATGATTTAGGATTTCTTACCAATTAGACAATTTAATTAAAACCTCTAAATTCAATATAATAAGCTCTAATATCATTGGATTCATTTTATTTTTTATAATGTATAGGTGTTGGAGGTTTTTCAAGAGTTTATTTAGTTAGATGTAAATCAAATGGTTAATTTATGGCATTGAAAATGATATCAAAATAATTCATTTAAGAACATGATAAATTCTAAATTATTTAAAATGAAAGAAATATAATGGTTGCTTTAGCAGAATAAAGTAATTCACATCCATTTCTATGTAAATTATTAAGTGTATTTGAAACTAAAAGTTGGGTTTGCTTTGCATTAGAATACTGTCCAGGAGGAGAATTATTTTAATAATTGAAGAGAGTAAAGAGAATGGATGAATAATAAGCAAAATTTTATTTTAGTTAAGTTTGTTTAGCTATTCATCATTTACATGAGAATGGAATTATTTATAGAGATATAAAACCAGAAAATATTCTAATAGATTAAGATGGGAATATCAAATTGGCTGATTTTGGTTTAGCCAGACCAAATATGAAAGATGATTTATTAGCCTTTTCATTTTGTGGATCTCCAGAATATATGGCACCTGAAATGTTATTAAAATCAGGACATAATTATTAAATTGATCATTATTGTTTAGGAGCTTTACTTTATGAATTATTAACTGGTTTACCACCATATTATTCAAATAATCCAGAATAAATTTATAAAAATATACTTTAACATGATTTAACATTACCAAATAAAAATTGCAGTGTAGAATCCAGAGATCTTATGTAGAAATTGTTATAAAAGGATGTATTTAATCGTTTAGGGAAGGAATATGGAATTTATGAAATTCTAAAACATCCTTGGTTATAAGATAAATAACTATATAAAATTCTTAATAGATAATATGAACCACCATTTAAACCAGACTTATTAAAAATGAATTTTGATTAAAATGAAATAACTAAAGGGGAGAATAATTTTTAGAGAGATCTTTAAAAATCATTAAATTCAGATAATGAAAATGTTTTTAGTCCTTTTTTCTCTAATTTTTATTTTTCTTCAATAATTCAAAAATCTTAAACAAGATCAGCTTCAATAACATAAATAAATTCATCAAATATTGATGATAAAATTAACAATTTATTAGTTAATAATAAGTCTAAGAATGTATTATAAACTCATACAGCATCTTAACCAAATATAAATTATTAATTAAAATAGAAAAAAGTATCTTAAGAAAGAAATTCTGATAATAATAAAGAAAATATAATGAAAAACTTTAGTTCATTAATAACAAAAACATGTAAAAAACATAAAAAAAATAATTAAAGTATGCCTGATTAAAGTTGTGCAATCTCTTCTGAAATGAGATCACTATCAACTTAAAAAATAATTGATACTTAAAAAGTACCTTCTACATTTAATACAACTCTATTAAAATCTTAATTTACAGAAACTGATGAGGATTCAAGTGTTAATAAAACACATAAAACTCTTTTTGGAGAAGCTAAAAGTTTGAATAAAAACTTCACTAATTAATGCACATTATTGAGATTTTTCAAATAATGAAATATTTCTATTTAAATAAAAATATTAATTATTAAATTATAATTTTATAATAATAATAATTTCAATTTTTCTTTCTCTTTGCCATTAATTGTTTTAAAGATTCTCCTTAATTTTTTTGTTTGGCTAATTTCTTATTTTCATCTGTTTTTATTTTGTCAGGAAATAATGTCATTTAAATATGTTTGGTATCAGCATCATCAGCTAGTTTCTTAATGAATAAGTTAAAATAAAATTTACTATCCAATCCTATTTTTCTTCTTCATCATCTTAACTTCCATTAGAATCCTCTTAATAATCATAATCTTCATCATTAGCTTATTAAACATTTGAATTATTAATTTCCTACAATAATAAAAAATCATACTGCCTCTTTATTATCTTAATTAAGAAGATCTTAATTTTAATCCTCTTTTTTTTATTCTTAAGATTCAAGTTTCTTCTTTTATTCTTCTCTTTATTCCTCTTCAAGTGCTTGCTATTTTTTTAAATTTTCTTCCCATTCATATCTCTTTCTTCTATATACATCTTCTACTTCTAAATTAACCTTTAATTCTTTAGTAAGTCCAGAATTTCTTTAGACTTCAATTTAAGCAAATAATTAATCATTTGTATTCATTTTTTCTTTAACAAATTCCACAATCTTACTTGAAGTTGATAAAAGTGTTGCAAATGTACTTTTTAGACTCATTAATCTTTTTTCTTTTCCAGCAAAATAAGTCTTTTATTTTTACATCATTTAAATCTCTATTTCCTTTTATCTCATATTTTATTCAATTTATTCAGCTTCTAATGCTTTTATTTTATTCTATTGATCTTATTAATTATCCTTTAATAAAAATAATACAATTTCATTAATTTCAATTATTACTCTAACTTAATCTTTTATATCTATATCAAATATTGCTTTTATTATCTCTTTCTTCTCTTAAACAATCTCTTCTATCAACATTATTTAAAATGCTTCCAATTTTTCAAATTCTTAAGTAAATGTAGATACTTTCTCTTAGAATTTAAATTCTTATGAAAAAACATATTATTTTATTGCTTTCCATGCTAATATATTTTCATAATATCTTTATTCTTCTTCTGGTAAAGCAGCTCTTTTTAAGGGTCTTGAATTTTAAAGTGGTTTCCTTCCACCACATGCAAATATACCCCCACTTTAAGGAGGAGCAGGTTAATTGATTATAGATTCAGGTTATAATTATACTTTTTCTACTTTTAATTTAAGTTCTTCTGCTAATTATACAGGACCTTTTTTTGCTTTTATCAAACATCCAGCAATCCAATTAAAAATAATTCCACTTTTATTGTCAGGTTCTGGTAAATCAAGTTTATCTTTTGTATTTATTTAATTGAATTTTTACTTAAAATTGACAATTATATTTCTTCTATTAATTTAAGTAACTTTGCTTTTTATTTCTATTTTTCAGCAGCACCCCATCTTTTTTTATCTTCTTATTATTTAATTTATTATTCCATTTATTTATACTCCTTTTAATATGATGATAATTCTTAATCCAAATGAGTTGGCAGTTTGAATTACTAAAATACAGGTTGATCAAATCATCTTACTTCAAATATTTTTGTACAATTAAGTGCCTAAGAATGTAATTCCTCACTTTTAACTTAAATTTCTCTGTAATATGGATCCTGTATATAATTTGCATAATTACTTCACCATCGACATAATTCTTTAATTTTTAATTCAGATTTGTATTCACATTATCAATTTCATTTTTTCTTTTTACACAAAGATTAATAGCATCCTCAAACTTAGTTACTTCATCTGGATTATCTATAAATCTTAAGTCAAGTATTTCAATTTATTGCATTTCTTATTATAATTAATTTAAATACTATTTTATTCTTAACAGATTATTATATTCTAACAATTATTCATAAAATATAAATGCTATGAGTATCTTAAATGTTAATAACATTATATCTTTATAAAGAATCCACATTTTTTATGGATATATTAAATAAAACACTTAACATTATGATTAATAAATATAACTATTTAAATTTATATATTTTATTTTGAAAATTTACTTGAGTAAAATAACTTAATTTTATATAATAAATTATCGATTAAATGAATTTCATAATTATAAGAAAGTAGAAATGTATCTAAATATATTACAATTTATTTAATTCAAAAAATAATATTCATTCTCAATTTAAAAAACTAATAATCAAATAAATTTATCATTATATACTTATTCAATTAAAAAAAGAGACTAAATAATTGAAAAATTAATAAGAATTAATAATAAATAAATTAAATTATGAAAATATTAAGAAGTCTAATTATTATATTATTGATTTTCAAGAATTTAATTCATAAAATATCTTAAAATAATTAAGATAACTTAGATTCCTGAATCTAAAATTTTTGATATTTGGATATTAATTTAAAATTTAATTATATTATATAACTTATATATAATTAATTCACAAATCTATTTCTTATTGAATAACTTCTTATGATGAAGATTGCTCTTCAGATGAAGGAGGTAATCCTTGAACTTCGATTTCACCATTTGGTAACACAATAACTGATTTATCAGCAGTGTAATAAAATATATCCTTGATACCTTTATACATTTATTCCTATGTTAATTAAGAAGCACTTTCAATAAAGAAATCTAAATCCTTAAATTTTTAGAAATAATAATCTTTTTCCTATTTTAGAATTTCTATCTATATAAGTAGATCCTACATAGAAGGTTATTTTTTTTAGTATGGTTCTATATGAGCAAAAGAATTAGTTTTTGGAATGCTGGTTAAAGGTTATAATTGATTGGGACTGCTAAATGTATCTCTTCTTATACTAGTTCTTGATCTTTCTGGGTTTCTTTTTGGAATAATTGTTGTTTAATCATCTAAATCAACATTTCCTCTTTTGACTTAAGGATCATAATCTTTAGGTACAATATGCTAATCCATATATTTCTTTAACCATTAAAGAAACTCCAAATTATCTTAATATTTGCATTTTGTTAACTTTTCTATTTCTATTGGTTTTTGAATTCCTAGTTTAGAGAATGCTTATTAGAGAACCTTAAAATTATTAACAAATTCATATTCTTGTTTAGCTTTCCAATTAATCTTATTTATGGCAACTATAATATTGATAAAATATATATATAAACCTTTTCCTGGATGAACAGCATCAACTAATTGACAATAGACTGCACCAGTTCCTAGTTGTTCAATTTTTTAGAGTGAGAGTTTTAATGTATCATTAACCCATTATAATAGTTCTGCTCTTGAAATTTCTATATTCATATTAATGGGAAATAAAATCTAAATCCAACTCAATTCAAAATTCTATTTTCCTAACTAAACTATACAAGGTATGTATAAGATCTATTAAAGGAATGGTGATAATAGAGGATTGTTAAGATACTTTGAAGGAGTTTTCTAAACTTTATATTAATTTATAAGGTGAAGAAGCATGGGATAAAGGGTTTGAGTGTCTTGAATCAAATGATTTTAATATCTTCCATTCCCAATTTAAATTGCTTAAAGATATCAATGAGGAGAGAAATCCTGATGATTAGAAATTGAAAATCTAAAAAACGATAGTAATTCCATTCACTTATACATTACCTGATAATATTCCTGGTTCAATGAAAAGAGAAAAGGGTTATAAATTGAAGATTGAATACTCTATGTCATTAATTGCTGAGACTCTATAATTAGATAGGATCCTCTTAAAAAAATTACCTATTATCATAAACTAATATGCAGTGAGACAAAACAACATTCGAAATATAGCTAATAGTCATGCCATACGTGGATATTGTTATACATATTAAGGAGTATAATTATAAAATCAATTTTAGATAGCTAAATTGGATTGTAAATATAGTGGAGAAGAGTTTTCAATTGGTGATTCAATTAATTTAGAATTGTAGATTGATTTAAGGGAAAGTAAGTAATACATTTAAGAAATCGTAATTTCATTAAATAAGAGGACCACTATCAATCATTAAGAACCAATAGTCATCATAGAATAAATTTCTAAACATAATTTACCTGGAGTTGTCTAAGGAATTGTTTAAACAATTAAAAAATCAATTGTGCTCTTTGATTTCAATAATAAAATAGAACTTTCTACAACTGGATAATTAATTAAAGTGGATTATTTAATTAGGATATAAGCCAATTCAACATTGTTTAACATCAACAATAATGATTTAAGGATAGATATCCCTATCAATTTATTCCAAAGAAGAATCAAATTAAATGATTTAAAGTTTGAAACTAACCAAATTAAAGATCTATTCCATCTATATGATGTAAATATAAAAATAATTGTTAGGTCGTAAAACTTTGAACAATAACATAATATTAATATAAAAATATTATTTACATTATTAATTAAATATCTTATGGGAAATAACTAATCTGGTGTTCAAATTGCTATTGATAAGTTTTACTACACAGAAGAATTGTTATCTGGAAAATTACTCATTGATAAATCTAAAATTAATTCAATTCAAGCCATCACTATTCGTTTTAAGGGGGAAATCTCATTATAAATAGAAGGTGAGTCTGTCAAAAGGGAATTTTGTATTTATGAAGGTAAGTTTGATGAAAATGAACTTTAATCTATTAGAAATTAGTCTGGAGTCATTGAATTTGAATTGTAGCTCTCCAACATTATTCCACCTTCTGTGTATTATTAATAATATAGATCCAGGGGAGGTTTATAATATAAATTAGAAGTGGAATTAAATCCTAATGGCTTTTTTGATTTAGAAATACTTAGAAAAGATATTGAGATACGATAATCAATGCCAAAAGTTAAAGAATTTAGTATTATCAAGGAATTAAATTTGGAAACAATATTTAGCAATTATGGAGTATTTTCATATCTTAATTAATAGACTCTTAATATGGACGTTAATGTTAATGAATAATAATTTCATATTGGTTAAACTGCTGAAGTTACTGTCTTTGCCGATAATACACTTGGATAAGTAGACATTGATTATATTACTGTTGAACACATTTAAGAAATATCAATAAAACCAGAACATGTATGGATTTCAGAAATTCAACTTATAAATTCCTAAGCTATCATTGGTGTTAAAGCCTTTCAGAAATATTAGAGTCCAATTAAGGTACTCTTGACCATTAATGATCCAAATCAAAAACTAAAACCTAATTTATAATTAGGGTTCCTAAAAATATAAAATTACATAAGGATTTCTACACCTTTTAGTGTATTCTAAAAAGACCCTAAATTTCCAAAAATTCCTATTGAAATTTGTAAATTAGAAAGTAAATGTTTATATTAAACAATGAATATGATTGATTAAGTTAAATTACCTAATGTAACATATATAATTAAAATAGAAAATAATATTAAAACCTGTGGTTATGAAATTAGATGAGTTAGACAAGGATTTTATAGAATTCAAGACGTTAAGAGATGTCAAAAATTTGTTAAATCATATTCGTAAATGAATTGTTATTCTCATTAAATTAATTATATAAAATGCAATACGACAGATCTTTGTTAACTGAAGATATTATTGGGGCTTAACCAAAACATAGGAAAGTCAACATGAATAGAGTTTTGCCTAATTAATTGCCTTTAGAAGAATAACTACGATTATAGTATTAAAAATAATCATTATAGAAAATAAATACCTCATCAAGATATTCGATTTGGCAGAAGACGTTATGAAAATGATGTTCATCATTTTTGTAATATATGCCTACCTTAAGAACACTAATACTTTGATAAAAGAAATACAATTAAAACATCAAAACATTTTTATTTTTTATTAGACAGAGAATATGTGATTTATTATGAAAATTTAATTTCTAAAAATATGAAATGATTTGATAATGAATTTGACAAATAAAAGGATACTATGAAGATTTTTTCAATGATTATCTAGATATTTTTGGTTTTTACTTCAATCTTTTTATTTATTTATCAAAAATATATAAAATAATTCGGTTTTTCTCATAATTTTATGAATATATCCTTGAGCTATAGTCATGAGTCAAAATAATAATTATATAAATTTAAGCAAAAATAATTTTTAAAGTAGTATTGGATTATTAATTTGAACTAATAAAAAAGACTGTTATAGACTAGCAATATATTTATAAAATTGGATGCTATATGAGTATTCAAATAATTTTTATAAATAACAAAAAATTTACAACATCAAGTTTAATATCAAATCTTTAATAAAAACCCCAAGAAAGTCTAATTTTTTTTCTTTTAATTAAAATATTTTTTCATTAATCTTAACTAAATCCTTTGGTTTATAGTAAAATGAAAGATTTATCTAAAATCTACTGTAGAAGGCCTAATGAGTTTCCAAAAGGTGATATTAAATAATATTAGGCATTGGGAAATTATTAAGAGTATTCTAAGTATGAATTAGTTTTTGATAAGGGTAATTTGGGTTTGACAGATTATTAAGTACAAAAGATATTGAGGGAGCAGTTCCTGGAAGTTTATAAAGTTAAGCAGTTCGAAATTAAGAGATTGCTAAAAAGTTAAGATTAGAAAGAGAAATATAAAATAAATCTTATAATCATTCTTAAATTGATGAATTCACAAAAGAAGAAAATTATTTATATTCTGGAAGAGATAGATCAAATACATTTTAAACAAGTTGCTTTTAAAGTATGAATTTAAAGTATTAATTTATAGAAAATTCTGAGAAATCATCATAATTACCACCTATAGAGAGAATATCAGATACAGTAGATCATGTAGCTAATAAACTTTAATTAAGATAGCCTCGTAAAAGTTTATAATTGGAAGACTTCAGATTAAAAAATAAATAAGCATTATTAAGAATATTTATTTGATTTCATTATTTTGTAATTAATTTTATATTTATACATATTTCAAGATTTACATCAAGAATATTAGATTTCAAACTGTGAGTAGATCTTGTATTATATTTTACGCATCAAGTACTGTTTGCTCAGATTCTTTCATACCTTAAACAACATCAAATTATAAGAATCCATGAGGCATCCATTTATATTCAGTAATTTTAATATCTTTTCCTAATTTCAATAATTTATTAGCCAATCTAAAACTCTCATCATGTAATGGATCATTAGTACCTAAAACAATTCTAGTTGGAGGAAATCTTCCAAGAATTTCATCACTAGCAATTGATGGTGACATTAATGGATCTAATTTTGCATTAAATTATTATGGAACATAAGATGAAATGCATAATTTCAATACAGTATGGTGTAATAATGGATCATTTAAAGAAATTAATAAACTAGGAGTAAACTGTTTAATATCTAAACATAATGCAGGATAAGCCATTAAAATTCCATCAGGAATTCTTGCCCCAGATTTAATAATTTAAACAGTCAATGCAGCTACTAAATTACCCCCAGCACTATCTCCAACTAAGACAACTTTCTTTGGTCTAATATTGAAATACTTATCAATGTAATTAATTATGAACATATAAGCTTACCAACAATCATCTAAACCAAAAGGATAAGGATTTTCTGGAGCTTTACGATAGTCAATAGAAAATATTGGCACTTATAAATTTTTAGCCCATTTCCTTGTATAAGTTTGATGAGATCTAGATGACATGCTCACAAATCCTCCTCCATGTATATGGATAATTATTTTATCAAATACTTTTTCACCTTGTATCAACTTTAGAGATTATTATACAAAACTCCCAGTTTATATTTCTTATAGATTATAATGACATAATATTCTAACAGGTATTGTTTCTTTATTTTTTTTAAATAATTCTGGACATTTTGGTAAATTTGTATTAATACATTCTCCACAATCATTTTAAATATGATTAATTTTATTCTCCTTATATTATCTTAGTATATTATCTTCAACTAATCTTTTAAAGAGATATGGAATATATATCTTTTTGTTATATGTAATCATAGGAAAGAGAAGTGGTAATAATTTACTAAGAAAACCACTCTCTCCCAAATTCCAAGCTTTAAATGCTAGATTTTTATTTGGTTCAGCCATAAAATGATCAGCTTTTAATTTAGCATCTTTTTTGGCTACTAAATAATATAATGCACCGAATCCTTACATTACATTTTTAGCAGCTTCATTATTAAATTCTGATCCCTTAGAAATCATGGCATTGGCAAGTAATAAACCTTCAGCTACTTTTCCATAGGATTTTGATATTTATTCTCTTGAACCCAAAAGGATTTCTTAAGTAATACTATTTAGGCTTTACCATCTATAATGTCCTCTATCATAACAAAATATATCATTGATATCCAAATTAGCAGCTCCTGGTAATTGTTCAAGACAGGTTTATAATTTTGATAAGTAGATTACTAATAATCTTAATTCTTATTTTTCTCTTCTCACTTCAATAGTTTCAAACAATACTGATATTTATGAAAGAATATGTGTAATTACAAATTCTAGCAATATACAAACAGCTTTTTCATTGAATCTCTTTTTATTAACATTTATATTATATTCTTCATTGATTGATTTACTTATGATTTCTTTATCATTTGTTATTAGTCCAATTTATTCAAGTTATAATATACCAATAAATGTTATTTTTATAGCTTAGAAAAATCTAGGAAGAAAGTTTGCTTATGAATTAAATCTTTTAGTCAAATCAATTGCCTTCAAATGAAGTTTATTTAATAGATCATAAGTTTCACTAAGATTTTGATATAATTCTTTAGAAATGGCTACTTAATTAAAAATAGGGCAATTAAAGACTTTATTAATTATTTGTTATTGTGATTATATCATATCTTGTTTTAAAGATTATTTTTAGGTTTATTTGAATTATTCTTGATTATCATTCCATTCTTATTATATTTAGATTGATTATTGTGATTATTCTAATTATTCTGATTACTCTTCTGTACGTAATTCTAGAGTAATATCTTATGTTAGATTTGTCATAGACATACAAGATTTAATTTGATCTTCAATAGATTACATTTAAATTGTTTTTATTATATTATATTATTTTCATTTGTATTTATCAGTTCATTTATTGAGATTAGGTAACGATTCGTATAAAACAAGAGATTTTGTGGAACAAATTTGAACAAGACTTCTTCCATTTCCAATCCTTCTTTATTATTTACTCAAATTCTGTATCCGATATTTTTTTTCAATTAATTGTACATATTCATGGAAATTGGGAGGATTTGTGATTCTCTTTAGAGATTCTTTAGATTCTGTTTAAGCCCTTTATTATTAAAATCTCAATGTTGATTAAGTATGTTATAATTCTTGTAACTTCTTCTATTTACTAAAACTCCAATCACTTGATTGCCAAGTAACTCTTAATTTTTGTTTATCCATTATAAAATTAAATATAATATATCATATATATCAGATAATATGATTTTAAATAAAACTTTAATAAACATTTTCTAAATTTAGATACATTACTCTTTAGTTAAAATTTTCAAATCATAATACCCATATTTATATTTCCATACATCATACTATAATTACAATAAAACTTTATTGATTTTTTATTTAATTTTAATATATACTTCCATTTAATACTAAATCCCTTTAAAAACAATTCAAAACATCAATAAAATCTTAATATACTTTAGTTTCATTCTAAATTTTTATGAATTAATCAATTATGATATTCTAAATTAAGATAATGAAAAGAATCTTAATATATCTAATATCTATTATCTAAATTATAAATTAAATTTAATATATAATTATCATTCTACTCTTTCATATTTCTTATTTATATTGTATAATTTATTAATATTTAGTTTATCATAATTTATTAATGTTTTTACCAATAAACACTTAAAGTATTTAATTTTAAGAATATTAGAAACATATTTGAATGTCAATGATTGTTTGGATGGTTTGAAGGGATAGAAATTACATGACATCTCACTTTAGATTACTTAAGCTAGAAATGAGATTTTAAAATAGATGCAATAATCAACTAATCGAAAGAGAGTATTGGCTGAAGAGATGAGTTAAAATATTGATGAATTCTTAGAAGCTGTAATAATAAATTGAAATAATGAGTTTAGAAACATTCTATTAGCAAAAGATTTCAGAAATAAGTCTTTAATTTGATTGATTCCAAAAAGATTGAATAAGAATGCGAGTAACATAAGATAGTATGTATTGAAACAGATGAAGTTAAAGATGATTTTAAATAATTGCATGATTTGATTAAATCTACATTTTGTAAGTGATTATGCAATATATTTTAATGGCATTATTTTAATATTTTAATATTTTGTAATATGAAAAAAGTAGAGTCACTCTAATATATTGAAAATAGCTCTAAGAATTAATAGATATCATAAAATCATGTCAATAATGATCTGTTATTTTATTTATATATACTAGTAATCATTCAAATGTACATGAAACACCAGAAAAAATAAAGAACTCAAGTATTGATAAAGGTTAGAAATAGCGATAAAGTTCTTTTGATTAATTTAATCGAATCCAATTTCATGAGTAAAATATATGATTGATTATATAGGGAAACATTCCCATTAGAAAGTAATTATGACAGAAATATTGATAATTCAAAAATTTCTGAATATTCATTATAAAGTATTGAAAGAGAAGACATGGTTGAAGATAGAGTTAATAATCATACACTCCATAAATCAATCCATATCTATTCTAAATTTATATCTTCAGCATCCCATTAGTTAAATATGCAATAAAAACCAGAGGCAGAACCTGAAAAGCCAGGAATTCTCATGAATCTCTTAAATGCATTTAATCAGTAATAAGAAGTATAAGCTGAATATTTTAATGATATTGAATATGACAAAATCATAAGTAGACATAAAAAACTAATACAAAGGAACACAATCAAAGATCCATATTACGTTAGATTAGTTAAATTATCTGAATTTCAAAGATTAAATTATGAGTTGCAAGTAACTTTTTATAATTTATAAAGAAATATAATGACAATTTACCTTTCTTAAATCTACGAAAAGGCTTTATATATGTCATATACAGTATCCCAATAATGGCTAGAAAAATAGTAAATAATTTTATATTTAAAATATTGATGACATTTCTCATCTTATTTAATGTTGTATTATATATTGTTGTTAAAACAAATGGAAGAACAGATACTGATCATATAGAAGAAGTAGTTATGATTTTATTTATTTCTGAAATAGGATTAAGAATTATAGCCAGTGGTGTGTTTTTTAATGATTATGCTTTTTTTAGAAATATGGAAAATATTTATGATTTTGTACTCATATTTTTCACTGCTATGAATCTTTATTATCCTGAAATCATAATTATTGATATATCACCACTAAGATTAGTAACATTATTAATGTATTTGACAAACATATTTCAGGGATTAAATGTTATGATGACTGCCTTAAAATAGTCATTCAAATTCTTAATAGAGGCATTGATGATAGTAATATTATTTTCATTAATATTTGCATCTATTGGTATATTTCTATTCCAAGGATTATTCAATTATAGATGTCAATATGAAAATGGTGATGAAACTGATGGTTGGATATAATGTAATTAAGATCAATGTCCTTCTGGAATGTATTGTATGTATAGTGATTATACACCTAAAATGCCTACTTCTTTCAATAATTTAATTGGTTCTTTAGGTTAAATTCTAAGAACTATTACTATGGATGATTGGAGTTGGGTTATGTTTTTTACTATGAGAATATTTCATCCATGGATTTGGCTTTATTATTTATTAATCATTTTTATTGGAGGTTTCTTTGGATTCAACATAGTTATTGCAGTTTTGAAAGTCCATTATTCAGAGGCAACAGAAGAAAATAAAAAAAGAGAAGAAGAAAAAGAAATTTAGAAAAGATTGAAAGAAGAAGAGGAATATCCAGAAAGAAATTTATTAGAAATTCTAGATGTTGCACATTTAAGAGAAATTGGTATCTATAAAGTGATCAAAAAATATAGAAATCACTTAAATGAAGTTTCATTTAAAAAATATGCTATTGAAGATCCTAGTACATTTAAGAAATCATATCAAACTACAAGAACATTATCAGCCAAATAAAAATAAATGGAAAGTGGTATCATTAAATTACCATTTATACAATATATTACAAGTTTTACTTGGAAAAGATTTCTTTTACCAAAATTTGATATTTTAGATGCATTAATTAAGAAAATCAAAATAAAAAATTATACTGAGGATGAATTTAATATGAAAATTATTGAAAAAATTAAAACTTATAAATTTTCAAGATTATAACCTTAAGTTAATAAGGATGTTAAGCAAAATTTTAATTCTTAAAATGAAGTATTACTTAAATTTATGTAATTATAATTTTGATTATATTTAGTAATTAATAAGATTTAATTCAAAAAGAAAAAAACTTTAATTTAGAAAAGATAAGATCCACAAAATTCAAAATGATTTATCATGAAATGAAAATTGAAAAGCAAATATTGTATGGCAAAACTTAATTTGCAAAATCAAGTTTTCCCACTAAGAGCAAGGCCTCATCACCATTTATGAGTATTTACTAAAAGAAAGCTGAATAGAGTACAGATTCCATTGTTAATTTCGAGTAAATTAATCCTAAATCATTTAATAAAATGAAAGAATCATAAATTTTAGAAACTTACTATAAAAATTTCTCTATTATTAGAAATGGAAAACCTTATATATTTGTTTAAGGATATTATACAAATTTTGAAGGAGTTTAAGAAAAAATAAATTAAAAAATCCCATTAATAATTCATGATTAAGTGTCGAACAAATTTAAATATTAAGGTATGAGAATGAAGGAATATTAAAATCATAAGACAATTACTAAACATAATTGGTCAGGTAAAGATGTACTTGAAATCAATAAAAAGAGATTATAGTATTTTCATATAGTTTTATTATTGCTTAATAAAATAGACATAATTATTTGGATTAATGGAATTAAAGGACTATACATTATGTCATAAAAATATGCATACTTAATAGCAACTAGCAGATTTAGTCAATTCTTTTTTGATTTAGTAATACTTAACAATTTTACATTTTTATCACTCTAAGGAATTGTGGATATCAATATTATATCAACAGTTGAAGATATATCAACAATATTTTTATGTTTTGAATTGGTAATGAGACTTTTGGGTTTTAAATTTAAAGATCTTTTAAGATCTCCTGATTTAATTTTATAATCTGTTATTGTAATAATAAACTTTTTTGAATTAACAATTAGTGATTATATGACAACTTATTTGAATGAATAAAATTTAAGATTAATTAGAGGTACAAAGTGTTTGCTTTTTTATAGATGTCTTAAATATAATAAGATGGCAATTACTATTGGTCATATTGCTTCTATGACTTTTGATTAATACATTTATTTAACTTTCCTTATGTTTTTAGTGATATTCATGTATGCTCTAACTGGAATGGAAATGTTTGTAGGGAAATTCGATTAAAATGATTCACTTGGACAATTACATTCTTATGAGAATATCTTTAAATCTTTTATGACAATATTTAATATTATGACTAATGATGATTGGTATGGAGTTTATGTGATTGGAAGTGATATTAATTTTACTTTTTCAATAATCTACTCATTTTCTTTGGTATTAATTCTAAATTATCTAACATATGGTTTAGTTATGGCTGTTTTATTGGATGGATTTGGAAAGTATTTAGATTAACCAATTGAAGAAATTCAAAATTAAATGTAGAAGAACATTAATGAATAATTGTAGCATATTACATAGAATTCAGATGAAATACAAATGCAATTAGTTGAAACTATTTAGGAATCAATAATGACTAATAAAAATATGTCAAATGATGAACTAAATAAATCTAAACCAAATTTAATTTACAATCTAATTAAGTCAATAAGTAAATATTAAATATTATTTACTTTTAGAATAAATTAATAGAAAGTTGTTATAAAGAACACCTAAATTATATGAGGGTATAGAATGTGAATCATCATTATTTTTATTTGAGAAAGACAACATATTTCGTATTGCATTAACTCACATTACAACATCAATGATATATGTATATATAATGGATATAGTTACTTATCTTTCAATCATTGCTTTTATACTTAAAACTTATAATGATTATGAAACAAATAGTGAATCATATCCAGATACTCTTCAATTCTCATGTAATATAATTTAATTGGCAGATACAATATTTAATATTATTGCAAAGGGTTTATTTATGGATCAAGGATCTTATTTAGTATCTACATTCTAAGTTTTTGATTTTATCTATTAAGTTTCAAACATCATAGCATTTGGTAGTAATCCTGATGATTTTAAGCCAATTCTCAAAATTTTACTTTATTTAGGTTATTTTAGACCAATGAAATTAATGTATAGATTGAGTTGGTTAACAAATTTAAGAGAAGCAATTGGAAGATCATTATTTGATATTTTTAATGTTATAATAACTCTTTTATCAGTGTGGATAATGTTTGGAGTTTATGGTATAATACTTTATGAATAATAATTTGGATATTGTGAAGATAAGATGGCTTTTGAAGTAAATAAAGAAACTTGTTTAAGTGAAGGTAAAATATGGGTAAATTATAAACATAATTTTGATAATATTACTATTGCTATTCCAACTTTGTTTGTAACAGCTACATTAGATGGATGGGGAGAAATATATTAAGTAGCTGAGAATAGTTAAGTGGCTTCAATAGGTCCCTAAGCATTTAATTCATATGTTGTAACTTATATATTCTTTTTACTTTTTGTTTTCATAGGATCAATGTTCTTTTTAAGTCTTTTTACAGGAGTGCTTTATACAAATCTAAAGAAAAATCAAAAAAAAATTGAAAATACAGAAGTTACTTAATCACAAAAGGAATTTAAAGAAATTTCATCTATGTTAATAAAAGATTTTCCATAATTCTCAACTCCACCAACAAATGGAATAAGAAAGATATCTTCTGATATTACAAGTAGTATTACAATTTAAAAATGTTTATTTCTACTTTTATGGGTTGATTTTATTATCTTATTGATGTTTACATCAGATATGAGTGATGAATACTTTAGAACTATTAATGATGTTCATAATGCATTAAGTAGTATTTATTTTATTTGGGTTATTTTGTTATTTTTGGCATTAGGTGTAAATAGATTTTTTGATAATTATTGGAGAAGATTTTATTTCTTTTTAATAGTAATTGCAGTAATTGATTTTATAGCAGATTATTCAGTAGATTGGATTATGATATATTACAAATCAACACCAAATGATAATGGATTCTAATTACTTCGTTTATTCTTTTCTTTAAGAAGTTTAAGAATTATATTAATTTTCTAAGGATTTATAAATTTATAAAGATTAATAAATGTGATTCTTTTTGCATTACCATATTTAGGTAAGATCTTTTCAATTTTATTAATTACAATGTTAGTTTTTGCTTTATTTGGTTGTCAATTATTTGGTACAATAGATGCTGGATAAGTATTAGATGATTAACTCAATTTTATGACAGCTGCAAGTGCTATGATGACATTATTTAAATGTGCATCAGGTGATGATTGGAGAACAATTATGACAGATACAATGCATTATAATCCTTTATGTTGGGAAGATCCTAAATATTGTGGATCATTTGCAAGTTAAATATACTTTTTTTTATTTATGTTCTTTTCCACTTATGTTCTTTTAACACTCTTTTTATTAAGTTTGGTAGAATAATTTGAATCATTTTTCCAATTATAAGACTCACCAATTCAATCATATGTAGAAAATATTGATAAAATTAAAACAATTTGGTGCAAATATTCTTCTGAAACAAAGGGATAAACAATGCATTATAAATTTTTATGCAAATTTCTATTAGATATTGGTAAACCTTTAGGAGGAGGTGAAGAAGAGAATCTTTGGGATGTTGCTAAAATTGCATCATCATTTAAATTAAAATGGTAATTAATTTAGATTTATTTTATAGTGATCATTATGGTTATATTTAATATAATCAATTGATTTATGAATTATTTAGAGTTAAATTTCATTCAGATGTTTTTAAAGATGGTAGTCATGATTCTATCAAATAAATTAAGTAATTTAACAAAGAAATGCAATTACGTTTAATGTATTATAGAAAAAACAGACATATTGAAAGATCGAACATAAGTTCTGCACTTTAATTAAAAGCTAATTTTAATATTCTTCATGATTATCTTACTGTATTAATTCTATTTAAAACTTGGGAATCATACAGTAAGATCCTAATTAAAAAGTTAGCTATCAAATAGAATTAATTTTCAGATGATGCTATATCAATGGATAGTGAATTATAATAGAAGTAAATATTATATTATTATTATATTAGTAACAAAAATAATGTAAATCACCTTATGGAACCAGAAATGTTTGAAGCTTCATGTGAAGAAGTAGCAAATATTAATTGTAATATCGAAAACAAAAAACATCATCATACAAATGAAAGTTAAAATTTATCAAATGTTGAATTGCCAATCTATTAAAGTGCTTCGCCATTCTCTATTTAAGAAGAAGATGTTAAAATAATCCTCTCTGCTGCTAGAGAAAAGCAGTCTATTATATGATTTGTTATATTTGTTTTTTTAGTTGTTAATAGTTTATTAAAAATATATGATATATAATACTAAAATGATTGAATTTATAAAAAAGAAATAATTTATATTGGATAATACTATAATTTTGAGATTCAACTATTTTTGATCTTTAAATAATATAAAAGAATTTCCAAGATTTCCTAATTCATTAATTGAAATAAATATATATTGTAAAATTAGCAATTGAATATAAAATATGTATGAGATTGATTTTGTAACAGAAATATGATCTCATTAATTAATAATAAAATGAGTAAAGAATGTTCAGTATTATTTCATGTGACAGTAAGAACATCTCTTTCTTAAGTTGTTGGAGTAATTGGTAATTAACTTGAATTGGGGAGTTGGAATGAGAAAAACTTGAGTATTTTAAAAACAGATCCCTCAATATTTCCAAAATGGGTGGCTGAGAAACCAATTATATTTAAACAGGGTAACTTGTAATGATTGATTTAGGAACTAAGTTGGAATTTAAATTTGTAATTTTAGATAATGGAAAAGCAATTTGGGAAGAATTACCTTAAAATCGAAAGTATAGATGTAGATATTGGAAAGTAATATTAACTGCTGAATGGAATAATTATGAAGGAAAAGAATATGTTGAAAAGAGATTTAAATCAAGTGTGTGTTTGAATCAAGAGATATTAAGTTAATATACTAAACCAAGATTAAATGATCAATTTGATCCATTTGATTAGGCTAATGATGATTCAGAGGATTCTGTAGATGGATTTGATAGTTTTTCTAAGGAAATAGCAAATAGAAAGAATTCTGAATCATCAGAATCAGAAGATGATAAAAAGAAACCAGCTTTAGAGATAAATAAAGATAGTGAATTTTCATCACTTTATTAGTTATATACAGAGAATCCTAAATTCAGACAATTAAAGAATTTTAGTTAAAATGATATTTTATATGAAATAAATGAGGATCCTTTGATTGGAATTAGTGATGAAGATTCATTATTAATATCTACATATTATCTTCCTATTGTTGTAATTAAGTAAATTGATGGATCTTATTAAAAACATAATTTTTAGCATTCATTTAGTTTGCATTTATTATTTGGTGTTCAATAATTTAAAAGAATTTGGTTTGGATTACCTATAGTATTGAATGAAATAGGAGAGAAAATTAATGATTAAAGTGAAGACTTAAAACATTTTTTAAAACAATTTGGATTTGTTCCTGTATTTGTCAATTAAGAATGTTTGGATTATTTCAATAAAGAATTTTGTACTAAATTATATTAACCTATTATGAATAATGATGTCAGTATTACAAAACTTTCTGCACTTGAATATTCAGATCATATGTAAGAATGTTTTAAAAAACTTAATGATGAATTTTTTTAAGAAATTAAACCATATATTAATTAAAATTCAATTGCATTAATAGCTGATTACAGATTATTATATTTGAGTCAAATTTTTGTAAATCACAAATTTACTAGATTACCTTTAGTGATATTTTATAATAGATTATTCCCTCATTATGATAATTTGAAGTTGATTCCTTTTTTTAATGAAATAATTAATTCATTTTTACATGCTAATGTTATTTGTTTTAGTAATTATAAAACTGCCAATGAATTCTTAACAGTTATGAAAGATATATATTAAGTTGAATATCATTCATTTAAAGGTAATTTGGCATTCCATTATTATGGAAGAGAAATCTATGTCAAATTACAAAATCCAGGTATAGAAATATCAGCTTGTGGTGAATAATAATATGAAATTATTGAACCTCATTATAATTAAGAAGATAATAAAAAATAATTAAGAATAGTAGGAGTTGATACATATGGACATTAATCAGGAGTTGAATTGAAATTTAGACATCTATTCAAATTCATTAAAGAAACTAATATTATTTAAGAGAATCCTAATATTAAATATATACAAATATTATTGAAAGCTTTTGAAGATCATGATATTAATGAGTAAAGAATCTCATTATTAAATCAAATTGAACAAATCAATTCATTTCTATATCCAAAAAAAGATAATTATTTTGTCAAATTGATTGAAGAAGAAATAGATTCTAAACATAGATTTAAGGAATTTGAAAAAGCTAATATATATCTATAATGTAAATATAGTGGTAGACACGATTTCTATTTATCAGAGTATATTCATATAAATAATATGCCAATTGCTTTGATTAGTGATTCAAGTTGTTATCATAGAGGATTTCAATCAATAATAACTTTTAATGTATTTTCGCATCTTGATTTTAAAGAAAAGTTTTCAGATTTATTATTAAAAGTACTACAAAATTAATATTAATTTACTTAATTACAAAAACTTAAAGTACAAAAAGATTAATAGATAATTAGACAAAATTAAACATCTTAATGGATAGAGAACATTTTTATTGATGCTAAAAAGGCTGTTTCAATGCTCAAATTTGCTTAAATTAGTTTACGTATTTAAGATAAATTGATGATTAAAGTAGCACATAATTTAAAATTTCAGCATTTGGATATTTAGTCTGTTGCAAAAGCATATTAGTAATCTACTAAGCCAATTATTATTATAGAGTTTGAAACCATTGTTACTGATTAATATTTTATAGATTACAAGCCAAAGCATTTTCTTTAACAGAGTCCTCATTTGAAAGGTAATGACGAAGCAATAATAATTAGATAAGTTGAAAAGGAATTACTAGATAGAATTAAGGAATTGTCAAAAATGAATAAAGTATATATTGTTTCAGGTGGATTATTTAATGAATTATCTTCTATATTTAGTGGTTACAATTTAAGTTTATTTGCAGAAAATGGATTTTTATATAAATCAGATTAATTGTAATGGAATGCTCTATTCAATTTAGATTATTAATGTCTGATTCAGGTGAGAAAGATATTTAATTAATATGCCATTAAAACAGAGGGAGTTGAGATAGAATCAAAAGAAAGTTCAATAAGTTTGAAACTTAAGAATTCAGATGAATATGTTCAGTAACTTATATAAGATCTAGTTGAAAATGTTTAAATCATTGTTGATAGATACCCAACATTTTAATTAATTGTTGGATCTAATTCAGTAGAAGTTAGTCCTAAAAATCTAAATAAAGGAATGATTTTAGAAATCATTATGTAGAAGGAGAATTTATCAAGGGGCAAATTAGATTTTGCTTTAATTATAGCAAGAGGAATACAAAATGAAGATATCTTCTCTCACTTTAAGGTTATTACTTAAAGTAGAAAGTATTTTAGTGAAGTACATTTATTATTTTAACTAATAGAATGCTAGTCTATATTCAGTATCTTAAGGACTAGTACCATCATATGCAAATTATTATCTTAATAATCAATAAGAACTAATTTAATTATTTAAGACTATTTGAATATATTATTGTATTTTATTAAATAATAATAATAAGAAGTCATACATTTTAATCAATTAAGTTCCATTTATAAACTTCTAAATAGGTGAAACCCTTAATTTTTAACAAATAGTATAATTATTCTAAAATATTCTTTACCCTCCCCTATTAAACTCTTATTAATCATGGCTTATTCAATAAATATCCATATATCATATAGGTATACAAACTAAATATCTATTAAAAAATAATGAATGGATGATTCTTCTACTTAAAATATATTGACTTTGATTTAGATCTTGTAGAATATCAACATAAATATTTAGGAATGATTGAATTCTGTATTCACCAGTTATAAATCAAGTGAAATAGCAAAATTAAATTAAGTTTAATTTTATTATTATGAACATAGTAAATAATAAATGAATGATCATTATTTTTATACAATTTAACTAAAAACTTCCTTAGTTTGAAGTAATGAATTTTTTTTTTGGTTATTCCATATATTTTATAAGGACTCATAATGTTATATTCTATAATAATCATCAATTAATTAAATAATGAATCGCGAAGTTAAGGTCGTATTATTAGGAGATTCAGGAGTAGGCAAGAGTTCGATTGTGTTGAGATTTTGTTCAGATATATTTAAAGTCACTCATGAATCAACTTTAGGAGCAGCTTTTATGGCTAGAACAATAGAAGTTAATGGAATCAATTTTAAATTTCAGATTTGGGATACTGCTGGTTAAGAAAAATACAAATCCCTCACTCCATTGTATTATAGAGGTTTTGTGCTTATATATTTTTAGAGGCTTAAGTTGCATTGATAGTTTATGATATTACACATAAGGATTCCTTTGATGTACTTAAATCATGGGTAAACGAATTAAAAGCTCATGGCCCAAAAAAGATAGGTATAGTCTCTTATTTCATTTTTAGTTTAAGTTCTTGTAGGAAATAAAAATGATTTGATTGAAGATGAGAAAGTTTCTTATGATGAAGCAAACAATTATGCTTAAGTAATAAGAAATACTTATTCTAGCAAATTGGGGCTTCTCTCAAGCTCACCAGTTGTAAAGAGAATAAGGGTATCTAAGAATTGTTTGTCTCGATTGCTGAGCAGATCTTATATGAAGAATAAAATAAAATAGTTGAAGGTAAGAAACCAGAAAAGCCATAAAATCCCAGTGTCAGAGTTACTACAGATGATTAAAATAAAAAAAAGAAAAAAGAAGGAGGATGCTGTTGAATTCAATATTGTTTAAAATTATAAATATCTATTCTTCCTCAAATCAAATTATTCATCATGAACATCATCATAATATATCTAAAAATTGCAAATACTTTAAATAAAATTCCAAACTCCAGAAAGTGCCTCTCAATTTAATTAATCAAATTCATTGTTTTCCATAAAGATTCCAAGTCTATAGTATTGTTTTTTATCTCTATTTATATTCCTATTTATGTAATTCTATTCTAATATATAATCTTCAATTCCATTTAATGTTTTATTTACTTGATTCACTACTGATCGGTAAAATTCAAATATGTATCAAGTATTTTTTCTAATCTCTAGTAAAAGGGACATTCAACATTTTTTCTTTCTATCGTTTATCTATGCATTTCTCAAATAACTCCTTTTATATTTAAAAGAAGCTTTACTTCTTGTATCTAATTCATCTTCTCAACATTGGTGAGTCTAATAAATACTATTTAAAATAAGGATTCCATTATAATATATTAAAATTAATGTAATTTACTAAGAATATATATTTTTCGATTAAAATCTTAGGCTATCCTATTCAGTTTAGCCATGCACAAGAGGATAATATCAAAAATGCAGAGTCTTTTTCTATTGAGAAAATGAACAGTTAATCTTATCACCATTTTTAAGTTGAACTTAAATTTCGAGATCTTAAAATTTTTTGAAGATATTATAACAAAATAATCTCAAAATCCCTTTTGAATAAATATCTAAAAAAATAGTCATAATTTCAATTGAGTATTTTAGAATCATCTTAAGAATCAGATAAAGAGATTAAGAATTGTGTTTCATTATTTAAAACATTTGATAAGACTTAAAATTCACAGAAAGGGAATATGAATTAAATAAAGGCGAAGAAGGTGTTTAATATGATTCTAGATATTTATTTAAATCTTTAAAAACTTAATAATGTTATTTACTTTAATTAAAATACAGAAATTAAAGTAAAGTGTGAGATTGTTTTAAAATTAATCCAAAATAATACGAAATCAATACTCTTATCGAAATTTTCATAATAATTAGATTCTAAAAATAAATTTATTCCATTTCAATATCTCATGCTAATTTTAATTTAAAATGTTGTTTTAGAATCTAGTAAAGAATTTAATTTAAAACAATAAAATTTGTTGAAAAACACTTAAAAAATCTGGAAATAAATTAGGTATAATTAGGTATAATAAATGTTTTTTAATATATTCATTATTTAATAAAAAAATACAATAAATAAAATATATATCAAGCTTTGAAATTTTTATTTTATTTATATAAAATGTTAAGGGTGATATATATGAATAATTATCCAATCTATTTGATTTGGATTAAGAGATTGAAATTTAGATTTATAGAATTGTCCTGTTTTTTTATTTTGAGTAGGTATAAAAAATTTATAATAAAAACTTTTTATCATGCAGAAGTGAAATTTGAAAATAATTAATTTTCATTTCTTTTGAATAAGCATTATCATTAAGTGATAACACATATGTAAAGATTTGTTAATAAAGCAATTATGTATATAAAATTAAATAATGAAAAAAAAGGAGAGTCCGTTCTTTGGCTTAGATAATCCTGTCTATAGTTAAAACATCTCATCTCCTCGATTTGAGGAACTATTACCAATTTACTCTAATGATAATGCGATTGAATAACCAATAGAGGAAGCATTAAAAGATAAGAGAAATATTTTTGAGAGAAATAATTTTGGGGCAATGAAAGATGGGCATAAGGAAGAAAGTTCTGAGGATGATCTTTATTTGAGTAGCGTCAGGTAAATTATTGATTGGATCATATAAGTGATAACAGATATGATTAAGAATCTGCAAGATCAAGAACGAATTCTTTAATTAGACAATAGAGAAGTCTTAGTATTTAGAAAAATCAATAGATAAATTAAAACTCATTGAAAAAAGCGAATACTGGTTTAATAATTGATTCCACATTCAATTTATAAGTTTAAGGAGTAAAGTCAAGCTCCAAAATTGATAAATACTAAAGTTTTGTATAATAATTTGAATTGGAAGAAGACAAAATAAGAAAAAATAAGGAATTAATACAGCAAAAGAGTAATCAAACTAACGAGCTATCATCTAAAAGAAATAGTGGAATAAATAAAGGCAAAATTGGGTAAATATTAATCTGATTTAAAGATTAAATGGTATATGGGCAGTGAAAGGATTTATTATAATACGACTAGTATCTAGATTTATCCAATAACTAAAGACAAAAACTGAAACAATAAAGTTTAGACTATTAACAAGGAAAATATTTTCTGTAATTGGAGATGTGTCTAGTAATTTTGAATTTATCTTAATTTCTCGTTAAATTAAGTAATAACCTAGTCTAGTATTAAAATATAATTTATTAGTTTTTAATTTTGAAATATAATTTTCAGAAAAGAGCGACGAGACTACTACATTACTTAGAAAATTGTTAAGATTTCTTAAGTAGAAATATAATAGTAATAAGACCAGATAGTAAATTTAAAATTATTTGGGATATATTATTATTACTCTTTATAGTGATGAATATATTTTACATTCCCATAAATATCAGTTTCAATATTTCTACTTAAGGAGTATTTGAATACTTATTTGATTTATTACCATCATGGATTTTTGTAGCTGAAATAATTATTAATTTTAATACTGCCTATTATGATAAGGGATTGATGCATGAAGATAGAAAGTCAATTGTAAAACATTATTTAAAAGACAATTTTTTTTGGGATTTAATTGTAGTAATACCATTTTTAATGTCAAATATGAATATACCATTCGTTAGATATACCTTATTATTTAGATTGACAAGGTTAGCACCACTGATGGAAAGTATTGAAGAAATGTTGAATTTGGAAGTAATAATTAATATATATGATTAGGAAAATATACAAATTGTTGTTGATCTTTTAAAACTTATCTTTTTTCTTGTTTTGACAGGTCACTTTTGTGGATGTGCATGGCATTTTGTTGCTTTAACAGAACATGAATCATTTGGAATAACAGATAATTGGCTTACTCATTATGACAGATAGGCTTTTGATTATCATTGGTTTGACAGATATATCATATCACTTTATTGGAGTGTAATCACAACAGTTACAGTTGGTTATGGTGATATTGTACCTGTTACAACATTTGAAAGGATATTTGTAATTATTGTAACGTTATTGCTTTGTGGAGTATTTGGTTATTGTATATCAAATATTGGCAATATATTTAAATAGATGTCTGATAAGAAGACTACCTATAAATTTAAATTACGTCAAATTCATTAACATATTAGAAAGAGAGGTCTTAATCTAAATCTGTCATTAAAAGTAATGGTTTCTTTAATATTTTAGGTCAAGAAGTATTTTGAATATTTTTTCCAATTAGAACAAGAAGAAGATAGTCATGCAGAAATATTTATCAGTCAATTAACTAAACATTTAAGAGAGGAGGTGTTAACGGATTTATATTGCAATACCCTTAAAAAGTCAAGATTCCTTAGAGAAAATTTTAAAGAACTTACAATCAATAATCTATGTTAATTCGTTAAAGAGAAGAAAGTGTTGCCAGAAGAGGTTTTGTATTCTCGATTCGAACAACCTACGAAAGTTTGGTTTGTATTATCAGGAGCCTTAGAATTTGTTGCAGATCATAAAAGTATATTAAATATATGAATATTAATAGATGAAAATGATTATTATGAAGCTACTGAAACTTTTCTTAAGAAGGTCAGTTCTGGGTAATGTATATAATCTAATTTTAGAGCAGTATTAGGAGAGAGAGAGTTCATAACACAATAACCATATGAATATAAAGTAAGAGCTTTAAAATTTACATAAATGGCATATATTGAGTATTTATTTATAAAAAGTTTTAAAAGTTATGAGGATTTTATTAATGTTATTAGTGAGAATGATTCAGAATATGAAATATTTTGTATGAAGAGAGATAGATTATTATTTAATCCTTAGTATAAAGGATCTGGAAATGTGTGTGAAATTTGTGAATGGACTCATAATTTCATTCAGTAATTATCTTCAATTAATATAATATAGATGTCCATTTGTATTCTTGTAACCAAATATAAATAAAATATCCAGTAGTTTCACTGCTGTTAGATTAAATAATAGAATAAAGTTTCCATATAGACATACAATGAAATCAAGAACCAGAGAGAGTTTAAATGATGTATAAGAAGGAGCATTAAAGATAATAGTAGGCAATTTAACAGAATAGTAAATGAATTAAATTATAATAGAGAATATACAGATGATTATTTAGTATCTTTAGGATTTTAATTAACTTAAAATTTGGAAATAGATTCTTAAAGTGGAGATGAAGTATCTAAAAATTTAAATAATTCTCAATCTCCTACAACTAGTGAAATGTAAAAGGCATTTTAAAAGAAAAATGCAAAAACAATGGCTGGAGGTGTTACTATGGATTTGAAAGATGTCAAAGAAAGTCATGATTTGAAAAAAAGCATCATTAATTTTTAAAGAATTCAATTTGGTAAGGAAAAATAAAAAGCATTATAATTACATAAAAAGGAATAATAAGAAAAGGGAATTGAAGTATTAGAATAATCATAAATACTTGTACTTCCAAATACAATAACAAACAATAAATTCTATTAAAAATAACTTTAAAATACTCCTCGTAGATCATCTAATTTTGAAGAATTAGGTAGTCTAAAATTATCTCAAAAGTTAGGAAATGTTACTAATCCATTAGATTAAGACTAAAATAAATGTTTCATGAAATAACTTAGCAAAAATAGTGAGGCAAGTGAAATGTAAGAATCTTTGATAAGAAAATAAATAGAGAATTAAGAAAGGAGAGTATAAATTGGAGGAGAATAGAGAAGAAAGAAAAGAAAAACTACTATTTAATTAGGATAGAAAGCTTAACGTAGATCTTATTAAAATTAATAAACTAATTTAAGTCCAGGTTTATAATAATAATTATAAAAATAATAACTGGTTACAACTTTGGATTAGAAATTAAAAAGATAAAGTATTGGAGAATCTAAGAAATAAATGTAAACAAATCAAATAACAAGTGTTGGTTAAATTGAATTTGCAGGTGAATTAGTTGAAAATACATAAGGTGATTCATTGTAATAGAAGATTTTAGATATTGTTCATTCTAATGAGAATTTTTAAGTTGATTGTTGTAAACCTACTATTATGTATTTTCCTGAGTTTAACATAGAGGCAATTCTAAAGAAAATCGATTATTATTATTTATATGTGAAAGGTGTTGAAAAGAAAATGTATAAGAGAAGCAAATCTAATAGAAATTTATTTGAAAGAATTAAACCATCAAAAAATGCTACTATTAAAAGCTTTTTAAATAATTCTAGATCGTAATAGGATGTATGAAAATTTGATGATAAATAACTGGATCTCAATTATACTTATTACAACATTATAATTAGTATAAATAATTATAATAATAATAAATTCATTTCAACTTTTATATCTTTTAAATTCTATGCGAATGATAAATTTTTTAAACATTACCTTCTTCAATTAATAAACTACTTTTTCTTTTCAATATTGGTTTAGGCTATAAAATAAAAATATATAAAAAATACATTAATACAATCTCCTGGTAAATAATCATTTATCTAACCTTATAATTATACTCTCTTCATTTTACCTAATCTTCTTTTTTAATAAACAGGATTATCATTTAATTTTATTCTGGATTCTTAACTCTCAATACTTTTTTATGTTATAGAATGTTTAATTGGTTCAGTATCCCTAACAGTTCTTTGTGAAAAATATTGTTATTCAGTAATGATGTTAGCAATTATTTAATGTGTATAAGATTTCCAAATTTTAAAAGTAATTAATGTCATTAATAGAACATGCAAGATGTTTGCATTTCCATCTAATTTAAGTTAAGGTCCAATATTAGTTCTTCTTTACTTTAATTCTCTTTTCCTATAATAGGTTAATCTAAAAAGCATTGTTTTATGAAATTAAGACATCTTTTTTGATGCCATTTCAGAACATTATTCAAAGATTTATTTCTAATATCTATGATAGAATATTTCATATAATAATTAATTATATGATATATTATCTTTGATGTCACAAAATAGATTAAATTTTAAACTAAGATTAGCAGCATCCCAAATATTATCATATGGTTTACATCCTAGAGGTTCTTTAATTTCAATTAATAAATGAGGTAAATATCTAATATTTAATACTTATCCATTTTAACTAGAAAATTTAAACCATGTTTTTCTAAACCAATCAATATTTTCTACATATGTTTATAAGATGGAATCTTAATTATTGAAAAAGAATTCAAATTATTCAATCATGGCTAAAACAAATAAATTTAAAAAGGTATAATTAGATATTAACATAAAAGAAATAAAATAGATTTAAGCATAAGGTGAACCACAATATTTAGGATTTTCTGAACAATAAGGATTATGATGCATACAATCATTCATTATTGAACGAAAATCATCTCCACTTACACATTTAAAAAGAGTCAACATTGCTAACCAAAAGTTTGAAAAGTTAATTAAATCATTAATTACTTCTCCTTTATCTATATTTCCATATAACATAACTCCATAAAATGCATATACTACCATTATTATTAAAAGTATAAACAAAATCTTAAGTAAAAATGGAAATGCAAATGACATTACTCTTACTAATCTTTATAAATTCTACAATCCTTAAAATATGATAATAATTCTTAAATTTCTAAGAGTATACATAACTCTTAATAATTAATAATTTTAAGTTAATTAAGTTGAATTGCTATATAATTAAAACCAATTGTAGTTATAATCAAGTATCAAATCAATAATTCCCAAAGCAATAACTAAGGATGTATAGAGTCTCCATAAATTATCTTTGAATCTATTAATCCCTAAAATTAAAAATTATAACATCAACCAAGTGGCAAAAATTAAAGAACAAATATGATGAATCTTATTGATATGATCATTATAATAATCTTCAGCTGAATGATGAATCATCATTATTGTTATACAATTTACTAGTAGAATAGAAAACATGCAAAAATCAATATATTTATTCATAATGAAAATATTTAAAATCTTTCTAAATTAAGATTTAGGTAATGATGCTCTTATAGGATGATCATGTAGAATTATTTCTGAAACTTTAATATATTCTAATTAAGCTTAAGTTAATTATTGATTTTCAATTTATTTTGAGTTTGCTTTTAAATTGATAAATAATACACCTGTGAATAATTAGAGGAAAAACATTGATCCAACAGTGCAAAATGCCAAATAAAAGAGATATGTTGGAATCTGACTGAAATAGAGATGTGGACCATCTGCAGCCTCTCTACTATTCTATGATACCCATAAAATTGAACCCCATCCATCAAATGTAGATATAATAAATAATGTTGGCATTGCAGTTGTAATATTATCAAAATTATGTTTATAAACTCTCCATTCTTTACCTTATTTCATACATTCTTCATATCCTATATCATAATTTATTTATTCTTCACAAAATCCCATTTTACCTGCAAATAACATCATTGAAAATACAGCAAACATTAACCAAACAAAAAGTAATACTACAAACACATTTATTATATCAAATAATGATTAAGTTAAAGCAGCTCTTACTCTAACAACCCATTTTATTCTATAAAGTAATTTTAAAGGTCTAAAAAATAAAAAGGTCTCAATCACTATAAAAATAGGTAAATGAGCAATCTCAAAAAATTCTATATAATAAATTATTATATAAACTAAATCAACAACCTTCCATGTATACTATATTAATATATATAAATACATTTAAATATGATCCTTTATCTAAAAATGCTCCTAAAGCTATAGATTTAATTATAAATTCAATAAAAATAGTTGAATTCAAAATAAATAATGCAGTAACAAACAATGGTTTTTGTTATATATCCTTTGGTAAAGCTAAATAAATAATAGAGAGGAGTAATGCTAAATCAATGAAATATTTGGTATAGTTGCTTAAGCTTATTCTAAAGAAGAATTATCTCAAGGAATTTTATTTATTAAAGCAATAATATGATTGCATGCAATCAACTCCAGCATACATTTTAAAATTATGTTTAAACATTTTCTTATAGATTTATTCAATTTTTTCTTATAGATATTTTATGGTTTTTGGTTCTGAAGTTTTTAATCTAAGCATATTAGTTTTACTCTTTAATATACTAAAATCATCTTTGATTTTCTTTCTCTCTTCATCTAATGGATCCATTTTTTAAGTTCTGGCTACTGGGAATTAAAGAGAATGAAATAAAGACACAGCAAAATTACTATTCCTTTTAAATTACTCTAATATATTATTAGAAGATGGTTAAATATTGTCTGGAGATTCACTTTCCTTTCTATCATTTAATCTCTTTGTGATACCTTAAGCTTAAGCTTAATCTTAATATTATTCAATAGAAGAGGAAGAAGAATTAGAATCAGATTCAGATTCTGAATCATTTTCTGAAAAATCTGAATTCAATTTTTTGTTGAGTTTATTTATTTATTTAATCTTTTCTTTCATAAATTCATTATGTTCATTTGTAGATTCTCTTTCTAAATATTAACTAAATCCATCTAATAATATTGCCATCATAATGCCATAAATAAAATAATTAAGTGTAAATACTAAACTTATAGAATAAGTAATTGATAATTCTGTTTACACTTCTGTTCCAATTCTATATACACCAAACCAATCATCATTAGTCATTATATTAAATACTGTCATAAATGCTTTTGCTGGATCATCAAATGAATGCATATATCCATTTTTATGATATTCATCAAATTTTTGTGCATACAATTCCATCCCAATCAATCCAAATGTTAATATCATAAAGAACATAAGAAATGCTAAGTAAATGTAAGATTTATATGTAATTTAAGCTATTGCCCCAATTATTCTAGCCATATAGATATAAGATATGCATCTATAAAATAATAGACATTTAATTGATCTCATTAATTTTAAGTATTATTCACTTACATTCAAATAGTCACTAAATCCAAATTCAATCAAACTTAAAATGACAATTAGTAATTCTATTACAAGATGTTTATTTTTAGCTATTCTTCCTAATATTTATATAATAAATTACTTGGTTTATGAACTATCAATTAGAGTATGATTTCAGTTGATAATAATATTGTTGCAATATCTTCTACTTAATCAATTATACTTCTTTTAATTATACCTTCTGAAGCTAAAAAAAATGTATTAATAAGAATTGTTAAATCAAAAAATAATTTAGTTAGTTTAAAATGCATAATTCTAAATGAATATTTTCGTAAAGTTATTAAAATTCCACTTAATGATGTTTACCAAATTTCTATATCTCTTACATTTAATTGTTAAAAAATATCATCAAATTTTTTTATTAAAAATAAATTATTTGTAAATACATTATTACCAGACCAATTTCTTTATTTAATACTTTTTTTATTAAATTCTTTTCTCTTTAATTTCATATATTCCTCTTAATATCTAGGTTCATCTTATTATTTAAAATTTATTTTTGAATTAATTCTTTTCTATATATCTTCATAATCTAAATAAATTCCATTTAAAAGCATTTTTAATTCACCACAATGATAAATTGTAAAAGGTCTACTTAAAGACTATTCAGGTATAACTTATTATCCACTCATGAAATAAGGAAACTTTCTTCTTTATTTTTCTATTTCTTTCATGTGAAATTATCTAATATTAGGAGAGAATGACTCTGAGCTAGACTTTTTACCATGTATATCTGATGTATTTTAATGTTCCTTTTTAATTCTTTTTGAATTTTTTATAGGTAATTAAACTAAAGATTTTTAAATATTTGAAGGAGAGCCTGCAAATACTTCAGATCTACTAGATTTTATAAGTTAACTTTAAATTATTTATTTTTTCTTTTAAATTGGCTTATAATAAAAGTTCTTTTTTTTATATCCTTTAGAATTTTAATTTTGTGTTGTTCTTAAAACCTGAAATAGAGATTTCCTTAAAATATCTAATTGACTTGTCTAAATATAATGAAATTTATAATCTATATATTTCTCCAATAAAAATGATGATCTACTAAATTTCTTTATTGTTTCTTAAATTTTAAGATCTGAAGTAAATTTTTTAATATTCAAATTGAGATAACATTTTTAGAGAATTGATAATTTAGGTAAAAGTAATAATTTTAATGAAAAATTCTAGATTTAATTTTTGATTTAAGTAAAATTGCTTATATTTATTCTATTTTCATTGATCATACTTCCTAATAAGAGTCTAGGATATATATCATAAGATTAATATATTCTGTTAATTCGAGGTTCATTAATTAGAATAACATTAGAATTTGAAAATAAAAATGTATTCATTTAGATTATGATATCATAAAATCCAATTCTCCTCAAATTTGATTTGCTAATAACATATTCTTTTTCATCTACTTTTTTTATTTCTCTAAATTACATTTCACTAAAATGAGTTTTAAATACAGCAATAGGAAGATTAAATCCAAAAAAACCTCCTACAAATATTATTAACACATAATAAATCCAAACAATAGGATGAAATGCTTTAATTGTATAATACATTACCCAACTCCAATCATCCATAGTTACAGTTTTCAATATAAGACCAAAAGAATATATTATATTGTTAAAATTTGTTGGAATATTATATGATTTATTTGTGGCTTAACAAATCATTCCATCTGAACAATAACCTTCTTAACATTATATCCATTCTGATTCATCTGATGGTAAACATCTTTCATTAAATAAACCCATAAATAATGATGTTCCTAATGATGCAAAAAATAAAACAAATAATAAAACAATTGCTGTTGATTCTAAAATAAATTTTAATGATTCTATTAATGCTTCAATCATTTTTTATAATCCTTTAATATATAATTAATTATAATTTACCTGTAAATATAGCTCCTAAATGTTTCAACAATCTTGTCATTCTTAAAGGAGTGATATCTATTATAGCTGAAGAATAAGTTAGATGATAGTAATATAGAATAATTAAGGAAGCATCAATTATTCTTGAAAGAAAGATGAATTTTGTACGAAACACTCCAAATGCAAACAGTTATAATACTATATCAACTATATAGAACCATAAAAATGCTATATTCCAAATTATAATAATTACTAAGATTAAATTCTAAAAATTTATTATCTTGCTCTTTTATATGTTCAGATACAAAAATTACAATATTTCCCAATGTTACTAGAGTCAAAATATATTAATATAATCTCGATCTAACAATAATTTTAGATAGCCTTTTTGTAATCAAATATAAATAAAGTAAAGTTTTTCTAAATTTTAACATTATATAATTATCTATATAAGAGCTCTCAATTATTATTTATTATTACATAAATCAAATGATATTTTCTAAAACTTTTTAGTTTTCTATATTTAATAAATTATGCACCATTAGTATAATTTAATTTCTAAGAAACCTTTTCGTATTAATTTGACAAATTTTTTAATTAATCAAAAGCCTTTTAATTAATGATTATTTATTATTACATCAATAGAAGATTAAGATTGTTCATCAATTGACATAGGACTAAGACCATCGACTGAAAGATCTAAAATTGAAACTCTGGGGTTAAAATAGGTTGACTTATTTAAATTATTGGTTTACACTCATTTCAGCTATAGGAGTTTAAAACGACATCTTTGGACTAAAGTAATAGTTCTCTTTTTGCTATTAAACTCTCTATAGATTCTAATCCACTTAAATTTAAACACTTGTATCTGATTGATTATCTTCATTTGAAAGGTCAGAAAATATTGCAGATAAATTTTCTGAATTATGCTTATCTTTTTATAATTAATTGTTTCTCTTAAAGGTTTAGTCAAACTATTCTATTTTTTAGTGAAGATAATAGTTTTTAGCTGTAGCCTTATCTGCCATTCTGTCAAATAATTTTTTCTAAATTTCCTCCCTAAAAATCATAAGTTACATTACTACTTTTATGAGTCCTTTTGGCTTTCTGTCTTTCTAATTATACTTGAAAATATATCTTATGTATATTGGCTTAGATTTCCTCTTATTTTTTTGGAAGAACGAGATTTAATTGTTTTTGCAGAATTAATGCTGGAATCAGAACTTTGAGATTATCCTGACTTTCTAATAGAAACATCACTATCTGATTCTGAATCAGAAAAATGTTTGAGATTGCCAGGAAGTTTATTGATTTAACAAAGCTCCTATCTATCTAAGAGATTTCCTCTTTTTCTGACTGATTTACTCATTCTTTATGATCTTTATCTCTTTTTTGAATGATCCTCAGATTAAAACAATATAGTGTTCTTCTTAACAACAATTGTTTTCGAGGGATGCTTCTTTCTGGAAATTAGAGATTGCATAATTAAAATAATATTTAAAAACTAATTCATTCAATAAAAACCTGAGAAGTACTTTTTGATCAAAATTTAATAGCAATGTAACATTAGATATATGTAAAAATTCATATATAATATGTTATCCTATTGGATAATTGATTAATGATAACAAAAAACATAATTTAATTTAAGGTTGCTAAGTTTAAATTATATTAAGACAGATTTTATTTTGACACAGAATATTATGAATTATTATTAATTATCTTTCTTTTTTTGAGAATTTCTTTTTTTAGTGAAAATTATCAAATCTCTTGTTAAATGAGTTAGTTAAGGATAAATTTATTTTCTTTTAATATTAATCTTATAATTCTTGTATTTGTTTAATTTATGAGTTCACTTTTAATTATATATTTTAATTTATTATTAAATATACTTTTAATGTAATATAATTACCTAAATCTGATTATATAAACACTCTTAATCTTTCATTTGATCAATAAAACCATTATTTTCTAATAAAAATTACATATGAAAATAATTAGATTTTATTAAGTATAATGGTCAAGAACTTATTAAAAAAAACAAATTATTTAGAATATGACCTCTCATATATAGAATGAATACAAAATAAATAATTTTTTATTATCTACAATTTATTTTGATTATTAAATTTTTAAATAATTCTCCTCATATATATCTCAAATATATTAAGAATTATTTAATAACTTCTAGTGTTAATGTGATTTTCATCTTAATCTAATATTTAATTAAAGTAATAAGTTAACGCATAAAAATAGTAGAATTAAGTATATATGTTTCAATAATCTTAAAAATATAAAGATTAAATGGAACTTAATTAGACAATATTAAAAAATGAGCAAATGAACATTTCACAATAATAGTAAGCTTCTATAATATTATATAAAAATAAATTTTTGCAAGAAGGAACTTTTATAATCATTCAAAATATCTTCATTTTATTATGTAAACTTTCTTTGTTTTCATTGATTAATTAGTTTATTAAGTTGTTTAAAACATTAAGAAATACTATTTTTTTATTTTCTGAGTTTAAAATTTCATTATAATTATTATGTATTCTATAAAATAATTATTTTACATTTTAATAATGAACCTTTATATTGACTCAGATTTTATTCAATTTTTAGTTATTTCAATAAGTGCAATTAAAATTATGATGTCAATCCAAGCAGTTTTAAAGTATATAATTTTATTCTGATATTATTTAAACTTTGATAATATTATAGAGATTAAATGGAATCATTAGATAGTGAATTTTGAATTAAAGTTTGATTGTCAAAAGTAGTAGATCAATATATGTATAATCAAAGTTATATGAAGATTTATATTAATCTTGGTTATGTGATTATGACAAATAGAGATGAAAAGATCTAAGAATGTTTTTACTAGGAAGCTAAAATCAGAATTTGAAATAATTACTAACATTTTTTGATTAAATCCACCTCTGTGTTTAAGTATTTAGAATTTCTAAATTAAATACATTGATCAAATCAAGAATATTTATAAAATAATTTAATCAAAAAATATTAAAATTTCAATTTATTTAATAATATATCTATTTTATGTATCATATTAGAATAGTTTTAAGGTTGAGGTTAAATATACCATTTTTGATAATGATGAAAGTTAAAAAGAATTAAAATATTATGAAATTTAGTTCAGTTTTATTATTTCTAATAGATTATTTAATGCACATGCACTATATGCTTGTAAAAAAAAGAATTAGCTATATATTTATATTTTATCAGATGATTTATTAAAAATGGGGCCATACGGGAGTTGAATCCGTATCTGATGTACCCGAAACATCTATACTACCTCTATACTAATGGTCCTATAATTATTTTAATTTAATGATCTAATAAATGTTATTGATTTATTTTGTTTTTTTATAAGTGAATCATTGAAAATACATTATCTTAAAATAATATGATCAAAATACAGATATTCTCAGATAAATTAATTATTTATCTATCACAACATTTACAACAATAGAAATCATTTTTTTTAATTAAACAAAATTCAGGTTAGACCTATAAAAATCGTAATTCATCTTAATTAAACTTATTGCAACTAATCTGATGCACTCAAATGTTATCTTCCTATATATTATTATAAGATATCTACACAACCAAAGAATATGAAAATTTAGATTTAGAAGTTATTGAATCAATTAGTTTTATTAAGATACCTTATTATAATAAAGATGATAAGACTGTCCTTTATGAAGCCTTATCTATTACTTTCAATTATTATGACTCCTATTTTACTAGAACTAATACAAAATTATATAAATACATATCTAATTTATCTAGCTGCAATGTGCTTTTTTAAAAAGCATAAGCATATGAGATATCGATAGTAATTAGCTTTTAAAAATGAGTTACTAAACAATCATAATGCATATATGGATAACATTAAGACCATGAGGTGCAGGAGTAAAATGTTATTTGAGTAAGAGACAAAAGAATTAATTAAAGAATACTAAATAGTGATAACTGTTGTTAAATTGGGACATATAGGTATTTTGTATATAATCACTTATTATATAAATTGCTTAAAATTTATCAACAATCTGTATTTATTTAAAGGTCATTAAATTTGATTCAGAATATATTTCATAATGGCTTCTACATATCCTTTAATTTTTAATTTTTATTATAGTTCATAGATAAGAAGATATGCCAAAATTTTTGAAAAATTGTCACTTCAAAAATCTTCTTATGTATGTAGCACTACTATTGTCAAAAAGAAAATTGAAGCTTAAGATTAATAAGAAGATTAACAATTCTTTATAGGTTGTTATAAAAGAAAATAAAGAACAAAAATAGGTTAAATGATTACCTATGATGACTCATAGATTTATATATTAGAAGATAATTCATTCAAATCCTCAATTAATGAAAACTACTTCTTGAAGAATTGAAATGAATATTAAATTAGTTAATGATATTATAGAAATACAAGTAGACTAATTTAGAAGTAGGTATATTAGATATAGATAATTGATTAAGTAGATCCTTTGAAAAATGTTGACTCTATCAAATTTTGAGAGAGAATTTAAGGAAGCTTATAGCAGTTAAAATCTCTTTAGAAAATTATAGAGATAAATCTAGAAGATTCTTAGGCTTATAATCATTTGATTTAGACAAAATGTATTATATGAATTTTTATAACATAATTTGTTATTTTTTTAGTACAATCATTTTATTAGCTACTAAGTTTCTATATCAAAAGTTAGTGTTGTACAATAATTATTCAACAGTGTTAACCTTAATGAAACACTTTAACCATATCATTTATTTAACTGGATCTCAATAAGAAATTGAGTTTTGCGCTATTTCAGACACATATAAATATTTTCATCCAGAAACAATGGAAGAATTCATACCTCAATATTCTGATTCAAAACCAAATATTTAAACTTCAATATACTATGTACCTGATCAAACAATAGCCTATAATAAAAATATTTGCATTTTCCAAAAATTTGCTCAAATCTCTTATTATCAATTATCTGACAATTGTCATATCAAACAAGGAATAAATTTTGATATGCCAAACATCAAATTTGCTTCCTTTTTGTTTGTAGCTTCAAGTGATCCTTTAATAGTTTACTTTTACAATTAATTAGTCGTAAATGATTAATACCTTATGCAAATAAGCAATGTATAAAATCAATTAGGAAATTCTTAATTAGATTATAAATTGAGACAGTTTTGGATTTAAGTAATAGAATCTCATAATTTTCCTGTGAATTTTAAGCGTTCTCAACTAATTCAAGTAGATTTCCAGTAATACAATGGAGTTTTAAAAGTTTCTTAAATAAACAATAATGTCATTCATCCTTAAGTCCTTAAACATGCTTATGATATGAATAAGAGAATGATGTTAAGTAAATATAATAACATAAGAAATCTTATTAAAAGAAAATTGAAAAATTTTTAGATGTAAGAAAGTATTTTCATTGCTTTACAAGAATTAACAAAAGATAAAGCATTGGTTTAAAAACATGATGATTCATTTCAAATTTTAATTGATTATAATAGGGTTGGCTAAAGAGTTTACAACTATGTAGAATCAACATGTCCATGAATTTATATATAAATTATTTAGATTAAACAAATATATAGAAATTATTTATATTAAAATAAACTTTTATTGAAATTTAACTTATAAATCTCTAGATAAAAATAATTAATAAATAAGTAATTAGCTATTTTACAATTATTTATTGTATAATCATGGTTATTATAGGAAATGGATTCATATTTTAAAAAATAAGATGATGGGAAATATTTTGATACATGAGACTGAATTATTTAGATGGCATTCCTTATCATTAGAATCTACATATAAATGAACAAAAATTAATTTAATTCTCAACAGAATAGCCTAATTATTTGAGAATAGCAAGAAGAGGTTTAGCCTTTTTATTTTTAATTCTTGATACAAAAATATTAATTTTCAATTATGCCCACTAAATCATTTTCAATATAATAAATTAGTCTAGTCTATTTATTATAAATTATAAAATCACTCTTTATGTATCTCTTACTAAATAATTAATTGATAAAAATAGTATTATTAGTTTTACAAAATATTAAGTTAATTTTGAAATAGTCATACTATAATTTTTTCTTGAGAATATTAGTATTTATTAATATTATTGGAAAAATTCGAATTGATAAATATTAGTATTAAGTTAATAATGAAAATTATTTTTTTTGCTTTGAATATTCTTTTTATTCATTAATGTAATATTTGAATAGTAATTCTTAATTCTAAAGACTTTTAAATAGTTAATCAATAAAAAATTCTAATATTAAAATTAAATAAATTATTATGTTATTAATATGGTTGATGCATTTTGATTATAGATGGTGTTGGAGAAAAAGCCTTCCCTTTTTTGATTATTTTTGGATTTTGACTGCCACTATAAAATTTTTGCAATTAATTCAATCTGAAAATTAATATAGGAACATTCTATTAATAATTTAAGCGGTTCTTGCAATAAAAATATACCTTGCAATAATGAGAAAGAAAAATGAGAAAAATATTGAATAATATAAAAAACGAGTTGATGTAACAACAGAGATGACATATTGGGTTTAAAAAAAAGTACTTAAGACAATGAGTGGATAAATTGCATTATTGTTTTCATTGTTAGATATTTTTTGGATATTTTAGGATCTTTTTGCATTTATTACAATTGTGCCTGTTGTTATAACTTTAGTAGGGTTTATTGTAATAAAATTATCAGCACTTGTTTTGAGTTGGGCATATCCAGAATTGTATATTAAAATAAATAGAAAATTGAATTGATTTGTATAATATTATTATTTATAAATGAAAGTACAACTAATCATTTTGTTAAGTAATCAGGGAATAAATCTTAAACTAAATGTAAAGGATCTTAATAATTTGTATAAGAGTTCATTTTTAATAATTATGAATTCAGTTCTCTGACATCAGTAACCATTCTAAATTTCATTAAATAATTTTGTAAATATAATAATTCCTAAATTTGAAGATATTGATTACTTAATCTGATTTATTATCATAATATGCAATAATTGGTACTCCATTATCTATCTATTACCCAAATGAGTAACTAGCATTATCAATCAAGAGAATATTATTTAATTTTCTATTGCCTAAGACTCTAAAGATAAGAAAATGAAATACCTTAAATCTTTAATGTAAGCTCCATCTTCAGTTTATAAACAATGATCTCGAAAAAGTCTATGACTTATCCATTGTTTTTTTGGATCCAAGTAATCTAAGACTACATTAGCATAGCATGAATGTGAAGCTGTAAAAACAATGATTTCGAAATGTCGAGATAGAGTTTAAAGTATTTATTAAGCAAAAGGTCTGATATTGATTGATGCTTAGATAGTTTCTCCAGTAGGGAAAGTGATTGGCAATACAACATCTCCAGGAATAGCTACACTTTCATTACAATGAATCAAAGTTTCATCTAAATCAAAAACTAATGTTTTAAAATGATTAGATTTAGGTAGATTCATAACTTTGTCCTCTTAAAATTACAATTGTAAATTTCTAGCATATTCTAAACCCTAATTTATAATTAGAATTATATATACCTATATAGTTTAAACAATATGATCTCTAACAACTTCATCATTTTTAGTAATCTATTCTTGAACTAATACTCTTATTACACTTGAAATATAATACATAAACTAGATAATGATATTAAATAATTACTGTGTCATCCTTTTTAGGTTTTTATGAGGAATATGATTTTTCATTAATGACTGTTTTTGTGGATGGAATGACTGTTTAACTAATTTCTAAAGATTAATGTCTGCTAAGTTAGGATTATTATGGTTAAATTGGTTTTTTTAATTGTTTAACTTATGTAACGAACTGATCTAGATTAACACTAGTTTATTTTTCCTTTCCTATTTGACTTTATTTTAAAGCTTTATTGAGTTATAAATTAAGAGCAGTGGCACATTTAGTTAATTCTTTTGGTGTACTTGATTCTTTGGGTTCATTATTTTCTTAATCTTTTTTTTAAAAGAATTTAGCAGCTAAACCTACTGGCTTTTATTTAGCTCTTTCAGATTATTTTTGTAATTAAGAATTACTTATTTCAATATTAGATTTAATTTTATTTATCTTGTTTTCTAAAAATAACAATTTTTCGTGTAATTTTTTATATTCGGATTAATCAATTTATTTGTTTGGCAACTGTTAATTAGATTATGATTTCACAAGAGTAGTATCTGGAACTTATTTTAATGAATAATATCTTGATTAAGGTGTAGCTTATTATGGTTGAATGTATGTTGAGTTCTTTAATTCCTTAAATGAACATCTAGATGGTTGTTTTTGATTAGAAAATGCTCTTTTATCATTAGATGCTGAGGATGGTCTTGGAACAACTTGAACTGAAGGTTGTCTAGGTTGGGAAGAATTGGGACGCATTTCTGGTTTTTGGAGGGTCTAAGTGGATTGATATTATGGATAAGCTTGTATAGGTTTTCGTTTTTGTAATTATGCATATGAGTTTTCTTTATCAGGTGTCTATTTGAAAGACTAACGGAAAGAGTCTTAAACTACAGGTCTTTGAACATATTATGGTACTCGTTGCATTCAGTTTAAATTTTGTTAAATTAAAAAAAGTCTGTTTAATTTAATATAATCTCTATACATTATGTTAATATAGAAAAAGTCGTCATAAGAAAAATATGAATATGAAGAAGTTTTTGGATTGAATATTTTGAATTAATATATATGTATATTATTCAATAGGAGTAGTTAGATTAGTTAGAAATAATGAGTTTTTTTAGATGTCATTTATATTTTTATTAATAATTAAAATGAGTTAGCTGCTGGAAAGTATGTTGTTTTATGTTATTTTAGGTTTAATATAATAATTTATACGTGATGGAGATGAAAAGCAGAGTGAATAAATAAGTCGTTAAGTAATGTAAAAGCATCCTGTTATCTATTTGTGTAAATGTTCTGAGATTTTAGATGATGTAATTTATTAAATGTATATTAGATGGCTGAAATAAATAATGAATATATCAGAGTGCTTAGATTAACTCTTTAAGTTGCTGGATTATTAACTAAAACAGAAGATGCAAAATTAGCAGTCATATAATGTACTTAAGTGTTAAAACGAATTATAAATCGAATATTAAGTCAAACTTAAATTTCAGAAGAGTTAAATTAATTACTAACTGATATCCATATTAAATTAATGGATGTTTTTGATGAGTTGATTATTAATCATATTTCAGATTTTTTTGAATCAGGACGTGTTCCTGAAATAGTTATTTTAAAGATAATATAGTAGATTTTTGAATCTTAAAGTAAAATTTTAATTAAATTTGTTTAGGTAAAGAATACTTTAGACAATTTTCATATGAAATCTTATAAAAGATTCTATCATCTCTATCTCTTGTTAAAACTGATTAATGTAGATTAGATTATTGTTCATTGTTATAATCTATTTATAAAACACTTAATCATTTTGAAGAGAATTAGATATAGATAAATTAAGAATAGGTATAAAATGTGAGTTGGCTTATATTTGATTAAATTATTAAAGATTGGATGTAGACAACAATCCAATTATAAGTATTATCATTGGTTGGATTTATGAGTTAATTTATATCTAGAGAAAGATTAGAACGTAGTCTAGAAAGATTGACATCAGTATATTTGAGTGTTTTAAAACAAAAGAATAATTAATTAAGACCATTATTTGAAGGTTTCAATAAATTTTTGGAGAGATTATATTAATTAGATAGAATTGGATATGAGGGAATCATAAAATCAATAATGGTATCATTATATGAATTTTATAAAAATCCTATTTTTTCTCCTAATTATCCATTTGATCCAAATGCTTTAAAATATAAGAATGATTTATTAACACTTTTACAGACAGTATCAAAATTCAATATTGATAATTGTTTAGATTTATTTATAGGAAGAATAAATGTAAATAAAATATATATATTATTTAGAGTAAAGATTCTATTGAAAGAGTTTCTTGTTTATGGATATGTAATTTCATTTTGTCTAGAAATTTTAAATAGATTTCTGAACCATATAAAAGATAATTAGTGTTATAATTATTAAATTTATAATTTGAATAAGATTGTGAAGTAAGATATGCTATTTGTGAAATCATATTACAAATATAATATAAATTGAAAGATGAAGAATAACCAATTAATTAAACATATTTAGATGTGAAAGCTTTGTTATTTTATCTTTTCAATTAAGTTTCAATACATGATAAAGAATTAGAAGAATATGGAAAATAAAGGACTGCTCCATTTGAAACAACATTAGAAGTATGTTATAAATTTAATTTTTGAAAGCTATTGAAAAGTAGAGCATAAAAAATATTGACAACACTTTCATAAGATTAATATTTTTATGATTTATTATGGCCAATGGGATTAGAAATCATAAATAATTAAAAGTTTTCACCTGGATTATCTCATATTTTTAAATGTTATACTTAGATCTTATAAAAATTAAATATTATTACACATAATTCACCTGTTGCATAACATGTTATAGTAGTTAGGATGTTATTATTAATATAGATTCCTTATTTCTTTCCAAATTTAGGATAAGAAGCTGTTAATTTTTTACCATATTTAATAAAAACATTTGATTTAAAGGTACCTAGTAGTTTTCATTAAAATGTTGATGCTTTAAAATAATATCTTATAAACAAAAGACCTTTGGATGAATTTTATGAAGAAAAAGTATAATAAATTTGGAAGGTTTGTTTATCATTGTTCATATAAAATAAAGAACTCTCTTAAATAGAGGAAGATTTCTAAGTTTAACTTAGTATGTATTTAAATTCACAAGCATTAAGATTACCAATTATGAAAATGTAAGCTACATTAATGAGTTTTCTTACTAATTAAGAAACTATTAAATATAATCTAGATAAATTATTTAGTATTTGTCATTAAGAATATACAAATTAAGCATTAAATCTTAATGTTCCAATTTAAGAACCAGATTTTAATCTTAGATTATGTGTAGCTGAATGTTTTGGTTACATAGGTGAAAGACATACACAATTAGTTTTAGATAAAGTGAAATCAATTTTAAATTGTGAAGTGATTTAAAAGAAGAATACTGGTTCTTTTAAGGAAAGTGTTTTATCAATCTTTTAAAAAAGTGGAAGTGATGAATATTTAGCTTCATTCAGAGCTACATTACTTATAGCTTATGGTTGTTTAGCAAAATAAGTTTCATTAGAAATATTGGAAAAGAATATCTTACCTAATGTTATGCCATTTATTGGACATGAATAATTATTCAACTCACTTTAAATATCTTTAGAATCTATTAGTAAAGCTATTGAAAGATAAATTGAGAATACTGATGAAGCAGCAGCATCCTCTTTTTTATTAAGTTATTAAAAATATAGAGATTAAGTGTTAAATCATTGTTAAAAAAATATTACTAAGGGTAATGTATTTAGAAATCTTAATACAATTAATTTATAATATAGATTAGCACCTATTGAGTATAATAAAGCTAAATAATTATTGAGTTAACATTTAGATTAGAAATATGATCTATCAATTGAATAAGTCAATATTACATTTTAAAATTGTTTTTTATTATTTTTAGGAACAATCAAATTGGAAGAAGAATCTTAAACTATTTCAGTTTGGTAATCTTTATTATATTTAATAAAATCAATAAAAGATAATGATTAATTAATTGAAATTTTATAGAAAAGTATTTAAAGAGTAAAATTGAAGATGGAATAAAATCATAAGAATTATTTTAAAGTAATTCTGACATTATTATCAATATTATACCGTAATTCAAATGCCAAAAGATCAGTTGTTTTGATTTTAGAAAAGATTATGTTATCTTTGGGAGTATATTTGGATATATATTAAAAAACAGATGAAGAATTCAATACTTAATTAATTAAATCATTAAGAGAGAAATTGCATCATAATGAATTAACAACATTACTGTAAGAATTATAGAATCTCATAAATGAACCAATTATTGAATCACTTCATGGATTTGTTTCTCTTATTTAATGTATTTATCAAAGTGAATATAATGATCTAAATAGAATACTAAGTCTAATGTAATTAATTTGTCAATAAGGTACAGGATCATCTTCTGAAGAATTAATGTAATTTTGTTATTATATTAATTATTTATAGTAATTCTAATTTAAGTAAAGCAATGGATTTAATAGCTTAAAATAATTTGAGTGATTCCTTAAAAATACTTTTGGATAATCAATCAGAATTTCCAGTCGGAATGTTTCCAAAACTATTTCTCAATTGTGTAAGTTAAAAGAAAACCTTTATGGTATAGAGCTTTAAGTTTTTAACAGATGTTTTAAATAATCCAGAAGGAAGTAATAAAATATTAATATAATTTTAGTAATTACTGGAGATATTGGAAATTATTTAGTTAATGCATCATTATATATTGGATAATTATTGATTGATGAAAATAAAATTCTAGCTGAAATGTTACCAAAATCAATGGCAAGTATTTTGGGAACATTTTTATTAAGATTTATGACTTGTCATGATCCTAAATTATCTGGATCAACTTAATCTGTTTAGACTACTATTTGGGCATTTTAAAATTTATTGACTATTTGCAATATTGAAGGAATATCATAGCATGTTTTTAAGAAGTTGTTAATTGAAGAGGAAGTTGAAGATGGAGTATAGGAAATTGTTATGATATATTGTAAAGGAGCATCATTTTAAGATTAATAGAAACTTTTTAATTTTATAGAAGGATTTACTAAAAAAGAATAAGCATCATATAGATTAGGTGCAATAGTTGTTATTAGTTAATTCATTAAAAGTTATAAGAAAGAATATGCTTAATAGAATGTTTATGAGAATCTTTTGAAAACTCTATTAGATTAAGCTGAAGATGATAGTGATAATGTAAGAGCTTAAGTGGCATTTGGATTAGGAGGATTATCATATTATTTAAAATCAGAGGAGACTATTGAATAAGAGTTATTATAAGAAATTATTGAATGTCTTATAAGTTTATTGGATGATTAATAAGAAATTTGTGTTAGGAGTGCAATGATTAGTTTATAAAATTTAGTTGATTCATAAACTGATTTTGTAGCATATATTCCATAGTTAATTTTTACAACAACATCTAATTTTGAAAAAACAATGACTAAAATTAGAATTTCTGCATTTTCTCTATTTTCAAAATTATGTAATACTTGTTTTGTAGAGAAAATAATGAATGAATAAATAATGTCTTATTTGAGATAAGCATTAGTATCAGTAATGCTTCATTTGTTAGATGAAAGTGTTTAAGTTAGACAAGTATGCAAGTTAGCATTGGAACCAATTGGAAATTTACTTCAAATACCATTACTTAAGTAATATTATATAATTTATTTTTTTAGATAATTATCAAATAATGAAATTGAAAGTGAATTTGAAATGAGTCATTTGGAAGAGAATGAAAAAATCATTATGATAATGAGTATAAATTTAGAATAAGAACATTTAAATGTAATTATAATTATATATTAATTAGACTTATATAAAAGCATTAATAGAGTTTTGTAAGAGTCCAGAACATAATATCAAGGGAGCTGCATTATTTAGTTTGATTATTCTATTGTCATTTAGAGAAATAGGAGATTATAGAGCACATATTGAATAATTATGTAAGGATAACAATAAAGCAAAATTGATAACAAAATAATTGGTAATGAAGGCAGCATACTATTTATGATATTCCTAAAAATATATAAGAAATGTGTATAATAATAAGAAATTATAATTAGTTAAATTAAAAATTACTAAACAAATTTAATTATATATTATAGAATATATATTCTATGACTCATGATTTCATTTTGTCCATCATTTCTATAAACTCATTGTAATCAATTTCTCCATCTCCATCTTTATCAGCATCAGCAATCAAAGCTTTAAAAGTATTATCATCAAACCCAGAACCATTTTCTATAAAATCATTAAAATTATTACTTCCTAAAACCTATTTCAACTCATCTCTTGAGATCTTTCCACTACCATCTAAATCAAACATCTTAAATGCTTAAAATAATCTCTCTTATTTCATATACACACTTTTCTCTATAGTAGCTGCTAAAAACTCTTATTAATATATTTCAAATATATATATATACCTGTATAATTGATAGTTCCTGAACCATCAGTATCAATACTTTTAATCACACTCATAATTTCATTTTATGACTCCTTCTTAAGACCAGTCAATCCATGTGTTAATTCATCCATAGTCAAAACACCATCTCCATTTTTATCTAATTATTTGAATAATTTTCCTAATTCTGAGATTTCTTATTCTGATAATTAAGAAGCTATATAAGTTAAAGTAACCTAAAATAATTTTATAAAAATTAGAACCTTTTTTAATTTATTAAAATTTGTAAAATTCTTTAAAGATTGATAATTAACACTTAAAAATGAACCTCCAGGTTATTATTATTTCATCCAAGGATGTTAAAGAACTTCATGAGATTTCAAACGTTTTTCTGGTTTACATATCATTTTTGAAATTAAATCCTTAGCACCTTCTGAAACCTTCTTGAATTCAGGAACTAAATGAATATTTTGATTAAATACTATTGAATGTAAAAATGCCTTTTTTAACTGCATCCAAAATTTCTGGATCTGTATTTCCATAAAATGGAGGTACACCTGATAAAAGTATATAGAGTATCACTCCTGCTGACCAAATATCACAAGATTCATCATATTTACCATCTAAAATTTCAGGAGATATATAATAAGGTGTTCCTGCTCTAGTTGTCATACTAACTTTTCCTTAAGTCAACTTTTCAACATGATTATCATGGAATATAACTGACAATCCAAAATCTATGACTTTTAGTGGTGAATCATCAGCTTTTGTTAATAATAAAAAGTTTTCTGGTTTTAAATCACGATGACAAATTCCATTTTAATGACAATAGTTGACAGCTTACATAATTTATAAAATAGTGATTCTTGCTTCATTTTCAGAAAAATGACCTTTATCAATAATTCTATCAAATAGTTCACCACCTTCACAAAGTCTTAAATAATTATAATTCTTACTCCATCACTAAATAAACATTTCTAACATCTTCAAATGTTTCAAATAATTTAATAATATTTGGATGATCCTATTTATATATTATATATATAATACTAAATTTCGCATTATTTCTATCTCCCTTCTAAAACGATCAGGGTTTCTAACTTTGCTTTTAGGTATGATTTTAATTGCTCTATAATATTTCGATCCCTTTAGTTTAGCTTTTACAACCTAACCATAAGTTCCTTAACCAAGTAGCTTTAAATTATGATTTGATTTTAATACTTTCTTATGATCAAATTCATATGCATCTTCAATTTTAGTTGCTGAGGATTTTATGAACCATTATTTTTTAATAACAATATTGTTATCCATATTAAATTTAATTTATTGTTTATCATATAAAAATGTATTAAATTATATAAAATTATTGATGAAATTAATCAATCATTCAATTTAATGCAAAAATGAATTAAAAAATACATAAATATATTATTAATATCATCAATTAGGAAGGTATTTTTATAAATGAAGCAATAATTATGGATTCTTCACTTTTACTAATTCATGTATCTAACAATCAAACAAAATATATACATCTTTTATTTTTGCATTTAATATCTAAAACTTAGATTTCACAGCCCCATGTTTATAATAGACATGTTATTTAATTATTTCTTCATCTCCAGCAATCATTTCAAAAGTTATTAATGTCAATTCCTTGTATTCCAATGTCTAAACAATACTCACTTATGCTCTTGCATTTTATTAAATGTATAATACTGGTGCAAAACTTAATACATATTATCATTTTATTTACTGTTATTGTTCCAATTAACATCTCTTAAATGTTTTCACACATACTTCAGGATAACCAAAGAAATCTGTATTGAGTTTTTAATTTGTTTTTACAACTTGAAAGTTGTCTTTATCAACTGTATGAAAATAATAGAAAAATAGATCATTTTCACTTGACAACTCTAATGTTAATTGTTATAAGTCTTTTCCATTTCCCTGTTTTTGATAAATTTAAATTGTCATACCAATATCATTATTCTAACTCTAATAGTTTCAACTATGCTTTGATCCTCTTAGTCTGGAAATTTAATCATAAATGGTATCTCTTGATTGAATATTATCTTGTATCCTCCTTATATACAAGGATCTAAACTTTCGATTTATGAAAAGTCAATTTGAATTAAATTTTCTTACATTTAACAATAATTATAAAATCAAAATCATATTACTCATCTCTCTCTATTTTTTATTAATTATATAAACTTCATAACTCTGAAGATCTTTAATATTGATCTTGTATAAAGTTTTTAGTTAATAATCAAAGATTATTTATATATATAATACAGAAAAAGAATATATAAAATAGAATACCATATATATATATATATAGGGTATTCTAATTTAATAAATTAATATTGTATAAGATAGTATGATTATTATTATTATTAAATATGAATTTCAAAATTATGATAAATATTGACTAGTCAAATTAATAAACTCTCTAGGTTTCTCTACTTAAACCCAATGTCCTGCACCTGCAATAAAATGTATATCTTTATTGATATCTATTTTTGGAAAAACTTGTAAAAATCTGTCTCTATCATTGTAATTCACATATTCTGATCTTTCTCCACAGATTACACACACAGGACCATCATAAGTACTTCTAAATTCCTTATTACCCTATTTCTAAAAATTAGATATTGAATCAATATTCAATCTCCATACATAATTGACATTTGTTTCTTCTTTATTTGTAGATACAAGATTAGTCATTATCAATTTAGTCATTTCTTTGCTCTTTACAAGTTCAAGAATATTAGTCTCAATATCTTTGAGACTTTTGTTTTTAAGATCAATTTCTTATAATTTCTTAACATAATTTTTGCCTTGTCTTTCTCCAGGCCCAACATCTACTATTACATTACCAATAGGTCTATCATTAGGAAAGTTTTCCAAATATGAAAATATAATTCTTCCTCCCATTGAATGTCCTAACAAGACTACATTATCTAGATTATGATTGACAATAAAGTGTTTTAAATCATATGCCATTTCTTCATAACTCATTGTCTAAGTTTAAGGAGAATCTCCATGATTTCTAAAATATCTATTAATGTTTTACCTAGCATCTAATAAGTAAGCTGATTTTAGATGTTTACTTATTTGAGTACTATTAACTAAGTTTTTGAAATTGGTCTTGGAACCCATAAAACCATGTAGGACTACTAAATTAATTTTTCCAATATTGTAATCTTATNGATCTAAACTTTCGATTTATGAAAAGTCAATTTGAATTAAATTTTCTTACATTTAACAATAATTATAAAATCAAAATCATATTACTCATCTCTCTCTATTTTTTATTAATTATATAAACTTCATAACTCTGAAGATCTTTAATATTGATCTTGTATAAAGTTTTTAGTTAATAATCAAAGATTATTTATATATATAATACAGAAAAAGAATATATAAAATAGAATACCATATATATATATATATAGGGTATTCTAATTTAATAAATTAATATTGTATAAGATAGTATGATTATTATTATTATTAAATATGAATTTCAAAATTATGATAAATATTGACTAGTCAAATTAATAAACTCTCTAGGTTTCTCTACTTAAACCCAATGTCCTGCACCTGCAATAAAATGTATATCTTTATTGATATCTATTTTTGGAAAAACTTGTAAAAATCTGTCTCTATCATTGTAATTCACATATTCTGATCTTTCTCCACAGATTACACACACAGGACCATCATAAGTACTTCTAAATTCCTTATTACCCTATTTCTAAAAATTAGATATTGAATCAATATTCAATCTCCATACATAATTGACATTTGTTTCTTCTTTATTTGTAGATACAAGATTAGTCATTATCAATTTAGTCATTTCTTTGCTCTTTACAAGTTCAAGAATATTAGTCTCAATATCTTTGAGACTTTTGTTTTTAAGATCAATTTCTTATAATTTCTTAACATAATTTTTGCCTTGTCTTTCTCCAGGCCCAACATCTACTATTACATTACCAATAGGTCTATCATTAGGAAAGTTTTCCAAATATGAAAATATAATTCTTCCTCCCATTGAATGTCCTAACAAGACTACATTATCTAGATTATGATTGACAATAAAGTGTTTTAAATCATATGCCATTTCTTCATAACTCATTGTCTAAGTTTAAGGAGAATCTCCATGATTTCTAAAATATCTATTAATGTTTTACCTAGCATCTAATAAGTAAGCTGATTTTAGATGTTTACTTATTTGAGTACTATTAACTAAGTTTTTGAAATTGGTCTTGGAACCCATAAAACCATGTAGGACTACTAAATTAATTTTTCCAATATTGTAATCTTATCTTAGAAACACATTTTGGATTGGTTTTAGATGTCTCATTAGATATGTATAAATGAAATTATGAATAGATTTATGTATGACATACTAAATTAAACAAAATATAGTATTAATGCTATATATTAAAAATTATATATTAATGAATAAAAGCAGCCTGAGTTCATCTAAAATAAAATTATTGTCTTCAGGTGCACCTATAGAAGTTGTTCCAAATGAAATAATTTTCAAAGATATTCAGATAAATTAGACATATGAAATTGCTGTGTATATACGTAACTTGACACAGAATGCTCGTAGAATTAGAGTGTTTCAACCTCATTCACATTTTAGATGTGATTATGAAATGCAAGGGTAAAAGGTCTGTATATTTAATGTAGTGCAATAGCAGCTGGACTTTCTATGAAATTAATTGTCACTTTTGAAACAGCCACTCTGGATACATTTGCAGATTAATTAAAGATTGTTACTGATAGTTAGTATAGTATAAATATTCCATTACATGCATTTCCAGCATAAGCAGCGTATTAAAATATAATAAATAAGGATTATTTATGAGCCATTTATAAATTTAGGATTTGTGAGAGTAGGTAAAGAGAAAGTGGATAAAATACATTTTAAAAATGAAGGAAAGGCATCAGGAAGAGTAGAATTGAAATTAGATAGAATAGTAGAATTTAGAATTGAACCTAATTCATTTACACTTACACCAGGATAAGAATATACTGTAACTGTATTCTATAGACCAAGAGAGGCAGGAATATTTAGAGGAATTATTGAAGTAATAGCAGATGGTTAATAAAGTGGATTAAGTTTAAAAAATCCAATTGATATTAATGCAACATCAATTGAATTTACAAGATTCTTAATTGATTAAAATGGAACATAAAGTAATCATTTTAATTTTGGTACAATGTTTTATGGATAATAAAAATAAATTGAAGCTTATTTAATTAATAATACACCTAAATAATAGAGATTTAAAGCAAAATTAAAAAAAGGATTACATGAAAGAGAAGAAACATTAAAATTATAGACACCAGCAGAATTAGGTTTAGAATAAACAGAGAGAATTATGGAATGTTGGCCAGAAGAAGGAATGATTGAATAATATTCATAAGTGACAATAATATTTAAATGTAAACCTAAAGTTAATGAGGAATTGTAAGTTAGAACACGTTAATATGCATTAAATTAAGATAAGAAAATGGAATCAGAAAAATTTGATTATTCAGCAATATTTGATTTTAATGATGATGAACCATTAATGAGTCATCTATCTGTTAATTGTATTTGTCCATAAATTAAATTCCCTCCTACTTAAACATTATAATTTGGATAATGTGAAGCTAATTCAACTAAAGATATTGTATTTGAAGTGTAAAATATGTCTAAAGAATAATCTATTTTAATTGGATTTCCAACAATACCTTATTTTACTGTAAATCCTTAATTAAAATAATTGTCTATAAATGAAAAAGTTAATTTTTGGGTAAGTTTTAGACCAAAACATATTGGTTAATTTTCAAATGTATTAAATGCAGAATTACTTGGTGGAGTATTCAGGATTCCAATAAAAGTGACAGGAGTATGTTCATAAATGTTACCAAAGCCATAATTTAGAAAAGGAGCTGAATCTGAAAGATAAACATTAGAAATATCTAAAGATAGATCTATATCTGGAATTATTAAAACATCAACAGATTAAGTAGTACAATCATTTGAGATGTCTTAATCTTTAGTTTCATTGTCTTAATTAAGTATGGATAAAATTGAAGAGATGAAAAAACATAATAAAGAGAAATATAATGAGTATTTGAAATAACATAGAGAATAAAGAATTAAGAAAGATAAAGATTCATAAATAAAATTAAAATTTAAGTAGATGACTGAAAGGATGAATTAAATAAAAAATGAATCTTTAATACTTAAAAAAAAGAAATAATAAACAACAGTAGAAGATAAACTTGATCCACCTATTGATTATGAATTTGCTGTTGGGATGAATGATGATGTTTATGAATAAAATTTAAATTTACCAGATGCTAATGAATCATTATTTGTTACTAAACCTATATATCATTATGAACCATAAACAAGAGTAAAAGAGGGTAATGTTATAAAACCATTTGATCCTGATCCAAAGACAGTACCTAAAAAGAAGTTTCCAAGTGAACCAAAAACACATAGTGAAATTAGAGATACTACTACTGAATTAAATGCTCAATAATTATTAAAGATTTGTGCAGGACCAGTTAAAATGGAATTTGGTAATATATTTGTGAAATCTATGGCAATAAAATATTTTTATGTAAGAAATGAATTACGTAGTTCAATATCTGCAAGAATCTATTCTGATAAAGAAGATTTAGCAAATACATATATGAAACCTTAAATAATACCAAGTGGATAAACTGCTGGATTTGATATTTGCATTTGTTCTAAATAATTAGGAATGTTCAAATCACATTTAAAATATATAATCAATGAAAAACATATTTTTGAATTATAGGTTTAAGCAATGGTTGAGAAAGTATTCTTAGAAATGAGTAGATAATAATTGAAATTATCATTTACTGAAGATAATGCAGAAATGGAAACATCTGAAATCTTAAGATTAACTAATAATGGTAATGCTGAAGCTAAATTTAAATGGATTACATCAGAAAAGAAATTATTCTATGTAAAACCAGAAGAAGGAGTTGTTGTTTCTGGTAAACATTTAGAATGTTAGGTATTTTATAGACCCTCATTTGGAGGAAGTATATAATATATTCAATAATCAACAGGATAATAACAATAATATACAGCAGCAACAACAAAAACAGAAGAAGAGAAAATTACATTAAAAACAGAAGAAGGTATTGATTAAACAATTAAATGTATTGGTATTGTAACAGAACCAAAATGTTCTATTAAATAAGGTTAATTAGATTTTAAGGATGTTATTTTATGTAAACCAGAATCCAAATTAATTAGTATTAAAAATCATTCTAAATCTACTGCTGTTTTTTCAATAAAATCATAAATTGAATGTTTAGAAATAATACCTATGAAAGGGAAGATACTCTCTGAAGAAACTAAAGATATTCAAGTTAAATTCTTTAGTAAAGAAGAGAAATCTATAAAAGGTGAAATTGTAATATAAATAAGAGGAGGTAAAATTATGAATATTCCATTTTCTGCTACATCCATAATCCCAAAAGTAGAAATTGAATAAGACATCTTTGAATTTGGAAATGTTACTACTTTAGGTACTAGTAATTCTATTCCTTTGACATTTATTAATTCTTCTCCTGTGACTGTTGAATTAATTTTAGATTTAAGAACATAAAATGATAATCCAAGAGCTCCAGATGGAATTGAATGTTTAGAAATTAAACCAATAGATGAAGAAGAATAAGTTATGCATTCTATTCATCCTGATTAAGAAGAAGATGAACCTAAAGAAGAGGATCCTTTAGATGATGTATCAGAAAAGTCAGAACCTATTGAAATAGAATAGAAATAATTCAAATAATATAATATTACTATTGCAGGAGGAAAGACTCTTTAATTTAATATGAGATTCTCACCTAAAGATGTTAAATAATATTCTTTTGAAATTCCTATTACTTTAGCTAGATATGGTCCATTACCTTCATTAATGAGGAAAGTGACATGTCGTGGACTTAAACCTAAGTTTTTGATTGAACCACAATAAATAGAATTTAAAAAGAAGATCATTACATCTCCTGATAAATGTTTTCCTACAATTGAAGAAATAAAATTATCAAATCCAGATAGAAAAGATGTTCATTGGAAAATTGATTGTCAATCACTTAAATCTGAAAAGATATTTGCTATTGAACCTAATGAAGGTGTAGTTCCAAGTGGATAATAAATAAAAATTAAAGTAAAATTCAATCCTTATGGACCTGGATAATTTAATGGAATAGTATAATTATACATACTTGAAGATCCAGAGATTCCATAAACATTACCTTATGTTGAAATTACAATGAGTGGATCAGGTGCATATCCAAGATTATTATTTGATAAAAAAGAAGTGATATTACCTGTTGTACCTTTAAACATATAATCTAGATGTTAGTTTAGAATAATTAATGATGGATATGAAAATTTAAATATTAAATATAATTGGGCTTAAGAAATTAGTAATTATAATTTGGAACTTAAATTTCCTGAAGGTTCTACTTTAGGTGTTGCTAAAAATAAATTAACTGTTGAAGTAGTATTTAGTAATAAAAAACCATTAAGTTTTACAACAAGAGTTGAATTTATTGATGAAGCTAGAGTATATATATTATATATATCTGGTACTACAGATAATTGTATATTTACAAATTAAAGTTTTTTATGGAGAATGGGTAGATATCAATTTGAAGTTGAAGATAAAAAGCCAATCATGTATGTTGAAGATGAAAATTTAGATTCAGACAATGAAAAGAATCCTAAACATAATTTTTCTGTTAAATCTACTACATCATCTAAAGGAACTGCAAATTTAGGTTATACACCAATAAGAAGAGATTTGTTAGAATAAGCAAATGAATATATTGTTAGATGGCTTAATTATCATGTACTTACTACAAGTATTAGTACATATCCAGAAGATGTAATTAATTCTAATGGATAATAAATTTTTGAATTAATTACTTTTCTAACTGGAAAAACAACATTTTCTTATAAATAGAATATTGATCCTAATTGGAAGAAATCCCAAAGAGCTGATGTTCTTTATAAATAATATGATGAATTAATAAGATAACTTAAAATTGAAGGAGCTTTACTCAATCATATAAGATCAGAATATTTATTAGGTTATCCAGATTATTTAGCTTGGCTTAAGAATTAACCTCCTTCTAAATATGAAAATATTCCAGAAAATCTTTTAAGATTAAATCTCACTAAATATACTTATATTTAATATGATTCTTGGATATCATTATTTTATTAAATACTAAAGATTTATTATCTGAATAGAATTACAGCTAAATCCTTTAAGACTTTACCAGGAATTCCACAAAATAAATTGAATATTCCTGAATATTATTTAGATGGATCTAATGTAATTTCTTAACCTGAAGGTATTCTACTATATTTTTATGAAATATGTTATGAAATCTAACATTCTGCATAAAAAAGAATTAAAAATTTTGATCTAGATTTTAAAGATTCAATCTTTATATCAGATGCTTTAACTACATTTATTGGACCATCAATGTCTAAATTTTTTGTTAATTTAAGAAATATATGCAATAGTGAAGATGATTATAAACATAATACAGAAAAACTATTTCCAGCTTTATAAGATTTTGGATTATAATCTCATTTATTACCTTAAGATATTTATCATCCTAATTGTAGAGAAATGATAATGATGTTAGTTTAATTCTTTTTTGCTTTACCTTATTATGTACCATAAAAAGATCCTATATTTTTTTCATGTGTTCTTGGAGAAGAGGTTATTAAAAGTATTGAACTTAAAAACCCTACTCAAAAACCTATTAGTTATTGGGTTAAATATGAAGGTCATCCAGATTTTCAATTAGATGGAGATGAGAGTATTAAAATAGAACCAGATGTACCTTATTAATATAAAATTAAATTTACATCTCGTATTTCATAACCTGTTACTGGTAGAGTGATATTTACTAATAAAAAAGAATCAAATGTATAAGCAGCAGCTTTGGTTTTTGAATTAAAATCAAGTATAACAGGAAGGAAATCTGAAAAGTAATGGAATGTTAGTTCAATTTTATATGAGATTTTTGATTTTTAAATATAGATAACCAATAAATTTTTATTTGATGGAGACTTTTAAATAATAATAACACATGAAAAAAAATAATAAGATTAATAGAAGAAGAAAGGTAAATAAGTTATATAATAAATATAATAATAAAATTAAGAAGAAGAATTTCCTGCATTCTTTTGTTAATAGGATAGAATTAGAATAAGAAAAAATTAAACAATAAATTTAATTTTATAATATATTCCATTAATTATGGAAACACATAAATGTTAAATTGTATTTACAGATCCTCAAGTAGGAGAATTTTAACATGATTTATAAGGAACAGTAGAATTACCTAATATATCAGGTGAATTTAAACCTGATAAATTATTATATGTAGAATAAACAATTCAAATTCCTTATTAAATTCCATTTAAAAATGAATAAATTTTAAGAGCAAGATAATAAATATTGTAAATTATGTAATATAAATAAAAGATAAAATAATAATAAAATATAGCAGATAAAACAAGTTCATCCAATAATTTTTTAAATAATCCTAATTTCCCTGGAAGTAATTCAGATTAAATTACATTTGAATTAGATGTATTTCCAGCAACATAATATGTATAAGTACCTAACACACTTACTGTTGCAGATAGTACTAAAAAATCAACAGATAGAAATAATGATGGTAAATTACCTATAACTTATGCATTTAAAAATGCTACTAAAGATTTTAATGTTATATTAACATTAAAAAATAAATTTGATATTAGAAGATATAAATTAACTGCTCAAGTATTACCAAAAGTAGTCAAAGCAACTTTAGAATTTAGAATACCAGCTAGATAATAAGTAATTTAGGAAGTACCAATAGTTAATGGATCAGATAAAGATTGGGTTATTAAAGTATAATTAACTTAATCTGGAGATAATTTATTTTAATGTCCAAATAAAGAATTTATGATAAAAAAGAAAACAACTGGATAATTTCCAATTACATTTCATCCATAATGGATAGCTTAAAGTGAAGCTAAATTAATTTTGAGTAATCCAATAACTAATGATATGTTTGAGTATGATTTAATTGGAATAGGTGAAGAACCTGTTGCAGAAGAACATATAATTTTAAATTGTACTCCAAGAAAGTTATTAAAAAGAGATATTGAATTGAGAAATTTGACAGATAAATAAATAGTCTATAAAGTTGAAACTGATTTGATTTATGCAACAGGTCCATCTTAAATTATTGTTGGAGCAGGTAAAAAAGCTATTTATTAATTAACTGTTTAACCAATTTTATCTGGATAATATACTGGATCTATAACATTCACAGAAGAGAATGGAAGATATTTATGGTATACAGTATTTATGAATACAGAATCACCTAAATCATTACAAACATTAGAATTATCTTGTTTAATAAGATAGGCAACTGTGATTTAATTGACATTATAAAATCCACTTCCAGAAACAGCTATTTATGAAGCAATAATTAGTGGTGATGGATTAATAGGAGAAGATTAATTTGCTATTGGAGCTAATAAAGAGGGTCTTTATGAATTGACTTTTGCTCCTCTTAAAGTAGGTAGATGGAGAGGAAGTGTTGCATTTGTAAATAGATAATTAGGTGAAGTATGGTATGAATTCATATTGACATGTGAAGAATAACCTGTGATAAAATTAAATCTATTAAAGGCATCATTAGGAAAAGTAGAATAATAAGTAGTTATACTTGAAAATCCATCTGATTAAAAAGTAACCTTATAATGTAGAATATCTAATCCTACAAATTTTGATATATTACCTGATGAATTAATCATATAACCTTTTGATTATCTAAAAGTTAGTATAAGATATACTCCTTCATCATTAGATCAAATAGAATAATCTGAAATAATATTTACATCACCCATAGGTAAATGGCATTATTTAGCATTTGGTAATGGACTTCCTCCAACTAAATTTGCAGCTGCCACTGTTAGTATAGGATTGAATAAAGATTTCAGTTCTGTTGTTCATTTTAAGAATCCATTTAAAGATCCAATTACAGTTAAAATTGATTTAGATGCATAAGGACATAATAAAGACATTTTTAGATTATTAACAAGCAAAAATGATAAAGTTTTAATTCCAGGAATGAATGTTTTATAAATTCCTTATTCATTTGTTCCAAGAGAAATTACAAGTTATTATGCTGAAGTTATTGTTTAAATGAATGAAAAGATTTCTTGGATATTCCCTATTAAAGGTGTTACTGAAAGTGTTTCAAATTAAACTTTATTTCATTTTAAAGCCAAATGTAGAGATAAATGGGAGGATGAGATTAAAATAGGTTTATAAGGAATTGCTCAAAGTTTGTAAGCTGATGATAAATTTGAATTCGAGTTAGGTAATGTACCTGTTGATTTATAACAAATGATTTAAAAATGCTTTAGTGTTAAATGTACTAAAAATTATTTAAGTAATCCTCATGAGAATCTTCATTATGCAGTAAGATTTTAACCTATGAAACCATTTAAAGCTAGTCTCGAATTCATTGTTTTGAGATAAAGTGGAGGCAGATGGAAGTATTCATATATATATATATTTTTAGATATAAAATAATATTAGAAGCAACACCACCTGATGAAGATGATGTTATTATCATTAGTTCTCCTTTAAATAAAACTACCAGTGTCTCATTCAAACTTACAAACAAAACAAAAAACTATGCCAAATTCAATGCAGGTTTCACTCCAGATTCTGATGCAGAATTTTCTATTATACCTAAAGTTGGTGATTTAGAACCTTATGGTAGAGAAGGAACTACCTTTGTAATATCATTTACTCCTATTGAATATGGCAAAATTAGAAAAGGCAAATTAATCATCTAGACTGATGAGATGTACTGGTACTAATTATTATTTTATATCGTTTAGGTCATATGTCATTAAAGGTATACTTCCAAGATATGTACCTCCTCAAATTAAACATTCATCTATTGACACTCATCTAAGTTAATCTCTCATACAACAGTCATCTCTTATGGATATATCCAAAAACTTTGTTATTGATAATATTAAAAAAGCCAGATAACTCACTCCTCCTTCATCCAGAAAGTAAATCTTATCAGAAGTATCCTTTATAAAGAAATGAGCAATGTCAATTATTTTAAACAATTTATATTACAAATATCTACTTATATATTTTTTTATTTTTTTATATATTTATATATTTATATATATATTTCATGAAAATATTGAACCATGTTCATTTCCTCTTAAAGCATGTTATATTTTTGGTTAAACACAAGCTTCAACACAAGTCACCAAATCTCTATAAGGATACATCTTACTATATATTGAAATAATACACAATTCTTTTCAGGATCAGCATTTTTCAATGATAAGAATGCCTTTACACATCTGTCATATTTATCATCATACCATTTACATTATGGACGACACATTTAAATAACCATGTCTTTTGGATCTTTACCATTTTCAATCATATTATGAATTTCTGTCTTATAATTTTCACTGTTCATTAAATTTATTTTTAATATCTCTTTATTTAATTTTTATAAAAATCTCATTTCCTCTCTACCTTCAAACTTAAATCAAATATAATTTTTAATGTATACTCATTTTATCAATCCCTTTTTATATTAAACTAGTAAGTAAATTGGAGAACTATTTATTGAAATAATGTTTAATTACATAAATTATTAATTAATAAATCTAATATATTGAGAGTTAATTATTATATTCGAAGATTTAGTCAATAAATATCAAATTATTCTTCACTAATAAAAGCCTTGTCGTTGATTCTTTTACAAATTGGGCATTTTTACCTTTATTTTAACCAATTTTCAATGCATTCTTAATGAAAAGAGTGAAAGCATTTTAAATCAGCCCTTTTTCTAAAATATCCTCTAAACATATTGAACAATTCTTAATTCCCTTTATTTCCCTTTATTATTACTCAATATAACTATTACATTAAGTAATATGATCCTTTAGATAAGCTTTTAATATTGGAGAAGAACAATATGGACATTTAACTTCAATCCAAAAATTACCTGGACATATCTCTAAGTGATCGTTCTGGTAAAGCTTAATAATCTATTCACCACATTATTAGCATTGTTATTCGATTAAATTGTAATTTCCTATTTGCTATTAACACAAATTGATATGATTCTAATAATATTAATATAGCATTTCTTCATCACAAAAAGGACATCTTATGAGATCAGATTCAAACTATTCAATTTGTTATAATTATTCATGATAATTTTATTCTTATTCGAATTATAATTAATTGAAAACTAATTACTCATCAATTTAACTTATTTATTCCTATTTTTATTAATCTTCTATATTTAAGGGTTAGTCTTATATATTTTAAATAGATGTATCCTCTGTAGTCTTTTCTATTAAACTATTATCCATATTATATTATATTAAATTCTATTATTTGTAAATAATTTATTAGTTGGTTTTAAAAAAAAAATTCTATTAAGGTATTTCTAAAATTAAGAAAGATTGGATTTATTGTATAAATAAATTAAAATAATAATTTTTATTTCTTTAACTATCTTTGATGCTATATATGTAATCTCTATATTTTTATGTAATTTAAGAGTTTATAATATTTATTCGTTTTAAGTTGTAATTTTAGTGTTTTTACTTAAGAATCTTTGAATTAAAAATATTTATATAAATTCATAATCTTATAGAAATATAATTATAAATATGAATAAACAAATAGAACCTGTATTATCAATAAAAGATTGTTATTTATTGAGAAAATTTATTAATTTACCTTATATAATAATCAAAATGATAGGATTTATAAGTTTATATCCAAATGATCATTTAAATTAGTATTTATTTCAATAAGAAATTTAATATTAATTAAATTACTTGAAAAACAATGAGGGAAATTTTAGTATTATAATTGGGGGGTTTTGGAAATAAAATGGGTGTGAAATTTTGGGAAGAAATGTTAAAAGATAGTGAATTTGGTAATGATAACGAATAAGGTAATTAAAATAATAAATTATTACTTAATACATCTAATATTGTGTATTATAATTTACATGAAAAGAAACCACTTCCTAGATGTATTTAAGTTGATTTAGGACAGGATTTACCTTATTCAAATATAGACTTTAATCCATGTAATCAGTTCTCATTTAATTATTCATCTGGAAATAATTTTGGATTTGTAAAGAATCATTGTTCAAATGAAATTATTGATATTCTTATTGATAGTATTCGATAAGAGATTGAAAAATGTGACTCATTTTAAGGATTCTAAATATTTGCATCCATTATTGGTGGTACCGGTTCTGGTTTATCAGCTGTTTTATCATAAAAATTAAAAGATGAATATAATAGTGTAATAACTTAATGTAACTTATTGGTTCCTTCAATAAAGTAAAATGACACATGTGTTGTTTCTCCTTATAATGCTTTTTTAGCCTTAAATTAATTGATGGAATCTACATAATAATTAATATTTTTTGATAACTAAGGACTTAAATAAAATTTGAGTAGATTAGGAATACAATTTGATTATGATGATGCCAATCTTCATGTTGCTTAAACAATATGTTGTAATTCTTCACCATTTCGAAATCCTGGAGATATTAATTCAAGTTTAAGAAAGCTTTCCACAAATTTAGTTCCTTTCCCAGAATTAAAATTGTTTACATGCAGTTAATCTAATAATTAATTCAGTGATTACTATCAAGAATATTTAAAGATGGATGAATACTAAATTTTTAAAGAATTAATGTCATCTGATCATAATCAAGCTAGTATTGATTACACTCATGGTAGATTTCTTACAGCTGCACTTAGTTTAAGAGGTAAAATATCAAATAAGTAAATTGACAAATATAATTCTCTTTTCTAGCAGTATCTAGAAAATTCTACATATTATAGTAGAGCATAAAAGGCAAAAAAAATTAATGGAGTTAATATGTTTTTTACTAATATTTGTAAGAAACCATTATCTAATTATGAATTTTTTGGAAGTTCAATAATTAATTCAACAAGCATTGCTGAATAATTGAATAGCTTAGATGAAAAATTTAATAAAATGCATATTCGAAAATGTTATATGTATAAATATACACAAGAAGGAATTGAAGAGGATGAATTTATAGAAGCTAAATCTAGAGTTGAAGATATTTGTCGTTATTATGAAGATAAATACAATGAAGATGTAGGAGAAGGTCATGAAAATTGGGAATGAAAAATAAAATAATGAAGATACATATTATTATTTGAATTTTTCATGAAAATTTAAGTATTATAACAATACTCATTTAATTCTTCATAAATTTACAATTCAATTAACATATTCTAATTAATATTTGATCAGAATAAATTCTTACTTAATAATCATATATTAAAACAATAATTACTTCTTTTTTAAGTTCAATTTATATTATCTAAAATCACTTTTTATTAATTTTCCTAATTGATTAATTGTGTTTTCATATATATTTTTTATAAGATATTAATTAATCTTTATTCAAAAAGTATTTATTAAACAATAAAATATTGGGTATTTATGATTTTAAGTTATTGATATTCTTCTAAACATATATTTAGTTTACTATATTTTAAATATAAAATAATAAAGTCATCCAAAAAAAAGAGTACTAGATGTACTCTTAGTTTATTTTGAATTAAATTCATAACTATATCCACTAAATAAATTTTGAACTGAATTCTTTTTTAATAAAAGCTTATTTTCTTTTATCAATTCATCTTAACTATCATTATCTTCACTAATTTAATTCAAATATTCTACATTATCATCAATTTACTTCTTAATATTAAAATTTTACTTTAGGAATGTAAGGAGACTCTATTTCTTTATTTAAAAGTTTTTGCCATGGATAACTACGAAGCCAAGGATGATTTTTAACTTCATCAGGTCCTTTAAATCCAAGTCTATTTGCAGGTTTTCTCTAGATTAGTTTATTAATAAAATCTGCTGCCTCCACTGACCAATCATCAGGAATTTCAGATTTTTTAATTTATACTTATCTGGTTAAAATTTAATCACGAATTTCTTGTCTTGATCTTCCATTATAAGGTCTCCTTCCTAACATAAATTCATAACCCATAATTCCTAATGCAAAATAATCAACTGCTATTGTATGATTCTATCTACACATTACTTCAGGTGCTAATCAATAAATACTAATGATATATTATTACCCATATATCCAGGTGTTCCACTTGTATCTTGAGAATTCTCTTATTTCCATACTCTTGCAATTCCTAAATCAGTCAATCTTGCATATCCTTATTTATCTAATACAATATTTTCTGGTTTTAAATCTCTATGAATAATATTATTATTATGTAAGAATTCTAATGATAGTAAAACACAAGCAATAAAGAATTTAGTTTAATGTTCTTTAAATCTTCTCATTTTTCCAATATGATATCTAAGATCACCTCCTGTCAATAAATCCATAACTAGATAAAGATTGTCTCTATCTTAAAAACAATAATTCATATTAATTAAAAATGGATGTTTGAATTAAGCCAAAAGATTACGTTCATTCATAACAGAATTAACACTTCTTTTAGCAATTATTTTAGCTTTTGACATTTCTTTCATTGCATAATATTATTTACTTTTTTTCATTTCAACCTTCCAAACTTTTCCAAAACCACCTTTGCCAATTACATAATGAAATTAAAAACTATATTTATTGATTTGTATATTGCAATCTACAATTAAAGTTTCCTCTTCTTCATCACTTGATTAATGTTTTTCTTATTATTTTACAATACTCTTTGAACTTTCATTTTTCGAAATGTGAGATAAATGTTAAATACTTAACATAGAGTTAAATATATTATCAAATCCTTTGTTTGATTTAAATTAGCTTGGTACTTAAAATTCTTGTTTTTTTATTTAAATCTATGGAATCTCATGATTTATTAATTAATATGGTTTATCAGCAGGTTTATTTTCTTTGACTAAACTATTTTATTATTTAAATTAATTGTCTGAATATTTAATATTATGTGTACTAGATTATTTAAGATTAATAAAAGGAGATATTTTTTAAATTGATGTATTTGGAGATTGAGAATTATTATTTCTCCCAGTATATCTATTTATTATATCTAAATTATCATAAAATGCTGGTTTCATAGGTGATTAATCTTTATATTTACTTTATATATCTAAGTTTGATGATTATTAATGATGCAATTATGAATTGATTAATAATTTTGATTATTTTAATTCTTATTTCAAAAATGTTTGAATAGGGCTACGTGAAATTGTATTCTAATTTAAATAATCTTGTTTTTCTTTAAAAAAGGAAGTACTTCTACTACTATTAATATTTGAAGCACTTTAATTTCTTAAATGTTTAGATTGTATTTAGATTTATGATTAATCTTATTTTTTCATATTTAATTGAACAATTTTTATTTTTTGAGGTGTAATACTTCTTTATTAAGATTAATTGTTTTTATTTTTTGATACTAAATGAGCTAATTGAAAAAAACTTGTAAATTAACTTAAACCTAATGGTGATTTTTGAGTTTATTTTATTGTTTCACTTGGTTGTTCCTAACAATATTAATACAATAAATTTACAATTTTAGGTTTTATATAATTCTATTTTGAAGGAAATAAATCCTTCAAATTACGGTTGTTAGACATTTAATATATTATAAACAATTAATATTTTATATTGATATTAAAATAAATATTGTAAATATCATTTTTTAAGATACTAATTATCTTAAGACTAAAATTAATATTATTTCAAATTATCATATCTTAATTAAGATTTTATTTATTATCTTATATTTTATATATTATTATGATCAACCATTTTAATCAAAAAAGTTAATTGTTTAAATATATATGAAAAATTATAATTTATCATATATAAGAATCAATTTTTATCTTAAATCCATCTTATTCATTGTTTTTCAATTTTAAATCTTATTATTTTTACATTTCCCATATTATAGAACTTCTTTGATTTTTCCTTATTTAATTAATTATCTTAATAATAATTTAGATAAAATTCTAAAATAATAAAGTAATGTACTCGCCCTTTTTCCAATTTCCTGAATATCTACCAAATAACTTTAATAGTATATTTTTTACCATCAGGCCATGTAAACCTTGTTGTTTATCAAAATAATAAAAAATCTTATTATTATTTAACCATTCACTCATATAATGTCTTCCAATTTTTCAATAACATACTCCATATCCTGTCATTTTATATTAATTTATACACATAAACAATAATAACCTTTTCCCTCTAGAAAATAGTAACAGGATATTGGACCATCATAGGTTCTTTCATATCTACTTCTATCCATTCAAGTTCAACCATGCTATTTACTCTTTTATCTCTAGTTACTTCTATTTCTCCAGTTTTAAGAACAATTAAGGACTCTTAGGTCTTTTCGAATCACTTGGCAAGGCATACAAAATCTTATCTTTTTAAATAATTTCACAACTTCTAAAAAATAAAGTTATTCTATATAGTCATAAGATTTATTACACTAAGTTCAATATTATAATGATAACTAATGAATATTTAAATATATCTGCAATTCCTTATTGAAATACTAGCAAATTAATTCTAATAAATAGTTCTTGTTATTTTCTATAAATTATGATTAACTTATAAAATAAATGAATTACAATCTTTTTAAATATTATATCAATTAAGTCTATTTAAATGTAAATAAATAAATTTTCAAAAGTTGATAAAATCAAGATATGTTGTAAAATAAACATAATTATTAATAGAATTTTCCAAACCAACCAATTTTTAAATAGAAGAATAACAGCAATAATTGATTATTATGAATCCATCCAATTGTTAATTAAATGTAATATTAGTTCCAATAATAATTATGAAAATATTCTAAATCAATAAATCTTTATAATTAAAATTTTAATGTTTGATCATTTGATAAATTTAGAGATTAGATATAAAAATATTAATATTTACTTTGACTGAAATAAAAATCTTATAATTTATGCTACAATTAATTATTGTTTTACAATGATGAACATTTTATTTAAAGAGGAATTATTTTAATTTATACTAATACATATAATAATCCTTGAATCTATTAATTTTTTAGCAACTATAAGCACTATTTTATTAGAAATAGGAAATAAATCAGCTAGAAAATGATAATAATTAAATTCTCTTTTTTTAAAAGATATTATAATACATTCTGATAAAAGCTATCAAATTTAATTTTATTATAAAAGACAATATATTAGATAAATTAAAATAACTAGAGTTATTCTGAAGATTAAAAAGTATATTTATGTAATGAGATTTATTATTATTAAGTAAAATCTCTTTTTATTTGTCTTTAGAATAAAACACCTATTCAAAAATAGATAAATTCATTCTATTATTATATATTTTTAAGTCATTCCTTAATTTCTAAATGGTTGAAAAGTTATCTTAAAAATATATGTATAAACAAATCATTTGTATTGAATAAATTATCTAAACAAGGATAGAAAAATAAAAAAAAATAAATATTAAGACCTATAAAATAGTATATAAAAGTAGATTAACATATTAAAATTAAACCTTTATTTGAATTATTTTATTTAAAGAAATATATAAGTATTACAGAAACCAATTTAATTCAATTAATGATATCTAATAAAAGGATGTATAGGTTGGAACTTATAATAGTGATATGAAATCTAAATTACAATAAATTGATAGGCAGAATTGATCACTTATTTATTTAGAAGCATTGAATTATTAATAAAATACATATCACATTAAAAATCTCTATTTAAAGAATTTCTTAAGACTCCAAATCTAATATACTCCAGATGCTAAAAGAACAACTATTTATAAAATAGTAGTTTGAGTAACTCTTCTACTGATATCAATAGATTGAGTTGTTAATTTATCTTCTTGTTCTCTATTCAATTATTATAGTGAAATGAAATCATCAGTTCTGTTTTTTAAGGCTGAGATTCTATCTATATAATATATAATAATTATGTTATACCTTTTATTGATTCAACATGTGTCTTATTAGCAGCATCTTGTAGATTATGATCAACTCCTTATTGTATTTTAATAGAGTATTTATACTCATTCACACTCCAAAATTACTTAGACTTAATGACACAGAACTTGTATCTGCCCACTATATCAAATAGATATAAGAATACTTGTTTTAGCAGTGAATGACATTTTGTTCTTTCCTTCTATAGTTTTAGCAGTTTTCACTATATTACCATCAGGGCCATATATATTTAAAGTGATTCCATCTTTGATCATTTTTGGAATGTCTTAGTATACAATAAACGAATACCTCTTTTTTCATTTTTGGCCACTCCTTCAGACATCAATTCATGATAAATTACAACAATCTAAAGAATAATAAAATAGGATTTACAGTCTGACTAGGCACTTCATCTGAAAAACACTTTTCTACTCCTTCTTTAGCATAGAAGCTGATACATTGATTCAAATTGATTAATAGTGCAATTACAATAAGGTATTTCATATTAAATGTATTTAATTATTAATCTATAAACAATATAGTTTTACTATCAATTCTCATTAATATAATACATTCTTAACTATAAATTTATATAAAATCGATTATGATCAATTAGATATGATAGAATCAACTAAAATGGACAGTTCATTCAATATATAAAATATATTGGTTGAAGCATATTCTAAATTTAATTGAATGTCTAAAAAATATGTAAATTGAGCATAAAACAAATTGATTTTTAGAAAATACTTAAAATAAGTAGGTTTAGAACAAAAGACTTAGAAAATAAACAGACTTTTTATTTGTAAATCTTAAAATAGAATTATATTGATAAAGGATTTACTTTTATTATATATAAGCTTCTTGATAGAGATTAGAAATTAAAAAGATATAAATTTATTACAATATTTAAAATAAACAAAGAAGTAGAAATCTAGAGTTAGTATTAGTATGTGGTAATCTTATAAAAAGTATAGAGAATTATTAGAACAATTAAATACTTACCAGGAGTTTTATTTTCAAGAAATGAATTTGAAGAAACAAAATAAATAATAGAAAATTTAGATGTCTTAACATTTAGTGGTAAAGATCTTAATAATGTATCATTAACATATGCTTTAATTCATTAAGCATTTGTTGTTAATAATAAAGATATNGATTATGATCAACTCCTTATTGTATTTTAATAGAGTATTTATACTCATTCACACTCCAAAATTACTTAGACTTAATGACACAGAACTTGTATCTGCCCACTATATCAAATAGATATAAGAATACTTGTTTTAGCAGTGAATGACATTTTGTTCTTTCCTTCTATAGTTTTAGCAGTTTTCACTATATTACCATCAGGGCCATATATATTTAAAGTGATTCCATCTTTGATCATTTTTGGAATGTCTTAGTATACAATAAACGAATACCTCTTTTTTCATTTTTGGCCACTCCTTCAGACATCAATTCATGATAAATTACAACAATCTAAAGAATAATAAAATAGGATTTACAGTCTGACTAGGCACTTCATCTGAAAAACACTTTTCTACTCCTTCTTTAGCATAGAAGCTGATACATTGATTCAAATTGATTAATAGTGCAATTACAATAAGGTATTTCATATTAAATGTATTTAATTATTAATCTATAAACAATATAGTTTTACTATCAATTCTCATTAATATAATACATTCTTAACTATAAATTTATATAAAATCGATTATGATCAATTAGATATGATAGAATCAACTAAAATGGACAGTTCATTCAATATATAAAATATATTGGTTGAAGCATATTCTAAATTTAATTGAATGTCTAAAAAATATGTAAATTGAGCATAAAACAAATTGATTTTTAGAAAATACTTAAAATAAGTAGGTTTAGAACAAAAGACTTAGAAAATAAACAGACTTTTTATTTGTAAATCTTAAAATAGAATTATATTGATAAAGGATTTACTTTTATTATATATAAGCTTCTTGATAGAGATTAGAAATTAAAAAGATATAAATTTATTACAATATTTAAAATAAACAAAGAAGTAGAAATCTAGAGTTAGTATTAGTATGTGGTAATCTTATAAAAAGTATAGAGAATTATTAGAACAATTAAATACTTACCAGGAGTTTTATTTTCAAGAAATGAATTTGAAGAAACAAAATAAATAATAGAAAATTTAGATGTCTTAACATTTAGTGGTAAAGATCTTAATAATGTATCATTAACATATGCTTTAATTCATTAAGCATTTGTTGTTAATAATAAAGATATCAGATAATTCTTGGATGGTATCTATGTTTCAGATAAACGTTTAAATGTTTGATATATATTATAAAGCACAATAAGAAATGTATTTCTATTTTTGTTGTGGCTATACAAATACATATATCATATTTCTTCCACTTTGTAATCATGATTTTCAAAGAAATTGATTTCTTTCTTCTTCCTTGAATTATACTTTTCTAAGAATCTTAATCTATTGCTAACAATTCTTTCAATTAGTTCATCAGCAGTTTGTTTATTGACAGCCTAAATTTATTAATAGATTCCTAATTTAATTGGTAATTCATAAGGATCATCCATTGTTTTTTAAGAGCAAGTACCTTCAACAATTAAATCAATTTTGAAATTTTTGATTAATTATTCATTCACCTTATATGGAACACCCATAATAACTTCATCTACATATTTTATAGCCAACAAATTTAAAACTCTTTCTTACAAATTCAATATTGGATAGTTTTTCCCTTTTATTTTATTGATAGTCTAGAAATGTAGGAATTATTTTATCTACCTCATTATCATAAACTCCAACATACAAGAAATCTCCCAATTCTTTGGCTTTCCTTAAAACATCAACATGACCTTGATGCAAAATATCAAATGATCCATCAATATAAACAATTTTATCACCAGGTTTAGGTTTCTTATTGTTACTAAATTACATTATTCTCCTTGTTGTATTCAATATCTTATTATTCAATGTTTATTCAATTGAAACTTAGTCTATCTCTAAAGAATTAATATTGGATGCTTCTACAATGGTTTACTTTTGAAATACTTTCTAAAATTATTTAAATCAATAATTACTTTCTCTTCCCACATTACTTCTTTAGTCATCAATAGCATTCTACCCACTATATCTGTTGTACTAATTCCTTCTGTTCTTTTAAAGATTCTAAAAAATATGGAATGAACAAAAATTACTTCATTCTTTTTGCATCTTTAAATGGTTAATATGCATCCTTGCCATCTGCAGTTTAGACTAAATCATCTCCATGAGCAACATGGGAACATGAATGTCTATCTATTTATTCTATAGTTGGATCATATGTTTCCTAGATAACTACTTCATCCACCCATTTACAAGCACTAGCTAAGGCCAATCTTTCTTCATCAGTCATAATTGGTGGTCCTTTTGCTTTAGCTATTGCATCTGATTTGATCACTCCAACAACTAAGGTCTCACATAACTCTTTGGCTTAACGAAGTGCATTGAAATGTCCTGAATGCATTAAATCAAAACATCCATCAAAGTATAACCTCTTGACTTTTTCTTCACCATCCCCTTTAGATGGGAGTTATGATAAAAATAGGTCAGCCTGTTCTTTAGAGACATCTCTAATATGAGCATACTCTGAACTGTATTGTTTGGCAATTTGTTATATCTTTTGTGCTTGCTCAGTTTAAAGAATATGATCAATAAAAAACAATGTATGGAGGTTATTTTAATCCATTTAATTTAATTTCAATAAAATTCTTTCTTAAGCATTAAATAATTAAAATAATCACCATAACTAGTATGTCTACAATTGAGAAAAAGATTTAGAAATTAAGATAATAACATTAGTTCACACATAATTCTATAGAAATACATTCAAATGCATCATTCTTTGATGAAGAAAGAAGTTAAGATTTTTAAGATGATGTTTTATCCTCACAAGAAGACTTCCAATATTATTAATAGAAGTCCTCTCTTTACACAAATAAAGTATACAATTTCATTTAAAATATTAGTCAATTATGCCACCACAAAGCTTAGAAAATTATGAAAATTTCTAAAGAAGAACTAGTCCGACCTAAGTTCTCATGAGTGACCAATTTGTTTAAGAATCAGTTAATTATTTCAATTAAGAGATTGACAATAATACTGTTTAAACTGGTAAGGGCATTGCCATTCACGTGCTTGGACAAGGATCCATAGGTAAATAAACAAAGAAAGGTAAAAAAATAGAAAAAAACAATTAAAAAAAAATTTAGAATCTTAATAATCAAATAAATATAAATAATAATGAGTAGGAATAACAATCACAACAATTTTCTTTGCCAAATAATAACTTTCAATCATAATCAAACTCTTAACAAACTAAATAAATTTGCTAGACTTAAAAAGTTATACTTGCATATTTGATGGTAGAGAGTGATGTATCAAAACAAGCTTAACAAAGAGCATAAAATTTCATTTAAAAATATATGTAAAATGTCAATGATAAAGAAATTTTAATAAATATTTAAGAAACTTATAAAATATTGCTTCTGCCAGATTAGATTGTATAGCAGCTTGCTTAAGTTCTAAGTTAGAAAGAAAGCATTTAATATTTAAATTTATCTCTGCATCGCCTTAATTTGCCTAATAATAAGCATCCCTTAGCAGCGAAAGCGGCTGATAAGATAAGGAAACTCTTTTAAAGTTCTTGTTGAAAGTGAAGTCAAAGAAAAAGGCCAGAATAAATGAGAGATTAAGTTTATATGTGACTTTTATACATAATAATAATATTATTTAAAATGTCATGTTTTATTCTCTTTTCTAATATAATTATTATAATAAAAACTTAAATAATTGAATAAAGTCATCTTTAAACTTAATTCATCTTTTTTTTATTATATCTTTATGTTAAATTATATTAATTTATATAATTTAAATATAATTCTTTATTTTTTAAATGAAATTCTTTTTAAATTAAGCACTATTATCTATAAAGAATGGATTTATTTGTTTTTATTTTAGAGCTTAACATAAATATATAGATTAACAATTTTATTAATATTATAAATATAATGCATTAAAACTATTATAAATATAATGCAATTAAATTGGAAATTAATTTAGTTCTATTCAACAAACACTATCAATGTTGTTATTGGATTGCTTTTATATTTATATGATGTTAGTTAAATATTTTCACTTGTACTACTTATATTGAACGGAATGATATTATTAATCAGTATATTGATCATTCATAAACAAAAAAAAATAATTCCAAAAATATATTTTCAATTGTTTATGAATCTTACTCTTAGTGTTCATATATCATATTGCTGTTTTTTAGATAAGGATTTAGCTAGAATAACATATATTTTATTGAAAGCATTAGAAATATAAATGGTCAAAAAATAATCAATAATAAAATCCATAATATTGCATCTTGCTTACAACATTTTATTATTTATATTGTTCATAATTCATTAAGAAAATACAATCTCATATATTGTCACTGTGTATTGCACTATCTTATTGGTTAAGTTAAAATACTCTTCAATAATTTAAGAAAATTAAGAATTCGAATTACCTGTATAAATTACAAAACCCACATAAAGAAATTCAGAAATTATCAATTTAATATAAGATTCAATTAGTAATTCTTGGTTGATTCGATTATAAAATATACCAGTAGGTATTATGATAGTAAATAAGAATAATCTTTAAATTATGTTTTAAAATCAATCTCTACTTTAAATGTTTGATGGTATAAAAGACATACCTAAATTTTTAATGTATGAATTATAATTCAAACTTTAAATAAAAAGAAAAAGAAAATAAGTTAAAGAAACAAGTATTAAATTACCTAAACAATCTCCTCAATAATAAAATAGTATTCCATAATTTTTTAGTTGCAATAAAATGCCTAGTTTTTAAAAACTTCCAAATACTTTAAATGAAATATTATTGGAATTATAAAATGGAAATTTAGATTAATTTTATTCAAAAGAGAACAATTTAGAACTTTTAGCTTAATTATCAAAATCTAAGTATCCCTCTTTTCATGAAGAAGAATATACAAGAAACATTTAATGTAAGATATTTTGTGGTTAGAATGATCATGAATATTTGATAATTATGGATGATATATCATTGCAAAGTTATTTATAAAAATTAGAAACAAGAGAAAAATTCTAAGTCAGAATTATTGATTCCTTCTCTCATGAATTAAGAACTCCTTTAAATAGTGCTAAATTATTTCTAGATGGTCTTATTAATGATCCAAGTATCAATGAAAATCATAAATATAATTTTATATATCCTGCTTCAAATGCTTTGAAATTATAAGCATATTTAATTAGGGATATTATAGATTTTATTTAGTTTCATTCATAAATTATTAAATATAAATTTGAAGAATTTAATTTTGAAGATATTGTCTAAGAAGTAAATGATATATTTAGACCTATATTGTAAATGAAATATATTGGATTACATATTATTGTTAAAAATTCTGTCCCACCTATTATATATTCAGATGTAGATAGAATAATGTAGATCTTAGTTAATTTAATTTCGAATTCAATTAAATTTTCTGAGAGAGGATTGATTACCATAGAAATCTCATGCTATGAGACAACTTTAACTTTTTGTGTAAAAGATTAAGGTGTTGGTATAGAAAATGATTAATTACAGAAAATTTAAGAATTCTTAAAATCCTTTAATCAAAACAGAGATTTTTCATGTCATGATGAATGGTAAGGTTTGGGATTACTTGTAAGTTAAATGAATTTATTCAAGTTAGCCCCATAAAACAAAACCTAATTGAAAATCAGTTCTAATGGATTAGGTGAAGGTACTTAAGTTACCTTTAAAATTAGGACAACTCAATCATCAAATACATAAATATTAGGAACTACTATCAAAAGATAGAGTTTAAGAACTGCATATACAGTACCAGATCTTTGTATGGGAATTTAGGGAATTTTAATTATTAATAATCCTAAATCGGATGATTTGATGCTTGATAAGAAACTTTAATAAATTCCCATTAGACATCATTCATCTATTGCTAATTATTTTCGACCTTAATAATCTACAGGATTGTTAAATTAGTATGTATAACAAGAAACAGACCTACTTTAAGATGAGGAATCATAAAGAGGAAACCTTTAAGGGAATATAATAAAATTGAATAACTCAACCAAATAATTTTATAACTTTATATTTAATAAAGAATTAAGGGAAAAGTCAATTAAAAGAAGAAAAAAATCTTCATTTAGTATTTCAGAAATTGATATATAATCAAAAAAAAGACCAAATACATTAATCTCAAGACTTATTTAAAGAGAAGAACAAGAAATATAAATGGAAGAAAAGTTTGAGAATTTATAATTCCCTTGTTAATGTGCAAGAATATTATCTGTAGATGATGATCTATTTAATCAAAAAGCATTATAAGTTATTATTGGATAAATGGGATTTAGATTATTAATAGTAATATTCATCTAATTTTTTAGGCATATAATGGTTATTAAGCTGTGGAATTGATTTAAAATACTGAAAAATGTTCTGAATCATGTAAATTGTTTCACTTTATTTTAATGGATTGTTAGATGCCCATTATGGATGGGTGGACTACTACAAAAGTACTTATGGATCTCATAAGAGATAAGAAGGTTCCAGATATACCAATAATAGGATTGACTGCATTTAATTCAGCAGAAGATATCAGTAGATGCTTTGAAGTTGGTATGAGAGATGTATTGACGAAACCCTTAAATATTAACTAACTAAAGCATGTATTAATAAAATTATTTAAATGATTCATGTATTATTTTATTTACTGCTTATACTAAAGTATCAAATATTTCTCAAAATTTCAATTATTATCCTTTAAATTATTATATTATTATGATAATAGTTTTGTAAATATAAGCAAAACTATATTCTTATAAATAGAAGATTTTGAATATTTTATTATTTGAATGTAAATTGTAATTTTTTAATTTAGCTTTTTTAATTTTTCTTTTATCATTATTATCTCAAGAATAAAATGTATGAATAGATAGATTTTTGTATTTTTACTTGTTTTGATTTTTTAGAATCGATTTTAATCAAAATTTATCTAATTTTTAAATTTATAATTATCATTTAATATAATAACTAAAGATCATTGTATAAAGTTCTATTTTAATGATATAAATTATTATTTTTCTTTTATTTTTTAGTTTTATTTATTTTTGTATGTGTAGAAGAATAAATTATATTCTTTTCATTTCATTAAATAAAGAAAAAGATTTAATTTATTTTGAATTAAAATAAAGTTCATATGACATTCATCGTGAAAACAAGAAAAGTTCTATTAAATAAACTCTTGAATAGAAGATAATTAGTAAGCTGATTTATTAATTAAAAGAGTGTTGAATTGCTCCATCCAAATAAGCCAACTCCATCATAAGAATCAGTTGTCAAAGAATTGGCTAGTAAGTATAAAGCAGATGAGAGAAATGTTGTTGTCTATGGTCTCAAAACAACATTTGGAGGTAACAGAACCACAGGATTTGCTCTCATTTATGACACTTAATAGTAAAAGCAATAATTTAATAATTTAGGTATTTACTTAAATTCGAACCAAAATTCAGATTGAGAAGAAGAGGAATCATTCCTAAAAGAGATGGAAGCAGAAAGGGTTGGAAAGAAGTTAAATCAAAGTTAAAGAAGACCAGAGGATCAGAAAAAACAAAAATTTATATGTCAAGAAAAACAGACAAGAGAGAAGTCATAAGAGCTTAAAAGGAAACTTATCTTAAGGGTTTTGTTGGAAAATGATGAACATAAAATATTAATAGTACATTATAATAATAACAAACTAATAATAATTAGCATATTTATCATATTGTATTTATTATGTGATACTGATCCTTTTAACAAGCAACAATATTACTATTATTTATAAGGTAATTAATTCTTTACTCTAATTGTGATTTTATATATCAAATTCGTTTTTAATAATTTAATTTATTATGAAATTAGGAGTTCTATTGTTGATTTTCTCAACTCTAGGCATATTTGCAAAAGATGTTACAAAAATTCATGATTGGGTACAAAAGAACATTCAATCTCTAGAAAAGTATATATAAGAAACAGATATGACAAGCGATATTTTGTTAGGTGTTTAAAGAAATGATAAAGGCATTAAGTAAGTCTTAATCTTAAAATAAGTTTTTAAAATTGGATTCTTTCGACTAATCATAAATAACATATAGAATTGACCGATGGACTAATTAAAAAGACAACTGCATTTGGTCCAGAATCTGAATATTTTACAGAAACAACATAAAATTTAGTTTTCTTAGGAACATAAATTAAGGATAAGGAATGGATAAAGATTTAAATGAAAAAAAATAATGAAGATATTTAAAGAATTGATATGTTTGCTTATGACAATTATCAAGGTGTCAGTTTAATCAATTCTAACAATGAAGGAACAATCAATAGATTATTAATAGTAGAAAAAAAGAATGAAATTATTTCCTCTTATGAAGAACATGAAAAATCCATAATCTAAATATCAAATTTATCAGAAGGCTAATCCTTATTCTATATTCTTTACAGTCAAAATTCAGAAGTAGGTGACATTGAAAAGTTATTTAATTACATTGTTAAAAATGTTATTGATCTTGAAAAAGAACCAGAAATCAGTGCTGATGAATAACCAGTCAACTAAGATGATGGAGAAGAAGAATCTGATCCTAATGATCTAGAAAAATTGAGTAAATCAAAAAAATAAGGAGAGGGTGAAGAAAATGAAGGAGAAGGTGAAGAATAAGAAAAAAAAGAACAAGAAGTACCAGAAGAAGAAAATCATCAGGAAGTACCAGAAGAAGATTGCCCTGGGGGAGAGGAAGATGACACTGTTAAGAATAAAGTCGATGTTGATTCAACTACACAATTACCACCTTAGGAAGATCCAAAAAATGTCAAAATATAAACAACTGATGCATAACCAGAAGAAACAGTTGAAATAGTAGAAGAATCAGAAGAAGAAGAAATTATTGTTCCACAAAAAACACAATCAGTTGGAGGTAAATCAAGTTTACCACCAAAAAAGAATCAAGATGGAGATGAGAACAGTGAACCAGAACCTCCTTCTGAGGAATATTAAAATTGTGCAGGAGAAGAGTTGGATACAGTTAAAAACAAAAGAGACTTGAATGCAAACTTAGAATCCAAACAAGAAAGAGTATTTTAAGCAAAATAAGTTAATATCAACGAAACAGTTCATGAAGAAGAAGGTGAAGGAGATGGAAATACAGATGGATAAGGAACCACTTAAGGTGAGGGAAAGACAGATGCAACTGATGAAAAGACAGATGCAACTGATGGAAAGACTGATGTTACTAATGGAAAAGCTGATACTGATGGAAAGACAGATGCTACTGATGGAAAGACAAATGATACTGATGGAAAGACTGATGCAGCTGATGCTACTGATGGAAAGACAGATGCAACTGATGCAACTAATGAAAAGACAGATGCCACTGATGCAACTGATGGAAAGACAGATGCTACTGATGGAAAAACTGATGTCACTGATGGAAAGACTGATGCAACTGATGGAAAGATAGATGCAACTAATGAAAAGACAGATGCTACTGATGAAAAGAAAGATGCAACTGATGGAAAGACTGATGTTACTAATGGAAAAGCTGATACTGATGGAAAGACAGATGCTACTGATGGAAAGACAGATGATACTGATGGAAAGACAGATGCAACTAATGAAAAGACAGATGCTACTGATGAAAAGAAAGATGCAACTGATGGAAAGACAGATGCTACTGATGAAAAGAAAGATGCAACTAATGAAAAGACAGATGCAACTGATGAAAAGAAAGATGCCACTGATGGAAAGACAGATGCCACTGATGTAAAGACAGATACTACTTATGGAAAAACTGATGCAACTAATGAAAAGACAGATGCCACTGATGCTACTGATGGAAAGACAGATGCTACTGATGGAAAAACTGATGTCACTGATGGAAAGACTGATGCAACTGATGGAAAGATAGATGCAACTAATGAAAAGACAGATGCTACTGATGAAAAGAAAGATGCAACTGATGGAAAGACTGATGTTACTAATGGAAAAGCTGATACTGATGGAAAGACAGATGCTACTGATGGAAAGACAGATGATACTGATGGAAAGACAGATGCAACTAATGAAAAGACAGATGCTACTGATGAAAAGAAAGATGCAACTGATGGAAAGACAGATGCTACTGATGAAAAGAAAGATGCAACTAATGAAAAGACAGATGCAACTGATGAAAAGAAAGATGCCACTGATGGAAAGACAGATGCCACTGATGTAAAGACAGATACTACTTATGGAAAAACTGATGCAACTAATGAAAAGACAGATGCCACTGATGCTACTGATGGAAAGACAGATGCTACTGATGGAAAAACTGATGTCACTGATGGAAAGACTGATGCAACTGATGGAAAGATAGATGCTGGTGATAGTGATTAAGGAAAGACTGGTTCAAATGGGCATACTAATGGAGAAAATCATACTGATGATTAAACAAAGATCAAATCTGAAAAATAAGATAATAAATAGGAGTTAGAAGTAAAAATACTAAATAATTCTTAGGAACCATGTGTAATTTTATATTCAGAATGTCATTTCACTGGAGATGAATTGAAATTATGTGGTACTCACCCTGTAATTCCTAATGATATGAAAAATTTTAAAGTGAAATCTATAAAAGTTCCTGAAGGTGTTTAGGTTACATTCTTTAATAAGCCTAATTTTGATGATGAAAAATTACATGCCAAAAATGAAATGGAATGTCTTGAAACACCTTTAAGATTAAATTTACTAGAATTGATGAATAATCTAAGAATGCCAAAGCATGTTAATATAAACTCTATATCAGTTACAAATTGATATTTAGTTTATATTTACAAAAATAATTATATAATAAATAGGTTTTCCTTATTTAGGATATAAAAAATTATAATTTCTTTTACTTCTCTCCAAAATTTAATTCACTATATGATGTTTGCTATTTATACTATTATTTTCTAAATAAATATTGAAATAATATATTGATTTCTAAAGGTTCTTCCTTTTTCAAGTTACTCTGAATAAACATGAAAAATTTATACATTTCCTCCTTCAAAACAAATAGAATTCAATTCTCTTCTATAATTTTGTATTTTTTATATTACTAATTCGAATTAAAATTTTTATCTATTACTCTAAGCTTTATTAAACATGATAAATTAATTTTTGGAGCATTTTATTTTTCTTTCTTAATCTAAGTTGATGAAAATCCAGCTCCTTTCAAAAATTAAAATATTTTGAAACCGTTTTTGCTTCTGGATCCTAGAATTGCGAATTATCTTTAGTTTTGCTCCTTCTATTAAGTTTCTTATGATTTAGTGTCCATAATTTTCATGATTTGTAATCTGATTCAACCCTTATTTCGTCAATGTAAATTGTTTCTGTTTTGCTTACTATATATTTGAGTTAATTAACTTCAATAATTTTGAAATTTCAGCTTGAACCTATATTCCTTTTATGAAAACTAATAAATGTAAATAAGGGATATTTTTACTTGGCTCTGTTTATTTTTGATATTGTTAAGAAATATTTTCTAATGTTTTTAAATAAAAATGCAGTTTGATTGTTAATCATAAAAATTTGCTGGATGAACAGAAAATTCTAATAAATTTTACTATTAGCAAATTAAAAAGATTAGAGCTATCATTTCAAAATAGTTAAATTTTCGTTATCACTAACAATCTCATGATTTTTTAACCAAGAAAGCATCTATCATAGCAAATATAGATATTTATTCTAATTGATATCCATTATGACCTGATAGAGTAAATGGTTCAAGGCTTAACTATTTTGATTATTATTTGAATAATTTATAACAACAATATATAAAATAATTTAAGTTCATTGTGATATTGAGACATAAAATAAGTAAATTATTATAATCATATTAATGACACTTCCACTTCCAAATATGAGAACTAAACAATTATTTTCATCCTTAGGTATAGGTATTTCTCCATATAGTTAACGTTTTTCAACACTAGTATCAAATAAATAGTCGTTCTCCTCATCTATATGCTAAATTGATATTTATTACATATATTTATTTAATGAAATAAAATTCTTTTTTGAAGGGAATAAATTATTTGATGATGGAAGCAAAAACGTCTTAAAATAAAGTGAAATAATTGAATGAGAAAATTGAAATCTAGTAAAAGCAGACAAATCATAGAAATATTTTTAGATGATTTATTTTTAATAGAGAAATTCAATTATGATATAGGCATTACCAAACTTGCCAAGAATTATTTTTCCAATTGGTTTGGAGATTTAATTATCAAGGAGAGGACTTATATTCAACTCAGATTAAACTGCAAATAATTTTTATATAATTTTGAATGGAACAGTTTAGAACTAGCAATAGAGAAGGTTTTCTTAATTTGGGATAGATTAAATTGTTGAATAGTACGATATATTTGATGAAGAATAAAAGATCAACTATCAAATATAGATAATTGAAATTAAAAAATATTTTGACATTTACGTATGTAAATAAATATAATTTCATGGAAGTTTGGATTAATTTTAGCCAATGATTGCAATTAACAATTATTAACTTAATTTTTTATAATTTTAAATAGTTGAATGATTAAAGTATAGTTAGAAGTTTTGTTATATTTTCTTGAAAAATTAGAAAGAATCCTTTATCTTTTAAAAGAATTATATTATATTGATATTACTTTTGAAAGAATATTTTTGTATTCTAGATCATATTTATGTCATTAAAGAAAAGTTATAATCCAAAACAAAATAAGAACTTCACTTAAAACAGTTTAGGCGAAGTTCAAATTATTGAAATGATTCAATATATTAAACCTAAGATTGAGTTTTTGAATTTCTAACTCATTTTAATTTTCTGCATTTCATTATGATATATTTATAGAATTATTTTTTTGAAAATAGGTTTATAATTCTTAATGCTCTGATATTTAAAAAATAAAACTAAATAGTCTTAAAACAAAATTCGTTTTATTATTGGAGAATATTATAAGTACTTAAAGCAACATAAATTTATCATTAAAAAGATTTCGTTTTTGACATTTTTCAATTCAAGATAAGGTGATTAACTATAAGAAATTATTCATACTTTATATAATAATAATGTTAAAAATAGAGGAAAATGAATATTTATTGAAAATTATTATATTATTTTAATCAGTTTATAAATCGTAATATGCATTCAAGCTCTCCTAGATGGAGAAGTAAAAATTTTGATAATTCTGACCTTGGAGATGAAAGAATTTTTAGCATTAGAACAGAAAATAATAAATAATCTCTTATAAAGAGAAAATATTAGTTTACTGTTTAATAAATGGATAATGATGAGCAAATTGAAGACATCAATTTACTCTTTGACGATAGATAATTAAAAATAATAAATGATTTATCTTTTGTGTAGACAGCAAAGGTTAAAGAGAAAGCTAAGAGAGCATCAATATCTAGGAAGATGAGTGTTATGATTCAAAAAAAAGAATAAGAAGAAAAATAACCAAGTTGTTCTTACATATAAGTATTCACTCAAGAAGATAAAATAAGAATAGTTTGGGATATAATTACAATGTTAGTGATCTTTTTGGCTATCTTAATATTACCAGTTGAAATTTCATTTAATGTTGAATCCACTTTTTTAGATGACTTTAATCTTTTTAGTTTAGCAGTATTTACCCTTGATATATTCATTAATTTTAATACAGCCTTCTAACATAAAGGTTAATATGTGTTTGATCGATCATTGATTGTTTAAAATTATCTGAAAATGTGGTTTTGGATAGATGTAGGTATCTTTACAGATTAATCATAGTATCTACATTCCCTTTCGATTTAATAGTTGAGGCTGCAACATCAAGTGTAGTACAAGTAGATGAAGATGAATTAACCTAAGAATAAAGTAAGGTTTAAAAGGATTCCCTTGTCTAAACAATGAAATTATTAAGGATTTTAAAATTTTTTCGTTTAATTAAAATCATAAGGTTATTACGTGTATTAAAACTTAAGTAGCTTTTTGCTAAATTAGAAGATTACATAGATATAAGTGGATCAGTTATAACAATATACTAATTGCTTAAATTAACTTTTATAATGCTTTTTGTTGCCCATTGGCTAGCTTGCATTTGGCATTTTATAGCTGAATAAGAAAATAGTTCCAGTGGGTATAGTTGGTTATAAGCAACAGAACTTGCAGAATAATAATGGTATATAAAATATGTGGCATCAGTTTATTGGGCTACGGCTACAATGACTACAGTAGGTTATGGTGATATTGTTCCAGTAACTTCAGTTGAGAAATTATTTGGTATCATTGTCATGTTATTGGCTTGTTGTGTTTTTGCATATATAATGAATAGTATTGGAGGTATTTTTGTGAAATTAGATACAAATGAAAAAACTATAAGATTAAAACTTGGATAAGCAAACTAATTTTTGAAATCTAATGAAATACCTAAAGATTTATAAGCAAGAGTAAGAAAATATTTAGAATATAAATATGAGACAGAATCATCATAAGTAAATGAAAAAGATGCTTTATCAGTTTTATCATCAACTTTGAAAGATGAAGTATTATAGAATGTAAACACTTCATTAATTAAATAATCAGCTTTATTTAATTCAGGTAAATTTGAGAAGGAGATATTATCCTAATTGCCATATCTTTTGGAAGAATAAATATATGGACCAGAAGAATGTATATTTATGGAAGGTATTGACCCAATTGAAAAAGAGAATGGCAATAATATATAAGATAGAAATTTGTATTTTCTAAATTAAGGACAGGTTCTAATTTGTATTTAGAGGACAATTACTTGTTTAAAAATAATTGAAGGAGGAGCTACTTTTGGAGAATTAGCATTTTTTACAGATAAACCTAGAAGTGCTTCTGCTTATACATTAAATTTTGTATATGTTTAGATTCTTAACAAAAAAAAGTTTTTTGAAAAACTAAAACTCAATAATAACTAAAATTAGATATATTTAATGAATAAACATATAGTTGAAATTAATAATGATTATACACCATTAGGATAATGTTGTTTTGCTTGTGGAAATAGTTAACATTTTGCTTATGAATGTCCAAAACTTCATTATGTAATAAATCAAGAACAAGGTTTAGAAATAATTAAAGAAGAATAATGTAATCAAGAAAAAAATTAAAAAATATTTAATAGATAATTTATTCGATAAAATAAAAGAGTTAAGTACAATTCAAGAGCTAATTCTTAATTAACCAATATTGTAGCCGATGAAATCAAATTTGTATACAATCATAACCGTGAAGGCGAAGATGAATTTTAAATTTAATCTAATCAGTAAATATATTATTAAGTTCAGATCTAATGGCATAGAAGAGGAAGAAGAAAATCCTCTCAAAATTAGTGTCAAAGGATAGCTCCCTTATTTTTCAGAAGAAACTGATATTGATAGGATTTGCAGTTTTTCTCTTTTCTTTCCAAGCTATAACTATGATAAAATTATTTAGTAATATAACTAATTCACTCCAGAGAAAAGAAAAGAGATTATAAAGAGGAACAATTAAACAATTAAAAAAAATAGAAGTCATAGAGTCAGCCAATCCCATTCAGCAGAAAGAGCTGAATATTTTAAAAAATTAGAAGAAAAGTGCTTTGCCGAGTAATGATTATGTAATTATAAATATATTTGCTTATTGCTTGATAGAAAAAGTTCATTATCTGATTTACTTGAATAAATTAATAACTCCTTAATTTATTCTTAATTTTTTTATTATCATATGAGTATAATGGCTCTTTTCAAAAATTGTTATGAACATTTCAAAGGCAAATTTTCTAAATAATACATTTCTGCTCAAACTCCAAAAATGCATTAGAAAAAAAAAGTGCTTGTTTTAGATTTAGATGAGACTTTAGTTCATTGTGAATTTAAAGAGAATCCTAATTTTTAACATGAAGCCATATTAAAAGTTATTCATAAAGGATAAGAATATAAAGTTTACTTAAGAACTAGGCCACATTTAAATAAATTTTTATTAGAAGCTAGTTAAGATTATGAAATCATTATCTTTACTGCTGGTTATGAAGTATATTGTGAAAAAGTTTTAGAGCATATTGACAAAGATAGATTGATTTCAGATTATTATGCAAGAGGAAGTTGTTAATTTATTAATGGAGTTTGTTTTAAAGATTTATTCTTACTAGATAGATTGATGGAAGATATAATTTTTATAGATGTAAACTTGCAATAAATATTAGAATAATCCTAATGCTTTTGACAGATGTCAAGAAAATGGATTACTAATACCTTCCTATCTTGATTCAGATGATGATGATTGTCTATTAAAATTAATTCCTTTTCTTAAATTTCTATCTAAGAAAAAAGACTTAAGACCAATTATGTAACATCTTCATTCATATGAAAATAACATTGGAGCTACATTATTTACAGATAACTAAAAAACTTTAGAAATATAAAAAGAAGCAATGGATGATGATTCTCTAAGTGAAGATAATGTAGTTAAAAAAGAAATTGATATTACAGATTTAGATATTAAACATAAAAAAACTTAAACTCATTTTGAAATAGTTTCTAAAGTAGGTAATAAAATAAGAAGTGCTACTCTATTTTCTGGATGAAATGAATTATTAAAAATTAATTTCATTTTTTTCAATACTCAATAATGTTAAATTAATTATTCTATTGCAACAATCTCATTATGATCTTTATTATCATATTTACCATTTAAGACTGGTAACTTAGAATATAAGAATAATCAATTAATATAAAATATTATTACCATTAAATTTGCATATAATTTAATATATTCTATTGAGTTTCCATTAAATATTCTAATATAATCATTAATCTACAAATTTCATTATTTCTATATGTTTAAAATTCTTAATATAAATAACATCCTGCTGGAAATCGATAAAAATAAAGGAATGTAATAATAAATATAATTTATAAAATTTGGTAATAAACACATATTAAAAGTTAATCATAGCCTTTATTATTTTACAATTTGTTTGATAATAGCTAGACATTTAGTTTCATTTAGACTTTCTAATGGCATCAAGATGAATGTAAATTTACTTGCTGAAACTAATTCTTATATTTTGGACAAATTTGAAATCTACAAAGTTCCTTATGCTACTAAAACTGAAAATCCAAAAATTAAATAAAAAAACAAAGTATTTTAAAAATCATTATGTAATATTTTAGTTGTTGATTCCAAAATAGTAACATAAAATTTAACTACAGCTTTGTTAATATCAAAAAAGTATTCTAAAACATAATGCTTAAATTCTAAAGTTGATAAAAAATATTCAGTTTCAGTTTTATTTATATTTATTTATCCTTATAATTCTAATTAATAATATGATTTCAAAATTGCAATTAATCTATGATATTAATAATTAATTACTTTGAAAAAATTCCATTAATTCCATTCCTAAAAATTTCTCTATTATTGTCCTCATCTTTTGGTTTAGGGTATTCTGGAAAATAGAAAAATTAATTATTAGTAAAATTACAGAACGGAAGCTAATCATCCATCACAGAACACAAATCATCTTAATATAATGTTTATAATATTTCTTTGTCAATTTAAGATATTTTTTTTGAATTTACTATATCTTAAAAAATTATTTCGTTGATTTCTTAAGCTTTTTAATATTTTAATTGAAATTTAGCTAATAATTCTTATTCTAAGATATGAAAATATTTATCTGTATCCAATAATTATGGATTTAAGTCAAGAAAACCTAATTAACGAACTTTTTCTGATAAAATTGAATTTGTTTTTAATAACTAAGTTAAAATCATTAAAGAATCTAAATCTTATTTGAATTAAACATATTAGATTGTTAATTGAATTTCTGATTAACTAGAATCTATGCCATTTTTCATATAAAAAAAACTTGATAAAATAAAACTTAAAAAGAATAAAAGATACATGCAATTTTTGAGATAGACACCTATATGATTAAATTAGTAATCAAAGAGTTTTAAATTTTATTTTGTCTTTTTTTTTGTAAAATTTTCTATTTTATTTAGAATATCTTATTCACCCTTTTAAACATTTTTATGATAACATTCATTCATATAGTTAGTTCTTTTCCATCTATATGGATGATTAATTATTGATTTTGCTTATTTAGCTGAATTTATACTTATTTTAATTTATTGCTCAGATAAATGGCTTAACAACTAAATTTATAATTAAACTATTTTGAAAGGTTGTTTCCATAATTAAATTAAACAAAAAATACAACCTATAAGAAAACATAGTTTGACACTCAATAATATATTAAGTACAACATTTGTGTTTTCTTATTAATTTTTAATTTCTACAATAATTTAATCTATCAAATTTTAAGAACTAGTTATTTAGTTTATTAGATTTGCTTTGATAAATTACAATTTATAATATTCATCTATAAGGTAAATGCGATTAGATGCTGAATAATTTAATGCTTGATTAATGTATTAAAATAATGATTCAGTGTATGTATCTGCAATCATATCAAATTATATCATTGATAATTCTTCTTCAAAATAACTAAATTGATTAAGAATTCTAACAGTTAAATTTTAAAGTCTATTTTCATTTTCTAAAATGGAGAATCTGTTTTTTAAATTTATCATCATAGTTTCCATTTCATTTCTAATACTGCTAGCTTGATTGATTATTCGATAATTAAGATATTAACCATAATCTTTACCCAACAATGATCTTTCTAAATCCATTTGTCCCATTGTAGCAAATGAACAATATAAACGATTAAATTTATCAGGAATCCTCACCAATTATATATCATATTATAATAAATCATTTAATTAAGATAAAACAATTAGTATTACTAACATCAATAGAAATATTATAATATATAGGAATATAGTTACAATCCATATCTTTTTAATTGAAACACAAAATTCTTTATTTTTTTAATATTCTCTAATTTATTCTAATACTTAAAAATTTGAATTTCTTGAATATCTACTTGATTATGATATTTTTTAATCATCAAATTCCATTAAATCATTTTTTTTTTATTTTTCAATTTAAGAGCTACTATTTATTTAATTAATAATCTATTAACTTTCAACATTAGAAAAAAGCAATTCTTATTTTTATTCTTAATTTAAATCTTTAATTAACATTTGATTTTCATATATTCTATTTGTTTAAGGTGCAATTTCAGTTATTTTTTCTATATCTGTTATAAATTTTGGAAGTGTAGAATGTGTAAAAATTTTAACTTATTATTATTAGATTAATTAAAATTAACTATATGTTGATGTTTTCTTATCAATACTAGGTATAGATTAAGCTTCTTTATATTGTTTAGACATACTAAAAATATAATAGTATTAACCAGTAGGTAATTAATGTATTTAGATTTGAACTTCAAACTAAAACTTACAATTAAAATTTAAATGATTGCTCAATTATTATTTAATATTTTGCAAAAATTCTTCAAAATAAGAATTCTCTTTTTAAACTTAAGGATTAATATTTTAATATTATTTAAAATAATATAAATATTGTATAAAGTTAGTTAGTGTTGATATTTCAATAATTACTTTATTAATTGAATAATTTTCATGATCAAAATTAGAACTTTGAATTAAAGAATCTATGTTTGGAATCCAAAATTATATATAGCATTCATAAATAGATTGATCAATTGATGAATAAATTGATTAAGTAGAACTATTATTAGTGTGAGTATTCATTAATATTGAATAGATATATTTGGATATACCTAAGATTTTACCATTTTAATCAAAAAGTATGTAATCTTAATTAGATTGTACTTTTTTTAAAGCAGTAGTCAAAATAAAGTCTTCAGATTTTTCATTTATATGCAAGAAACTTAGTATGATTGGAAATATAAAACCTTCATAATCTTTACAAAATACTAGTTTTCCTTTGTTGTATAAGGTTGAATTTCCTTTATTAATAAATTTATAAACATATTAATCATGATCTTGACTTATAAATTTTGGCATATATAAATTAATTAGATGTAAATCTTATTTTTTATTTTTATCTTCATATCCAAAGAATCTACTAATTTCTTCAATATTTGCTTTTACAATTTATCCAGTTTTTTCTAAAATACTAGAACAAATAACAATAAGATCATTATTCATTATATTTATATTTAAAATAGAAGAATTTGATGAATTATTTTCTTATTTTATCAAATCTTCTATATAAATTTCAATAATTTTAGTTTATTAATAATCATTTGCAACAAAAGAAAAATAAAGAGATAAAAATCTTAATTCTACAACATTAAATTTTTTTAATGTTTACACTTTTAATATAGATTCCATATCAGTAGTTTATATTATTGAAATCATTTTGATTTTCAATTTATTCAGAATTTTATACATTTTAGTTAAATCATCTGCAGTGTTTTCTATTTTATCATATCCTTTTTATAATTGAATCCATATTAATATTTTTTAATCAAGTAAATCTGAAAATATATCTAAACTACTTTAAAATAAATTATCTGCCTCTTTGATTTTTATAATTTAATAATGATAATGTTAATTAGTTTTACTTTCTCCTGAATATAAATCTTAAATTTATTAATCATATTTCTTACTAATCAAAAAACCTATTGTTTTAAAAAATAATGAATGATTTTTATTTTAAATCTAAAATCTCTTTGTCTCCAATAAACTTTATAGGTAAGTTCCCTATATTTCATGTTTTAAAAGGATTCTATATAATTAAATTTCTTCCCATTTATCATTTTTTTCTAAATTCTTCATATAATGTTCTAGCAATTAAAGAATACTCTAAGTATTCAAAATTTCAACATCTAAATACTATTTTATCAAATAGTCTCCTATACCCTTTTAAATTGAATTTGAATTATTGTGATTAATAATCTCACCTAAATTTAGGATTAAAGACATCGAAAGTTTTTACTACTTTACATCTTCAGAAATGATCTAATATATTTACATAAAGATATGAGAAAATAGTGGAACTAGTAACATTATTCCATAAAATTAAGAATATAAAGATTCATTCCAAAGTACTATTCTGACTGTAACTGATACAATTAGAACTCCTGTTGCACCAATATAGATGAGCTTTAATATTAACAACAATAAATACATTAATTTTATTGCAATATGGTTACATTATAATTGCATCAATAAAATATACAATACATAAAAAAAGTAGTAAGTATTTAGACAAGTAATCAGAACAAAGGGAATATGTAATAAAATATAAAAAATCGGCAAGTACAATTAAATAATTATAAAGAGAGTATCTCTTTAGCATATGTTATTATGATATAATAAAGTAATTGCGAGAACAATAAACTATAATTAAATAGTTGATGTAAAGTGGGATACCCAATAATAAAATTACTATTAAATCATTCTATTGTTTTAAGTGATGTATTTCAGTGTGATATAAGATTATTAGCTAATAATATGATATATAGAAAGTAAATATTTTTGAAACAATTTACCAATTATAAAGTGAAAAGCTAAAAACTACAAACATAGTCAAATGCAAAATAGTATAGAAAATGCTCATAAGATTATATATTAGATTTGAGTTGATCATTTCTAGTGGTTTTTAAAATGTAATCCAAGAAAAAAGCGATCCACTTATATTTAAATAAACTTCCTAAACAATATAATTATTCATACATCTGAATGCTCTCTATGGGAATTTTATGGCCAAAACAAGAGATATAATTTTTACATCAAAAATATAACCACTATCATTATATTTATTGAAGGTTTTGCATCATGAAAGTATAAATGATCTAATAACTCTGCGAGTCTCAAATGAAATATTTCTTTAATGTATTATTGCATACGTTCAAATATAATTTATATAATTAAGATTTATGTTTTCTTGTTAAAAGTTAAAAATTCATTTTGATTACAAGTGAAATTAAATTAATTGTAATATAATACTCCTATTAAACTCAAGATTTCAATTACAATAAAATGACAACATGATTTTTCATAAGCTAATAAAAATTGTTCAATTAATATAGCAATAATATACTAATTACTTTTTAATATAGTATTAGTACTATTTTTAGATTTTATAGAACATTCACCTCTAGTCTAACTAAAGATGCAGGAAACTAGTACTACTTAAAGCATCTATGATAAATGTTGATTTATTCATCATCATACCTTAATATTAGTCAATCTCAAGACTCTAAAAAATTCAAAGGTTTCTAAATAGATGAAGATAATATTAATAAAAAAAGTTGTTTACATCTAAACAATACCTTGAGGATTCCATTTCAAATTGAAAAAATTAAATAGAAATCAAAAATTATTTGGATTAATAAACTTTATATTTTAATAATTCAAATTATTTATTTTTAATTAAAATTTACTTTTAATTCGATACTTTCGTATAATAATAGCTTCAAGATTTTTTAACTCAAGAAAACAATTTTATTATTATTAAAAATATAAATATCCTCATTAGGATATTACTAAATCATATATATGTTATCATAGCAATAAAAAGGGTTAAAAAATTTCAGATTCTAATTAATTTTAACTTTTTTAAACATTATTGAATCAAAAATATGGATCTAAAAATAAATATCATACAATTTAAATTATACATTAAAAGTAGAATTTGTTAAATTAAAATCATCTAAAATTACAATATTTTCGACTAAGCTATAATGTTATTTTAAATTGTGTTATTTCAGCAACGTAGTTATTTTGCTTAAAATAGATATTCCCTCTTAAAGATTCCAAATGTGACATATGTTAACTACTTAAAGCTTAGGCCTAACACATATTTATGCAGTTTTCTCGAATTTCTTTTTTTTTCATTTATGCTTACTATATCAAAAAAATTAAACTATCTTTTTGTAAATTATTAGACTTACTATTTTATATTTAATTTAAGTTCATAACTTAAAATTTATGGATAGTATTTTATTGTCTAATCTAAAATAATTACTTAAAGGGTCTAACTAAATTATTTAATTTAAACTTGTATCTTCTATTAAGATCAAAGAAAAATAAGCTAATTGTTTATTTTAGGACTCTCTTTAATGGATGTATTTTCTAAGTTAATTTAAATATCTGATAATTCTTTAAAGTATTTTTATTATCTTAATTGTTATTGAACCTTCTTTCTATTAATAATTCTAAGGTATATTGATCATTTAAGGAAAGATGGTTTTTTATTATTTGCTTATGTAATCCTTTTTGTTAAAATATGGGAAATCCATTAATTCATTTAACATTAAAATTAAATCATAAAAATCAGAATTTAATAACAAAATTAATTAAGTTTTCTCACTCAACTAATCTATATTTTATAAATAAATACTCTAAATTGATGATTAAATATTTTCCCCCTATTAAATGAAAGCATATACTATTTACTTGAATAATTTTCTTCCTAGTCATACATTAAGTTTCCTAGCCAAAAATCAAATTTCTGGAAATTAACTTCTCTTCTAATTAAACTTTAAAAATAATTGATATTGAAGTAAAAATTTTAACTTTTTACGTTCAAAAAATGAGCCTTGTTAATTTGAATCTTTAGTATTGAAGTAAATATAATTATTATGATGAGCATCTTAGTTAATGAATTATTAATAGAGTTGAATCAGATAGTTTATAGTTAATCATTAAATTTATTTAAGGAAAATGCATAAAATTTATGACTTTTTTTAATATTCCATTTTTTTTCTTTTAGATGATGGGAGATAATCTCACAACAATGAATTTAATAATTTAATTCCTAAGTGAATGATAGTTATGTAATTCTTATAAAGTAAAATATTCCCCTCATGTAATAGATGATAATATTAAAAATTAATTTACATATTAAATGTTAATATTATATTCATATTTATAAATAATAATCTTAAAGAAATATGATTGATCAAAATTAAGTATTGAAAAAAAATCAATATTATAATTTTTATCAATATAATTGTAAGACTCTTAATTATAATGAAGTATTCTATTATTAATCTATTTCAAGCCATGAGTCATCAAAAAAAAATGTGTCAATTACAATTTATTCTCAAATTAGAAGTGTTATTAAAAAATCAAATATATTATTAGTTTCCTTGTTTTTAACAAAGCTGAAAACAATATTAAATTACAAGTATTAAATTTGATGATAATTTTTTTATTCCTTTTTTTGAGGAGATAGAAAAAATAACAAGCATAAAAAATATTAAATGTGTGATTTTAAAAATAAAGATTTTTTTTAATTAAATTTGAGATGTCTTAACAATAACCAAAAGGTGGAAAAGGATAATAAGCAAAGCCTGAAGCAAAGACTTAAGCTCCAGCTAAAGTTGTGAAACCATAAGAAACTAAAGAAAATGTGATGAGAAAGATTAGAATTGAAAAATTGATGGTTCACATTTGTGCTGGTGAGTCTGGTGATAAATTGACTAAAGCTGCTAAAGTTTTAGAGGATTTAACAGGATAAAAGCCTGTATTTGGTAAGGCACGATACACAGTCAGATCTTTCGGTATTAGAAGAAACGAAAAGATTTCTGTATTTTGCACAATTAGAGGTGATTAAGCAAAAGACATCTTATTTAGAGGATTAAGAGTTAAGGAAATGGAATTAAAAAAGAGAAATTTCTCTGATTCAGGAAACTTTGGTTTTGGTATTCAAGAACATATTGATTTGGGATTGAAATATGACCCATATACAGGTATTAATGATATAAATATTGCATAGGTATTTTCGGTATGGACTTCTATGTTGTCTTGTCCAGACCAGGTTTGAGAGTTGCTCAAAGAAAGTCAAGAAATGCCAGATTAGGAACTGCTTAAAGAGTTAGCAAAAAGGAAGCCATTGAATGGTTCAAATAAACCTTTGAAGGTAATGTCTATTGATACATTAACATAATACATTAAAAAATAAATAAATTCCATATATATATAATTATTTACTTAAAATTATTGAAATTTCAAATTCTTTAATAAAGAATTTAATTTCCAATGATTTTGTGGATTCAATACTTTGGATGTTAGTATTTAATTTGCTATAAAATTTAATAACAATTGATTAGGTAGTTCTTTATGTCACTTTCTTATAATTTAACCATGCTAATGTTATCAAGATAGTATTAATTAAATTAATTAAAATTTCATTATTTTTATATTTTATTTGCCTTTTTCTTTAGTATAATAAATGTCTTTTTTCTCAAAATTCACGAAAAAATTATAACCACAAAGATTGAGTTAAAGAGAGCAATTAATGTAAATTTTAGACAATGTACTTAAACCTAATATTCAATATAACTTAAAAGAAGGAACTGAAATACTTGCCCAGTATTTGATTAAAAGTGAATGTAAATTATATTATGATATTCAAGAACATATATCCACTTTATTTGAATTCTTAGCAACCATTACATTTGATTTTTAACCAATAAAAGTAATTCAATTATTAGCAATACTTCATTAATTATTATCATAAGATGAATTAAGTTAAAATATATCCATCAAAATAAGAACTGTAAAGATGCCTTGGTTATAAAATATAGGAACACTTAAAGGTATAAAGGATAAGAATGAAAAATGTTAATAAACTTCATCAATTATTTAATTAAATGAAATACCATATTAAACACCAAGCTCACAATTTTTGTATGTTTAATAGTGCTATTTTTATTTATAATTGCTTTCGTAAAACATTGATTTATATTATGCAATTTCTTTTAATAATTATCCATATAGTACAAAATATGAGATAGATCAAAGACTTAAGTGCACTTGGATTTATAAAATTTAAAATATAATGAATTATGCAATCCAGTTATTAGTTTATAATAAAGAGTATATTGAGATTTAGAAAGTTATTTATTAAGATATGTTAAAATTTCATTCATTCATATGTTAGGAGATCACTTAGGTATTAGATTAATATGCTACTTTGGGAAGATGTTATACTTTAAGTTTGTATGAAATATTTTGTGAAAGCAACAAGCATTATGAATAATTGAAAAGGTTTTGGAAAGAAATTGGATTATAATAACCTGAACAATGTATGTTATCCAATGGGTTATTATAAGAATTTTTGCTTTTTGTATCCAAATTAAAATTGTTGAATTAGATAGTGTACAAAAAGAAAATAATAGATCCTTTATCTAAAATAAAGGATATAAATGTATTTTTATAAATTAATTAATAAAAAAGAAAATGAATTTTAGAAAAGGAAGTTAATACCAAATTGAAGATATTGAGACTCATGATGAAGTTTTCATGTCAAATCAATCAAAGAGAAATTAAAAATTATTTACATCTTGTGCTGTTTAATTGTGAATAAAAGTTTATAATATCTCATTAATTAATTTAAAAATAATAAAATAAGATTAGTTGATTTAAGTGTCTTTTTTTGATTAGGAATAGACAAATCAAAAATATTTATACAATATTAAAATGAAATTGTATTGAGTGAAAAAAAATTAATAATTACCGCAAATTCTTTCGCGCTTTTCTTGTTAATAAAATTAATGGATTAAATCAACTGTTAAAACCCAAACCATGATTCACAGAGAATCAAATATATTTGTGTAGATCCAAACTGTTAAGTATAACAAAAGATTGGTATTTTACTTAATGTGACAAAGGTTGTGCTGATTGCTTTTTGGAAGATCATGTTACTCATTAGAGAAAGACACTTGATCAATTTCATGATTAAGTCAAACAATAATTAGATACATTTAATTAGATTGAATTTTAACCTATTACAAATACAATTTAATTAGATTTAGAGAGGTAAATAGAGAGAGAATTAGAAAATTGTCTTTCTTGTATTTAATATAGATTTACAAACATAAAAAGTGATTTAAAAAGTGTAATAGATGGGGAAAATGAAAAATTATAAGAAAGTTACAATGCATTACAATACAATAAAAATTAAGAGTTAGATTCAATGAAAAATGTGAATGATTTACATATAATTAATTAAGAGGAAGTAAATGATTTAGTTAAGTTCTATCAAGAATCCACAAAAATCTAGTAGAATTATTAAAAAGCTTCTGAGATATTATTAGATGAGAAATAAAAAGTAAAGTAAAAAAAATAGAAATATTTATATAAATTACGTACAATTATGTAAGGACTTATGAAAGAGTTCAATGAATTAATGACAACTAAAAACTTGTAATAAGATGACTTTAGTGAATTTGAGACACCTTAAAAATCATCTATGTCTCCTAATAAAATGATAAGTCTTGTAGAAAGTACAAGATCATCAAGAAGATTTTATATGAATTAAACAAAAAAATTATTGTTTGGAAATGCTTCAAGAAAGATTGAATGAATAATTTAGTTATAATTTAAAAGTTTATAATTTAATTACTCTATAAAGTGAGATAAAGGGATAGATATAGATTAAGTATCATTCTTCAATAAACATTTATTATTCAAAAATAAATTTTATTTCATGTTCGATAATAGAAATCAATAATAGCCTACAATGCTTGGAACTTAATTGTAACAATAATAATAAGTCTTTCCTCCCTAATATTAAGGTGTAGATCCATATGCTTAAATAAGTCCTCCAAAAGCTAATCCTTAAGGTTCTTTGGGATTGTAATAATAAGTATAAAGCAGCTACGTTTAATAAACACCTTAATAAGGCACTCAAACTGTTTATGAACACAAAGTTATTACAACAGGTTAAGTTTTATCTCCACAAATTCATTAAAATCCAATAGCATTTTAATAAGCTTCTACAATAAAAAGTAAAGGTTCTTATTGTATTGATTGGTGTGTTTATTTTATTCCAATCCTTTTCTTTGTTGCCATATTGTGTTTTATGAGTATGATAATAGCTCAAAAAGACAGAGATTTTAATTAAGAGCCAATCAACAATGTATTAAGATCATTCAGTCACAATTAAGCATTAACACCAATAGCTGATATAGTAGCTCCACATTTAGCAAGACCATCTAGTATGCATAGTCATTTCTAACACAAATCAGAGATAGAATTATGTCCAGAAGGCTTCACATTAACAACTTTAGGAGAATGGCCAGGAATAAATTCTGGATGCATATGTGATAAATAAATAAAGAAGGAAGGATTTTGTTGGGCTAGAAGTGGATGTGATTCAATTGACAGCTAAAATGCTAAACAATTTTAATCTTGGAATGGAGGAAAAATATGTTAAAAACTTACAATTGGTTGGACAAAATTAAATGGAAATATTTGTTCTGAAGGATATAAGAAATGTGGTAATGTTTGTGTTCCAACAAATGGAGATGCTACTAGGAGTTGTCCACTTTCAGATTTAACTTTATTAAGTACTGATCCAACTACAGATTCAGATCCAACATCATTAAATACTTAAGTTGTTAAGATTGGTAATAAATGGTATAGAAAATCTTATGATGGAAATCCAATTGTGCAATTTTCAATTATTCCTGGAAATGCAGAATTAGGTAAGAATTCTGCTCCATGTTTCAATGATATTACTTCATCAACTTTTGAATCATAATAATCTTATCCATTATTGAGGAAACCAGCAATTGGTTGTGATGAATTTGGTAATTTTTAAAATGAAGTTGTTAAGATTGATACTTAAACAGCAAAAAAGATTCATGAAGAAAATGGAATATTATCAACTCTTCATGGAATCCCAGGATATTTGTCATATGAAGTAGAATCAGATTCATATACATTAGAAGGAATCAGAAGAATAACTGTTAATCCATCTACTGAATGTACTTCACTTACACCCTCTGAAGTTAATTAAATTGTAGAGGACAGTGAAGATATTTATTCATATAGAAAATGGTTTAGTATAGTAATCTTTTGGATTTGTGTGATTGGACTTGTAATATTCGTTTATCTTTATTTAATAAAAAGCAGAGTATTTATAATTATCCATATTTAGAACTTCCAAACTTTGAATGTATCATAAATAAAGTAACCAAAAATACTGATTCTCATTGCTGTTATTGTAGCTATATTGTGCATCATATTTGGATCTCTCTATTTATATAATATGAATGGTGATGTAAGTATTATTATCTAGTTGTTTAGGATGGTTTAAGGAATTTAGATTCAAGATTTAAGTCATAATTGGACAATGAATGTTTCAATGATAAAGGAATTAAGAATGTAATTAATATGTAATATAATTTAGTCTGTTGAATAATTACATAATTTTGCTTATTCATAATATTCTACTATTGGATATTGGGTTACTTGGGCATTTTGGTTGAGCATAGCCTTCTTTATATTAATTATTGTCTTGATTATTATCTAAAGAGGCTCTCATGGCAATTTATGTATTAATCCATGGTAGGCTAATTGGGTTTTTGGATATAATGAATTTTAGTGAAAATTTATATATATATAATAATTTTAATAAGATGGGAGAAAAGAAAGTTGATAGATTTGTATTCAAAATAAGTGACAAGGTTGGTTAAGGATCTTATGGACAAGTATTTGTACTATGTTATTTTAGGTCTTTAAAGGTTAAGATGAAAAAACTAAAGAATGGGTAGCCATTAAGATGGTTTCAAAAGCAATGATTAATGAAGATGAATATTTAAGAGATGGTTTAATGAATGAAATTAAAATAATGAGAGATTTATAGGGTAACAATGTAGTTAGGTTTATTGATGTTCTTGAAACACAGAATAATTACTATATTGTCTAAGAATTTTGTGATGGTGGAGATTTGCAACAGTAGTACTTAAACTAAATTTAGTCAATTGAAAAAGAAGAAGTTTTTACCTCAGAAAGAAGCAATGCAGTTATTCATTGACGTACTATTAGGCATGATTGAATTGGTTAAGAAGGGAATCATTCATAGAGATTTGAAGCCAGCAAATATCCTCATAAACAAGGGGATTTATAAAATAGCGGGTACCATAAGTCAACACTCTTTTTAGATTTCGGATTTTCGAAAGCCATTGATAACTTTAGGAAATAAATGATAGAATCTATTGTTGGTACACCTCTCTATTAATCACTCTAATTGCTGAAAGCAGAAAAATATACATCTAAGAGTGATATTTGGTCTTTAGGCTTTATCTTTTATGAGACTCTGTTTGGCCAGAGTAATTCAGTTTAGTATTATTCTCTTAGCTCCTTGGGTAGCCAGATCAATTCCTGACTTAATAAAAAATATTACTACTGTTCCTTTGAAATTCCCATAGGATAAAAATATTGACCCATAAATTTTAGATATGTTAAGTGGCTGTTTACGTTTGTAAGAATAGGACAGATTGGGTTGGGATCAATTATATAGACATCCTTGTTTTGGATAAAGTTTCTCTTTTTATACAAATCAAGCAAAATAGTTGGAAGACAAAGCAATGTTTTTGGTGTAAGATTTAAGATTTAAAGTTATGAAAGATAAGATTGATTTGGAAAAGGTATTTAACAAATATGACCAATCTGGAGATAACTCACTTGATATGAAAGAGTATTGTGAGTAATTTTATTAGATTAACTTTGTTATTGCATGAGATAGACCCTAAATTGGAGAGAGAAGAGATCGAATTCATATTCAATAAAATAGATTTGGATGGGAGTAACTCTATTGAATTGAATGAGTTTAAAAAATGGTTAGAAGAAAATTAAGTCTAAATGTCCATGAGAATCTAGTCTAAACCAAATATTTAAAGAAAAGCAACTGTAGAAATGCCAAAGGTTTATCCTAATAATTCAGAATAAATTATTCCAGAATTTGATGGTTCATAGAGTTAATAAATGATATCTCCATAATAATAATAATAATAATAATAATAATAATAATAATAATAATAATTTTCAAAATAATATTCAAATTAATAATCTTTATAATAATATCCATAATTATAGTAATAACAATTATCATAATAATAATAATATACACCTTAAATTTAATAATAATATCCATAATAACATTATTCATAATAATTTTAATATCAATATCCTCCTTAATAATAAGGTATGTCTGCCTCTTAATAAAATTATCCAATTTAACCTCAACCACCCTATCCTCAAATGAATAATTCATAATAATACAATTAAGGTTATCAGTAACCTCCGGCATATGTGCCTAATCATTAACCTCCACTACCCCAAACTTTAGCTTAAGAAAGAGCTATGCTGACTATCTAAAAATTGGTTATTGCTATTGAGAAATATAAAATTAACATTTTTGAACTATTTAGAAAGTATGATAAAACTGACTCATAAACATTGGATATGATTGAGTTTGGAGTTATGCTTAGGTATTCAAATTAAAATTAATCTTTTACCATAGGAAAATTGATAGTTAATTAACAGATCAAGATATTAGTCAGGCATTTTGGATTTTTGATGTTGACAGAAGCCAAGAAATCACTTTCAAAGAATTTCAAGATGGAATTCTTTTATACTTAAATCAATGGAGAGCCCAAGTTAATTAATAAAACAATGTTGGTTACCAATATTAAAAATATTGAATTATTAAAAATAGTTTAGCATGTTTAAATTATGTTATAGATTCACAAAAGCCCATTTACCAGTCTTTAAACAATATCCATTACATCCTAAAATATTAGAAATCTTAGATACTAAAGGATTACATACAGCCACACCAGTTCAAGATATGTTGTTTACATGTTAAAATAAAGTAAGATTATTAATTGGACCCACAGGAACAGGTAAGACTTATGCTTATCTATTACCAATTTTGGGGAAGTTGAAACAAGAGGAAGAAGAATAAAATAAAATATTAACTGAGGAGAATAAACCAAGAGCAATTGTGGTTGTATCGACAAAAGAATTAGCAGAATAAGTAGAAGATGTAAGTTAAGAATTTACTAAAGCAATGAAGTTAAGTACATTAGCATTGGGTAAGGGTACTTTTAAGAAGGAATAAACATATTTAAAAGAAGGAGTAGATTTAGTTGTCACTACATTAGATAGATTATAGAGACATAGAAGTGCTTAATCAATTTATCTATCTAGAGTATCACATTATGTGGTTGATGAGATAGACACATTATTAGATTCATCTATGTAAGATGACTTAAAGAAATTGGCTACTTATTTTAAGGATAAAGATATTACAACAACATATTGTGGAGCTACATATAGTACAAAGGTTAAGAATTTTGTAGAGAGTTAATATAAAAATTAAATTACACCTTTAATTGAAAAGTAATCACATATGCATCTTGAAAATCTTTCTCATGATTTTGTACATTGTACTACTCTTGACAAAAGTGAACCCTTTATGGCATTATATAAAGAATGTTAAAATAAATTTAAAGGTTCTATCATTATATTTTGTAATGAAATTTCAAGTTGCCATTTTCTAGAATTCTTTTGTAAGAAGAATGGAATTAAGACTGTTTCATTACATGGTGATTTACCTAAAGGAATGAGATCCTAAAATGTTGCAGAATTTCGAAGTCAATAATGTAAAGTTTTGATTACAACTGATTTGGGAGCTAGAGGTTTAGATTTCCCATTTGTTGATGCTGTAATTAATTTTGATTTCCCTAATTCAACCAGTGATTATCTTCATAGAGCAGGTAGAGCAGGTAGAGCTGGTAAGAAAGGATTCATTTACAGTTTATATCATAATAGTGAATAAAGTGTAATTGATGAATTGAGGAAAGCTAATGAAGGTGAGAGACCAATAAGGATTGAAGAGTCAGCATATAGTAAGACTAATAAAGAAGATTCACCAAAAGGAAAGGTAATCAAATCAAAATCTTAAGAGCAATAATAATCAAAAACTAAATCTTAGAGGCAGCATTATGTCAAAGGATATAAGCCAGCTTAAAAATAAACTAAATAAGAAAGAACTACTTCTAAGAGTTATTTTAAAAAAGTTCATGAAGGAAAAGTGTGATATATAATATTTATATTGTATATATTTAAGTTTAATTGGCAATTTTAAATATAGATTAAAACTCAAAAATTTAAAATATAAAAATCACTTATGCATTTGAATTAAGATCTCTAAGATGTTACTTATCTTAATTGATAACTGCTATAATTATTATTTTAAAATATTAAACGATTAATTTTAAATGTTTAATAACTATAAAGTAAATTTAGAAAGACATTGCGGATTATCTAAATTTCTGAGTGCTCTTAATGAACAATAATATAATGAATTAATCTCAGTTATTTCAGATATTGAAAATCTTCTTAATAATAATATGGAAGAAAAGGAGAAGTTATTAAATGTGGTAAATAATATACAAATTCAAACTTAAAATAGTTTAGAAAATGAATTGCAAAAGTAAATAGAATGTCTAACTTAGAAATGCAGAATTAAATAAATAAATTACACAACAAAAGAATATCATATCTAAATAGATTGAAGAAATTGCTTAACTTAATTAATTTGTAGTTTAAAGAAAAAAAGAGAGAAGAAGTCTTTATTCATCTCCACTATAAACATCGAATAAATTAATTAATTAATAAAATATAATACCTGTAACTCCAGCTGATTATTATCAAAAATTATTTGAAGAAGAATGTAAGAAGGAAGAGTCTATAATGAAATTATGGAAAAAACTATAATAAAAATGTTTAGAAAAATAAAAGTCTCTATTAGAAACAGTAGATTATTATCTTAAAGATTAATGTACTAAATATGAGGACAATTTAAACTTGCAGAATGATATAATCAATAAATTAGAAGATCAACTAAATAAATACAAAGTGGCTCTAAAATTGATATTCTAGTAAAACTACAAAAAACCAATTTCTGAGTTGATAGCTGTTGTGTAATCCTTAAATCAAGAAAACGAGATACAAGAATTTGATTATGAATAATTGATTGAAACTCTTATAGATTTTAGTAATAAGAGAGACTAATTATATTAATTATAACAAAAAGAAACTGAAGTAGTTTTATTAAAAAATCAAGCTACTACTAATGAAGAGTAGACTAAAATGAATGAATAATATTAAAAATTATTAGAAGAATACAAAATTATAGATGATCAAAGAAAAGAATTATTAAATTTGAGTTAATAAATGAATGATAAAATCACACTTTAATCAAATCAAATTAATTCAATGAATGAATAAATTACTTAATTAACTTCTTTATTTGCAAAATCTTTATAAGATTTGGAAACTGTTTAAGAGGAAAATGAATCTTTAAAGAAATGTTAATCAAATTATACAACTAGAACAAGTGAAGTTCATAGTAGATTCTCTGTTGGATTAGATGATAAATTAATTAAATGTTTTAATTCAGTATGTAGTAATTATAATTCACAATCAACAAGAAATAATAAAAGTAAGAATAAGAGCATGCTTAGTTAATTAAGTAAATCTTCTTATGGTGATACTGAAGAATTATGTAATATATTGGATTCAGTTTTAAATAAGGGATTCTCATAGAAATTAATTGAATCTATAACTCAACTAAGTAATTCTGGATTACGTAAAAGGATTAAAGATCTTTTATTTACTATCTATAATAACAATAATGAAATGGATGCTTTTTTTAGTTCCATCAGTAATTTAATTAAAGATGTAGGAATTTCATTTCAGGATTTCGAAATAATTAATGAAGGATATTTAAGTAGTACTTGTAAATTGGAACGAAATACTAAATAATATTGTGAATTGCTTGTTCATTTAATTGATAAAAATAATAAATAGTAATCAACTAAGAATGGGGCACAATAGATTGGACTGTTATCGAAAGTTCTCCTATAATTATGTTAAGGGAATGATGACACAATAATAGATCATATTGATAAACATATTTAAATCTCAAAATAATTAAAAGATAAGAAAAATAAGTAATTTAGAGATCTTTAATTCAGTGCATGTAAGATGATTATGGATATTTTTAAAAAGTGGAAACATAATTATATTCATATTACAACTATTTTATATAGTATCCAAAGAGGTTTACAACAGGATTAAGAAATACATATCCAATCCTATCTTAATGAACTTATCAAGAGTGACCTGGGCAAGAGTATATAAAAAGAATTGAATAAATTATTTTAATTACTTATTTGAAATGCATTAATAGCTTTTATTAGACAATCAAATTCTTCTTAAAATTCCAATAAATGATATTATAAATAACTTCTAGTTGATATTATGTGGAGTAACAATTCTGAGATATCACTTTTATGAAGTGAATTTTGGCATAAATAAAAAAGAATTTAATTTGATATCAGATAGATATCAGAGAAGATCTTTATAATTATTTTAAATAATAAGAATAACAAATTATTTTGATTTTCTATAAATTAGTGTAATTATGAAATACTTAGAAATTATATTTCATTTTTTATTTTCGACACAAAAAACATGGTTTTCTGAATCAGAATAATCAACACTCTTACTATTGCTTTTTTTCTTTTTTTCATTAATTTATTCTTAATCTTAATTATCTTCATTTTTTGATTATTCTTCTTCTTCCTCTTCTTCTTCCTCTACTTCTTCTCCTTGATCTTAATCTCCTTGATCTTACTCTCCTTGATCTACTTCATCTATTTCATCATCTTCTTCTCCTTCATCCATTTCATCTTATAATTTCTATATTTCAGCATTATCATTAACAATACAATCACTCATTTTTAATCCATATTTTACTATAGGTGGTAATTAATTAGGTATTAACCAATCCATATTATCTCCTTTTTCAATTTCTTCAATTTCTTCAGCTCCATTCATTTAATAATTTTATTCTTCAATCAAAGCCTTTTAAGCAGCCTATCTATCATCAATATCTTCAACTTATTTGATAGCTTAATCCATTTTTTCATCATCAAAGAGTTGAAATGATTTTAATATTTATTCTGGACTAAACATACCAGATTACATCACAAAATCATCTAACTATCTTTTCTATAAAGATTTCAAGAAAATATTCTCTTCAATAGTAGAATTAGTAATTAATCTATATATAGTAACAGGTCTAACTTATCCAATTCTATGACATCTATCTTAAGCTTATTTATCCATAGCTGGATTCCAATCAGTATCATAAAAAATGACAGTATCTGCTCCAGTTAAATTTAATCCAATTCCTCCACTTCTTGTTGATGAAATAAAACATGTAATATTTAATTGATTAAAACTTTCAACTATTTTTTATCTCATTTCTACTGGTGTAGATCCATCCAATCTTAAATAGGATATTTTACTTAAAGATAGTACTGCTTCAAATAAATCTAACATTTTAGTCATCTATGTAAAAATAATAATTTTATGATTTTGTGATTTTAATTTATAAATTAAAGATACTAAAGTATTCATTTTACCACAATCATAAATTAACAATTTCTTATTAGGAAATAACATTCTTTATTTTTATATCATATAGAATAAAGAATCTATTCCCTTAGGTATAATATCTTATTATTATGTTTAATAAGGACTATAATAGAGTTATTATGGTAATGCATCAACTTTTCTGATGACACAACTAAATTCATTAAGAGTATCTTGCATTTTATCTAATAAGTAATCAACAGTTGGCATCAAGAAACTTTTAATCTTGTCCTTACAAAAAGTAAGTATTTCAGGATTGTATGTTAATAAAGCATGATAAAATATTATTTTTAAATAGCTATTTTACATATTTGATTTAAATCTAGATTAAACTTATTGATTTTCTAATTCAATCCATCTTTTACCAAATTTAGATGTTTTCTTATTCATAATTCTTTATTCTACTATATTTGAATAATATTATAAAACTTCTTAAGAAGGGAATCTTTGTTTGATAAATGAAATATTTAATTTTATTGGAGATTATTTTAAATTTACTTAAATTCTTTTTGGATATGTAAATTTGAGAGCAGGAAAAAAGAATGGTTATTCTACTGGTCTTTATTCAAATAATTCAGGATGATTACAAACCTTTCTTAATTATTACACTTTATTCATCATAGTAACAAAATCTGTTCCTTAAATTTCAAAGTTTCCAGAAGATTATATGAATTCATCATATAAATATTTCTATCTTCTTGATAAATCACATTTAACAATAATCTCTCTTTTCTCTGGTAATTACTTCTCTACATCCTTTTTCAACCTTCTTAATACAAAAGGTCTTAATATATCATGTAATTATCTTAATACTTCTTCTGAAATAGTTTTATTTTCTGAAATGGCTTTTTCTATACTCATAAACCACTATAAAAAATCTTAATGACTATCAAATATTGAAGGCATTAAAAAATGAAGTAAACTCCATATTTCACCTAAATCATTTTAAAGAGGAGTTCCTGTTAAAAGCAATCTACTTCTTGTATTAAAATTCAATAAGACTTACCATCTTTATGATTTAAAATTTTTAATATGTTAAGCTTCATCTAATATCATATAATACCACTTCTTTCTTTTAAATACTTTACTATCTTATATAACAATCTTATAACTTGTTATACAAACATGAAAACTATTTAATTAACTCCATCCTTATCTTTTTAATTTTCTCTCTTTTGGTGAACCAAAATAAGTCATAATTTTAAAAGCAGGACACCATCTTTTAAATTCAATTTCCCAATTCATCAAAATACTTGTAGGAACAATTACTAAATGAGGACCCCAAATTTATTTATTTGCTGCTAAATAAGCTAATAATGCAATAGTTTAAATTGTCTTTCCTAAACCCATTTCATCTGCTAAAATTCCATTCATCTATTATTAATGTAAACTAGCCATCCAATGAACTCCTACTAATTAATATATTCTTAATTATCCATTTAATAAAAATGGTTGTTATTCCAATAAACCTATATTAATAATATTTTTTTACTATCTTCTGCTTCAAATAAAAATGGAAATTATTTAGATTTTTTAAGTACCTTTAAACATTTATCTGCATCTAATACACTTTCATCTACTACTTCATCTTTAGATTCAACCTTAGCTATTTCATATCTGTTTTATCCTACTTTTATAAGGTCAATCACAATATCTGATTATAATTTACTTAAAAAATACTTGATTAAACTGACTATATTTATTTTTTGAATCCTGGCCATGCATTTTATCTTCTCTTTAATTCAAAATAGAGTGTTTTGAATTTCTCTACAGGTATTAAATTGGTTTCATCTTCTTATTATTCATTTTAATATTATGATAATTTCTATCCAATTTCTTCTGTAACTTCTTTTAATCTAGTAACTATATCTCCTAATTTCTATTTTTGACTCTCTTATTTTATTTTATCATCCTTAAATTATTATACTTGCTTTCTTATTTACCACACGTATTTCCAATATTCTCTTTATACTGTTTTGGCTACTTTTTATAATTATCTAAATTAGTTCTTTTCTTCATTCTTTATAATATTTTCACTTTTACCTTCTCTTTTTCCTTAATTGCCTCATAATATTTTAACCTTTTATTAATTGCTTATTCTGCTAATTTCTTAGTCTTAAATTTGAAACATTCTAGTCTCCTAGTCATATATTATTACATTTCACTCTACTATCACTCAATATAATACCATTTCATTTAGGATATAATTCCATCTATATTGAGTATTAGTTTTAGGCTCCTACTTTTTTTCAGGTAAATTTCCATATTATTCTCTAATCTCTTTCAATTATTCTTCCAATTTGAATTTCTCTTCCAACATCTGGCTTCTTGATAATTTGCCTTATAATTTTTGCGCTTTTTTTATTGACTTACTTTCTGATTCAGACATAAATAATATTAAATTTATTCTAAATTATTTTAAAGTATAAATAACAACTAAAGGAACTATTCAATTACACTAAATTTACCATTATTATCCAACTTACAAATTACAATTTTCAACCCTTAGATTATCCTCATTTTTCATACTCTTTAGAATTTCATTCAATAATTACAATTCTATTCATATTTATAGGTATTGTAACTCCTCTCATTAAGTAAATCTATTGAAATTCTAGCATATTTGTAATTTATATAGAATAATCTAAACTTTCATGTAATATAAATTAAAATTTTATAAAATAAATAGGAAGGGTGTTATACAAAAGGAATATATATATATATACTTATGAATAAAATAATAAAGAAGATAAAATACAAACATATTATATTTTAATATATATATATATATTCATCCTTTATTATTTTTAACCAATTACTTTTTGATCCATACATGTTACTAAGCCTCTTTTAGAGTAAGTCTCTTACTAGGTTAATTTTATAACAACCCTACTATTAGATCTTTTGCATCTTCACTTACACATTGCCAATGATAATCATCCATACTATAAATGCCATCAATAGTATTTTATATGATTTCATATGGTATATCAGAATCAAATGGCAAATATCCACTTAACATATAATACAAAATAACTCCTAGTGCGAATACATCAACAGAAAATGTAATTTCTTAAAACTATAACATTTCAGGTGCTTAGTAATTACATGTTCCACAGTTATAATTTTAATGTTCATTATTTTTTTTAATTTTAGAGAGATGATTAGCCAAACCAAAATCTATCAATTTAATTTATCTAATTTATTTAACAGTATTTTTATCCAAGATCATTAAAATATTCTCAGGTTTTATATCTCTGTGTACTATTCCAATCGAATGAATGTATGACAGAGCATCTAGTAATTAATTAAATATTATTGCTGCTTCACTTTCATCTAAGTATTATTTATTTTAAACATAATCAAATAGATCTCCATCTTCTATCAATTCTGTAATAATATGAATTTGATCTCTATTTTCAATAGAATCAATCAATTTTATTATACAAGAATGATTTAATAATTTTGTAATACTTATTTCATGTTTCACTATATCTTACTCTTCTTAAGAGAGTATCATTTTATTTATTACTTTTAATGCATAAAATTATTTATCCATTTTAGATTAACATCTGTAAACTATAGAGTATTTACCTTCACCTATTTTATCAAGAATAGAATATTTCTTATTAACTTCTCCATTAAAATATAGAGATAATGCTCTTTACCATTCTCTAAATGACATTTCATCTGAACAATGATAAACTTTATGTTTATAATGTTAATTCATATGGAATATTTCAAATCCAAACTTCTAATTACCATGATCAACTCTTTCTTTAATTATCAATCCTCTTAAACAAATAATTTCTAATTATTTAAATAATTCTATATACTTGTTGGTTTAATGTCATTTTTATTTTTAAATTCCATAAAGATATTAGGATATAATTGACAAAACTTAGATTTTATTTTGTTCTTCTTTGACATTCTATATAATTCTCCTTGAATATCTAATGGTCTATATTTACTTAAATTTCTTACAAATTCTTATATTTTGGTAAATTATTCTACAATCCCCAAACATCAAAATTGAATACAGAATACAAAGGCATTATTAAATTTGGATGATGTTTGACAAAGATTGTAAAATCATCTAAATTTATTGGTAAATCATTCTTAGCCTTATAAACCATTTCCACATATTTTTTAATTAATAAATTCAGATTAGCTTGCATTTCTATTTTCTATCCATTTACCTATAGATTTATTCCATATTTATACTTAAAATGAAAGATTTATACCAAATCCTTTCATTGGTATACCATTAAGTTATGCTTTACTATCTAATGTAAAAATTTAATCAATTGATTATTTAGAATTTAGACTTTGTAAGCCATCTGGTTATTATTAGAGATTTTAATGATCATTTTAATTCTATTCTCTATTTTCTGAAAGATTACTATATTTTCTTAACATTTATACTATAATAAAATGAATAAACAATTTTACATGACATTTTAAGAAAATCTTCACTTCCTTTTCTAGGTTTGACTCTTTTTGTACGATGATATGCATTTAAGATTTCTTATTCTTCTAAAAATAATTAATCATTTAATATAATTTTAAGTTCTTCTTTAGAATAATTATGTAACTAATATTATAAAATAAATATATATTACCATTTGTAAAAAATCAGTTTTTGCAATACCATTTTGATTTTACAAATCATATAATTTAAATAAATTTTTAATTTATTAATCTTCTGAACATTTTATATACAATTACAATCCTGTAAGAAATTCTTCAAAACTCATGTAATGTTCTTATTTGTGAGTAAATTTATTGAATATTTATTCACCCCAAATTCCCTAAATTAATTATCACTATTCTACAAACTATAATTTAAAAATAAGTATTGAATGTGTCTCTACAAATTAAATGATTTTAAGAACGCTCTGCCAAATCTTTATAAATCATCAACAACATGTGTAATTCATAATTATCAACTTTATAGAATAATAAAATTACAAATATTAATAAATTGTCTAATTACTAATAGATATTGAACATTTTTCTTTTTTTCCTTCTTTTAAACATGACATGTAATAGTATTTCCCATAAATTTATTAAATAAATAAATTATTCCCATATTTTAATTTTTTTGATTTATTTGACAATTAATAATAAGTCATCAAACTATTTATGACTAAGTTGCCTGGGATTTCTTCCTTTAATGAGCCTAAATCCCAACAAAACTTAGAAATATTAAACGATTTGAGTTGTTTAATTAATTCATATCAATTATTAATTAATTCCTGGAACTCAAAAACAATTTTTATACTAAACATAATGTTCTTAAATATACTAATCCATATTATTTTAAACATAATGATTCATAATAACATCTTAATTTTTTAATTCAAGATGTGTAATTCAATGTTTAATAAATTTTATGGCATAATTAGCATAAGAGGCTGAAGTCAGCTAATAAATTCAAAAAGTCCTTAAACAATCTGTATCAAAGAGGGAAAAGAAGTCACTAATCAAATCTATAAAAAAGAGCTCTATTGCCTAAACAGGCAAAGCTTCCTCATTTCAAACCATCATCTCTGTATCAAATTCAATGGTCGGCACAAGTACTTTAGTATTTCCAGTGTTATTTTGTCAATCTGGAATAGGATTGGGTATTATAATAGCCATAATAATTGGATTGATTTCATGTAGAACGACTCAATTATTGATTGTACATAATAAATCAGAAGAGGTATACTCAATTCATATAATAATAGATGGATTTACCAGATACTTTACAAAGAGTTCTGGGTACAAAGTGGAAGACCATTTTTAACATTAGTAATGTAATTCTACTATGGGCAAGTGGTATTATCTATATGATCTTGATATGCAATCAACTTTATCCCTTAATTTAAATAATATGTGATAATATTGGCATAGAAAGTGCCCCACTAACAGATATAACTCTATCTAAACTTTCATATTAATGGATTGGAATAGGTTACACTCTATTTATTTTGCCTATGTTTTTCTAAAAGAAACTAGGAATCATTTTGCAACTCTTACCATATGGAATTATTTCAGTTTTTTCATTCATAATATTCACTATATATGAAGGAATTTATATGTTAGTAACTGATCATTAAGGAGTGGTTGATAATTTGAAATGGTTTAGTTGGGATGTATCTACTATGGCTGGTACATTTGCATTGGCATTATTAATATAATCTATGGTTGTACCTATAATGAAGAATAATATGATTTAATAAAATAACAATAGAGATATTGCTATTGGATTTGCATGGACATGGTTTGTGTATTGTATGGCTGGAACATTTGGAGCTTTTGCAGTAGCTGGAGCATTAGCAAATAATTAAAAATAAGATGGAAAAAGTGGATCAACTCTTTTAGATTATTATCCATCAGATAATCCATTAGTAATAGTTATATAGGTTTTACTATTTCTATAATTGACTCTTGTGTTTCCAGTATTATAATTTATAACAAGATCATAATTTTTTGGTTTAATTTATGAATTAGAAAGACAACCTAAATGGTAATTCTATGCTTTTTCATTGACTTATGCAATAACATGTTTAATAGTTCAATGTGTTGAAGTTGATTTATCATTAATTATTAGTTTATGTGGGTAATAATATTTAATTTATTTATTTTTACAGAGCTGTTATTGGATTATTCCAAGAATATATCATACCTATTGCATTACATTTGAGTTGTTTGTATGCAAAAAAAGATTCCAAGACAAAGAATTAACCAAATTATAATCAAGTTTAAGCTAGTATGGAGTCAACAGAATATTTAGTGGATTAAGTTGATTTTACTAAATTTTCATTAAACGATGAAGTTTATTATATGTTTAAATATTTTATAGGAAGATTTAAAGTGCAATGATCATTCAGAACTTCTAAAACGTATGCCTAAGAATTTTAGAATATCATTATATTCATTTATTTTAGTTATTGGAATTGCTATTGGAATTGGCAAATTGATTGATATATTTAAATGATGTTTATGTATATATTTATTTCATTATAATTATGATCTCAAAATATAAAAATTATTCATAAATTCATAAAATCTATAGTAGAGTTAACGTTTGATTTCTTAATATTAATGTGCTAAAATTCAAATTTTATAATTAATTGTAACAAGTATTATTAATTAAAATAAGTTTAATGAAAGTAAATATTTATTTATTTATATTTGGTTACGTAATTAGCCAAGTATCAAGTGATAATACTTTTGCTTTTCACAATACTGAATAAGCTTATCAATTTCTAATTGAAAATTAGGATTAGTTAATACTTGGTTAATGGATAGCAAATTCAGAACACTTAGTTTACTTAAACATAGTTTTTGATAACCAAAACTTATTATTATAAGTCTATCCTAGATAAAATAACGATTACAAAGAGACCCACTATTTCAGATTGAGTTATCTATTAAATAAAAGCTCATATTACTTTGATTCAGTCAAAAAGTATCTGTTGATTATTACCTTTTAGTCGAATGACATGGAACAATGTCTTAACTGAAGTTACTCTATAAAATAATAAAGAGCACAATCCTTTTTAATGTTAAGCAAAACTTTAATTAGAAATAAAAAAATCCTAAAATTCCAAAAATCTTAATATTTATAATGAATTTGAAGATGATTGTTAAATGAATGAAGAAAGATTATAACTATTAATGTTTAACAATTCAAAATATTCATTAGATGTTTAATCCTATACTGCTCTTATCATATTCATTTCACTCTTTCAAATTATTAATTCACATTACTATTTAAATTCTAATTGTATGCCAAATAAAGGTGGTTCCCTTACAATATCCATAATATTGACTTAAGACATTTATATTTGCATATTTAGCTCATTACTATTTGATACACCAAGATTTTATTATTTCATTCCTTGTTTGGTTTGTCAATTGATTACTATATTATCTGATCTTAAATTGAAAGCTAAATTATCAGTAATTATATTATAATAATTTATAGGAAAAAGAGAAGTACAGTAAGAAAGACATACTCTTATTTTTTGTTGAAATGTCATCCATTTCATTCTTATTCCTTTAAATAAAATAATGGTATGGAATTACCCTTCTAAATTTATTTTTATTACCTTAAATAATATTCACATTTTTTACTGGAAACCGATAGAAATTTAACTATAACTACATTGGAACCATTTTCCCTAGAGTAATACTTTCCATATATTTTACAGGCTATTCAAATAACATTTTATAATTAAAATATAATTTAATTGTTGTTGGGATAGTCTTACTTATATCTATAATCTAATCTGTATTATACTTTATTTAATGTCAATATGGATTATTTATACTTAAGAATATGAAATTTAATTACCTCATCAAATCAACAGATGATCATTCCCAATTAGATTGTTCAATATGTCTTGATAATTTAAAAAACACTTCTGAATCATACAAAATAAATTGTGAAGAACCTGTACTTATTTAGACTTTAAATGTTGCCATTTAAAAATAATTATTAATGAATACACCATGTGTAAGACTTTATTATAATTCTTAGAATCATTTATTTCATCCCTCATGTTTGATATAATGGATGTAAATAAATCTTACTTGTCCATTGTGTAAGAGTTCACTTCCATAAATATGTTGATGGAAATATTGAGCTTAATTTGTATATATGTGATTAAAAACAGATGAGATTTCTAATGTCGTAATGTAATTAACATATTATCAAATATATTCTTAAATTCTTAACTCTTTTTTTTTTAATAATTAAATATTATTATATAACCTAGATTTGCATAGAATTATTTATTATAATTCTAATACATTTCAAATAACTTCTATATAATATATATGAATAAATAAAAATCAATTGTAAAATTCAATATACATTATCGTCATTAAAATCTTTCCCCTTCAGAATCTTTTATTTTATCTATATTTTTAATAAATCAGCCTACTTTTCCTTATAAATCTATCTTGCAAAGTAATATTCAGGAGAATAGCCTCTACAATAATTGTATTCTGTTTTATAGTAAACATAATTTTTCTAAAGCTTCTTTTAATTTTTTTAATGAGTTGTAAAGTCATCATGAGAACAACCTTCTTTATGAATAATGCCTTTCTTTGGATCAGGATCCTTTTCACATTTACAATCTTTCAATTGTTATTGGAAAGCTTAGCCATATTAATCTAAACTTTATGGAAATTCAGTTTTAAGTTTGTCAATAGCAAATTGTTTTTTTTTATCTTTATAATGTTTCTGTCTAGCATATTCTTCTCTATTAACTTCTTTTGCCATTGTAATTAATTCGAAATTTAAATAGATATAAATCTGTAATATTTTAATAGATATATATCTGAAAATATCTAGAATTTCAATACTTTATTCCATCAGTAATCATCATCAAGAATCAATTGAATAATTTTATTTACCAATATAATCAAATAAATAAAATTATTTATTTGATTCTCCTATTTAATTTCATTAAACAAGGATCAAAAAGGTTGAAAAAAAATAAAACCAAACTATTAATTCTAAAAGAGAATTAAATATATGTAGTATATATATATAATTTTCGATATGAATTATAATAATAGTATATTACAAGAAGATAATATTATTTTTAATAAAATCAAAATTTAATCTCAATACATATCTTCTTCTTTCAAAAGTTGATTATTCTTAGAATTATTTTCTCTATTTTGTATGTTAGACTTTTTTTCTCGTTTATTTATTATACATTTTTTATATTCTTAGTGTAATTTATTATACAATGTAGCATATTTTTTATTGAAAGCAACTCTTTCTTATTAATTCATTGAGCTTTTCTTTTCTATCTAATCAAGGAAATCTTTTTCATTAACTATTTTAGAAATCAATTTTTCTTATAATAATAATTTAAAAGCAATTATTCTTTTATTTATCATGTATTTTTCCTTTCTATTAAATATTGATCTGTTCTATTCCTTATTCATCATTTTTTATTAAATAATTTATAAGAAATAGAAAATTTTTCTAGAATTTAAAACAACTTTTAATTTCTTTATTAAAATGATAATATATAAGAAATAATTAGACTTAAAATTAAATAAATTATTATAATAAGTACCATAAAACAATTAATATTTTATTTGGTGTAGAGAAAAGCATTAAATATATATTCATAATTATTAAAATATACAATTTTCATTGTTATTCAAATTATTATGGAAGACAGGATTTATGTTCCAAGATAGTCAGTAAGTGTTTTAAAGGTAAATTAAGATGGCTTTTTTTCTTACATTATCTATCTCGAAGACCATTTTATATTATTGGATTGTAAATGATTTAAACTCCTTCTTGAAATGCTTCCTAGGCCAAAATTTTTTCACTTAATTATATTATTTTCTTAAAAAAATTTGAAGGACTTTTCTAGAAGGTATTGTTACAGCTTTTATAAGGTATTTTTTATTATTTCATTGAACACTTTGATTTTTTAAAAGTTATTTTAATAAATCCAATATAATTCGTATCCTAATTTGTTATGACTGAATATTTTAATAATTTGTTCGAATTTAAAGATTTGCTTAATTTATAGTATTAATTATTTTTTAAGTATTTTTATATTAATTTATTATGAATTAGAGGCTATTTCACTATTTAATCTTAGACATAATGTTTATAAGATTAAGCATTCTTTGAAATTGAGGGATTAATTTAAAATAGTTTAATTACATTAGATTAAAAATAAGATAAACAATTAAAAAGATGGAATAATTCTAATAATAGTATTAATAATATAGAAGATAATGAATAAATATTATAGGTTTGTACAATATATGCTATGAAAAATGAACTATGTAATGTTTATGAATTAATTAATTTAAGAATTAGAATGCCGCCATTCAACAGCAATTCCAATTATTTATAGTTTGCTTTCGAGTTGTTTCTTTGCCTTGACTGCTCTGACTATAAAATTAGTGCCAAATGTGGCTCCAACTTAAGTGTTGTATGTTAGATCATTGTTTACAATAATGATGTTAAAATTGATTGCTAAGGATAAAATTGATAGTTATCCATAGAAATGGATAAATAAATTATAATGGAGAGGATTATGTGGTGGTTTGGGAACAGTAGGTTGGTTTTGGGCAGTTCGTTTGATTTAGTCCTCTGAAGTAATTGTGTTATCAAAGATTTCACCTTTATGGACAGCTTTAATAGCTGCCTATATTACAAAGACTGATAAACTAACATTAAAACTTTTAATAATAATTTTATTTTGTATCATTGGTGTAATTTTGATAGCAAGACCTCCGTTTTTATTAATGGCTCTAGGTTAAGATGTGAATTAAAATACAGAATATGATATTCATATGTTAGGAGTGATTTTAGCATTATCATCTTCAATTACATAATCAATAGTTTAAGTGATTATATCTCATTTAGCTAAATCTGTTCATTAGATTGCAATTCTATAATACTTTTCCTTTTATACAATAATATTACCAATGCTTTTTGAATTGTATAATTAATCATAATTAATATTTCCTTCTTATTAAGAATGGGTATTTTTATTATTGAATAGTGTATCAGGAGGTTTAGCTTAATTTTTTATGAATAGATGTTTTATATTAGGTAAATTGAATAAGATGTCACTTGTTGGATAGTCATAAGTATTGTTTAGCTATTTTTTTGACATTGTGGTTTTGAATGAAAGTATTAATAGTTTAAGCATAATTGGGAGCATTTTAGTATGTGGATGTTTGATTAGTGTGATTTTATGATTGTTAATTAATGAAATAAGTTATTTTAGCAATTCTATTTTTTGGATTGTGTGTTCATGCATAGACAGAGAGACATACATTATAAGGAGCATTGAGTTTACTTGAAAAAGCATAAAATGATATGTCTGTTTATGATTAACAAGACCCAAGATTATATACTTGGTTTTGTTTATTAAAAGATAGTGTTGCAAGACTATTCTAACCAATTACAGAGAATAAATTAGCTAATCAATATGCAATATTTGGATCAGTACCAGGTGTTATCTTAATGGCTGGATTAATGCCTATGATACTATTAGTCGTTTTTAGTTATGGGATGTTTAAATACATAACATATGAACCAAAGAAAATGGAATTCAAATATGCCAAATTGCCTATTAAAGAAATTCAAAAGACTTAGAATAATCAACTCTAATATCCAGCTTTTTGCATATTTGGTTTTATATGAATGTCTATTCAATATTCTAAATATATATATAAAATGTTTTCATATGGCTTTTCTACATAATGGACATGTTGAATTTACATTCATCCAACTCTAACAATTAAATATAAAACTAATTTACCATAATGCATGATTCATGGAAATGATGGAACTTGCTGCAAGTTAATGTTAATATACTTTCTCCTAATTCATATGCACATCTACAAATTGAACATTCAGGATCACCTTCTACACAATTAGGTTTGTAACTCTAAATGTTCAATCTTTCCATTGCTTCTATTCTTTACTGTCTCTTAGTGCAACTAAAAAAATCAATTTACTAATTCTTACTGTGAAACACAATAATATATCAGAAACAATATCAGAAATGGTGAAAATAATATACAAAATATGGCTATAATGTACAAGTCTATATATGAATAAATTGAGAGTATTAGAATTGTGCATAGGAAATAGTATTGATAATATTCACATCCTATTCTAGTTGTTTCTTAAGATAGAAATATATTTAATCCATATATAAAGAGTAATTAGTTTATTATACCCAAGATACGATTATACCACTTACCACATAATACTGATTTTTAAACTTCATATTTAATTTATCTTGTTAGTATGCTTATTTGTTTTGAATCCTCAATAAAATGTGCCTAGAATTATTCTTCTTAATCTCTTATTTAACCTAATTTTAATGCTAAATTATGTCTATTTTCTTCTACATTCATATAAACTATTTAATTGAAATACAATAAAGTATTTAAAAATGAATGAACTACTATCCAAACTATCCATTAATGTAATGGGTTTTAATAGTAGAATTCAGAAAATGAATTGTAATCACATAATTATGTAGGTAATACTAAGTATATTCCAAAGGTTATTTTTGTAAAACAATACAGTAATTAAAGAGAATTGCTGACATTAAAATGATTAGCAGATTTTCTATACAATTAAGTTTCTTGCATTTGTATTTATTTAATTAATAAAATAATATAAAAATTTAACTCATCCTATTATTTTTCTTTAATCTGAAGGATCAATTGTTTCTAAATTTTTGCTTATTTTCACTTCCTCATTTAATTAAATCTCATCTCCAGTTTTAGATAGATTATCTAACAATACTAATTTACTTAAAACTTCAAAAGTGTCTTATCTAAATTTAGGTTAATCAGCCACTGGATTTCTATATACATTTAATTAAGAAAGATGATTAAGCAATGCTAATTATTTAATATCTTCAATAGAATCAAATTAATTATCCATAATTGATAATGCAATCAAATTTGGATAAATATTTAATTTAGATAATTCCTTTCCACTTAATTAATTGTGATCCAAACAAACTCTGATTATTGATTTAGAATCAGGTAAATTAGATAAACTTTTTAATTTACATTTATTTAATTAAAGAGACAATAGACTAAACTTTTCTAATTCAGCTTTTATAGAATCTGGAATACAATCCATTTCAGCATCTTCTATAATTATTTCTTCAGTTGAATCCTTAGCTAAACTTCTAAGAAATTTTAATAATTATCTTTCAGTTTCTTCAAACATATATATTTATTACATTTTCATACATTCAATTTAACTTTTATGTTTTTAAAATCATGCTAAAAATAATCTTCTTTAAATTATAATTATATTATTTTGTAATAATATATCTTTTCAAAATCTATGATATTGGGGTGGTAAGTAATGTGGAGGTGGATATTGATGCATAGATGGATGTACAGGATATGGATACATAGATTATTAATTTGGAGGTGGACTTCTTTAAACTCTAACATCTTAAACAGGTGATTTTCTATGATCTAAAGATTCAAATTAAGTTTTCTTCTCTTATATTGTAACACGTAATGGTTCCTTGATTCTACTTCCCTATAAAGAATTAATCTTAGTGCTTTCAGTAACATTAGTAGTTGGTAATTAATGAATCCCAATAAAATCAGGTATTGAAGAATGTTGAACTCTTATTATTGAACTCAAAAATACACTCAATTCAGAACTTTGATTAAATATAATAAAACATACGCTCTATGTTAATCTATTTAGACTTCACTACTAACAGTTGGAAATGCATTTATATACTCTCCTATCTTCTTATAATAAACATGATTGTCTTCTTAAAATGTTGTTGTGAAATAAGGAATTAGAGCTGTTAAACAATCAGAACTCTAAAATGTATTTAACATCTCTTTCATTGATCTCCATCTCTCTTCTATCATTGATAATAAATGTTTAGCATCTCTCTCTTAATTATTCACATTCTTTTTCTATTTATGTTCAACTTCATTCTCTAAACCATTAAAAAATTATTCAACAACATCCTATATACGTTTCTTAATCTCTCTAATCTTTTTTATTGTTTTATCTGCATGAACTTCAAAAGTATTCACATGTTTTTTGATATCATAATAAGAATTTGTGAACTTCTTCACTAAAATAATATAAAATCTTAAACAATTACATTCATTATTAACATGATCACTTGCTTAATTTAATAAGACCTCTAATGATTCAAATACTGGATATGTGCCTTCATTGACATGCTCTTTAGAATGAAGATGTATGCAAAGAGGACATAAAGGTATTATACATTATGGTGCTCGACACATGTTAGATATATAATAACCTTTATGATAGTAACATTCCACTTAAGGAAGATTATTGGAATCAAAGAAGACTGTTCTTGCTAAATTATCTGATAATCTATCAGGTTGTTGATAGGAATCTTGTTTCCCTTCATTATATTCATCATCTGTACGTTCTACTATATTATCCATAAAAATAGTTGTTAAAATTAACGAATAAAAGCAAATTAAAATAACTAAAAAACAAATCACAACTCATCTTTTCTAAAAGTAGAATGCATTTTCTTGAATGTTCTTCCTCCTCCAAGTACATCATCAATAAATCCTATAATTTCATTTGTTTCTATTGAATTCTAAACAGTATAAGTTTATCGCTTAGGTTTTATAATTACAGCATATGATTCACTTTAATTTACTTCAAATTTAGATTTCAATTACCTTAAATAATAATTTAAAATACTTTAAAAATCCATAATAAAATGAAATGCTATCATTTTTATATTTATTTGGAATTTTAGATATCAATTCTAATTCTAATTCATCTTTTATTAATAATATGAAACATAAATCTTTCCCTTTTATTATACATTATTCATAATTCTATCCATTTAATTTTTATATTCCTTTTTATTAGGATTCCTTCTTTTATCCATATGCAAACTATCTTAAGAATTTAACAATCTCATCTTTTCTGAAATCTTATTCAAAGACTTTAAAATCTTAATCATTTTAAGCAACAATCAAACTAGGAAATTCTGTAATCTTAAAAATAGATGCTAATTGTCTTTCAGATTATCTAATCATAGCAAATTCTAATTTGCCTTTGAATTCTTTTGAAAGAGCTTTGAATAAAGGTGGAGTTGATTTTTTATTTGTAAATAGAATAACTTTAGGTTTTGATTTCTCTATATATTCTTAAAAATTGAATCCACTTAAAATAATTACAAAATCTTCCATCAAATCAACAGCTTCTTTTACTAAATCATTTACTTCCCACTTTCCTTTATACTTAATAGGCTCAGCAGATAGACGAGATGCATAAATAGAAATAGATGGATATCTTTTGACTTAAAATTCATCTTCACATAATGCTTCATCATCTTCACAATCAATTGCTGCAACTCTAAATATACCTTCATATTTTTCAGCTAATTCAGTTACAACTTTTTTATGTTTCTATCCTTCACCATTTGGTAAATAGAAATAAATTACCCAAACTTCTTCTCTTCTATAAAATCTAGAGAGATTACTCATATCAAGAGTATAAACATCTGTATTTTCAAAAATATTATTTTTTTTTGCATGACCATCTTCCTAGAAATCTTAATTACGAAATCCACTACCACCTTGATTTCCTCCAAAATTAAAATGAAATTGTTATCTACCACCACCACCACTGCCTCCTCTAAAGAATTATGAAAACATTTCTTCAAAACCACCTTAAAAATTATGAAATCCTCCTCCACCACCACCTTATTATTATTATTATTGTTCATGTTTATTTACACCTTCTTCACCATATTAATCATAAATCTTTTTTTTCTCTGGGTCTTTTAATGTTTCATAAGCATTTACTATTTTTTAAAATTATTTCTGAGCCTACACAATAATATTAAGTATAATTAATTTACCTTCTCTTCATTACCTTTATTTTTATCTGGATGGTATTTCAGAGATTATTTCTTAAAAGCCTTCTTGATTTCAGCTTCACTAGCTCCCCTCTTCAATCCTAATAATTAATAATAATCTTCTCCAGCCATGACAAGCAATAAGAAAATTGCTAGTAACACGAATTTCATTAATTTTATTCTAGATTTTTATTTAAATAACAGACAGAATTTAAAATGTCTACATCACCCACAGGTGTTCAACGTTATGACAATTCTCCATATGTCACTAAAAAATAATAACCACAATATCCAATTCCTTAACAATACCAATAATCAACTTAACAACTCAATCAACCAGATTATTATGATGATAGATATCATGAATTTGAAGAAAGGGAAGAACAATACAATTATCAAATCTAAAAAATGAATGATCATATACAAGTATATAAACCTAATCATTATAGCAATTATAACATGATTTGGATGTATCTGAACATGCCAAACAAGGATTTGAATCAGATTATTAAAGAGTAGCTCATGAATTATAGCTTTATAAGGATCAATTAAAGAAATTATATACTATTTATCAACAATAGACTGTTTAATTTGAAACTATTAAAAAGAAAACTTAAGAATCAAATCTAAATGTAGAAAAAACATTTGAAAAGTAAATTGAAATAAAAAATGATGTTTAAAATCTAATATTAGACAGAGATCTTTTATTAAATAAATTAGAATTAGGTGATAAACAATATAATTTTGATGTACAAAGTTTGACTCAATAACTTAATGATAAAAATGCTGAGATTTAAGATTAAAGAAAAAGAATTAATGAATTAACTGAATCAAAAAGAAAAGCTGATGAAGAAATAGCATCCTTAAGATTTACATTAGATCATCAGACAGCTAGATTAGAAGCTGAATTAAGAGAAAAAGTACTGAAATTAGAAGCATTAGATAAACAATTTGCAGAAGCACTATATCTCAAAGATAATGAATTAGTAGATGCATTTGATAAGATTAGAATACTTGAACATGAAGTTAGACGTATTTTAGATTTGAATAGAAGTTATGCCTAAGAATTGAGTATGTTAGCAAGAGACAATAGATTTAAATAAGAAGAAATTACTAAAGTTAGAGAAGATGCTGTAAATTTATCATATAATTAATAGAAACCTGCAATGCCCTAGTAAATCAGTGTTTAATCAGGTGGTATGGAACCTAGGATGCCACCAGCTTGGGCTGAGAAATTTCATATAAAAATAGATGCATGTTTAGATTTATTTGAAAGAAATCATGCTAAATCTTTAAAATAATTATGTTTAAATCTTTGGAAAACCAAAATGGAATTAAAAGCAAGAAACAAATAGAATAAAACAATGGTTGAAGAAAATTCAAATCTTGGTAAAAGTGTAGTTTTAGGTGGAGGATCTGATATGAGAGTAACTACATATTTTATAGATTCATTTGTGGCTGCTATTACTTTTGCAAGAGATGCTATATCAAATGTAGTTTTTGATGTCTTTGTTAAAAGTGTTAATAAAGCAAATAATAAAAAACTCAATTCTTTTGTACTATTCTTTGAATCTCTTAAAGAAATGTAACAAAAGTCTAGTAAAGGATTATGGTTAGCTTTAGAAACTTATGCTAAATTGAGAAAAGCTTTACGTCATTCTGTACCAATCCTTATAGATGCAAAAGTTTAGAATGGGTTACTCTAAAAAGTAGAATTAGCTATGGGTAAATTATTAAAGCATGACATGGATTTCAGAAATAATATTAATAAATGGTTAGAAGGTACTTTAGCCTTTACTGTTTAAAAGAAGGAGGCAGAAGCTTATGATAAAAATAGAGATTATCTGTTCTTATTTAGATTACTAACAGTTAAATATAGAATCAAATTTCCATTATAAGGAAAGACATTTGAAGTAGATGTAGACATTGAAACCACATTAGAACACAAAATTTGTTATGCTTTAAGAAAAGTGGTTAAATAATAATGATTATTAAATTTAATATACACTTACTATTATGTAGATTTTATATTTGAAAATAGAAGATTTAAATATCTTAAAATTAATTATATATTTCTTTAATTATAAATCTAAGAGTTTAATATATCATAATATTTTTAAGTAAATACTTATTATAAATAAATTTTTTTTAGTTTAAAAATTAGTAATATTATATTGATATTATATATGAAAATAAAGATATTTTTAATAATTAGATAAATACATATTTTTTCATTTATTGATACTTAAATAGTGACCAGATTTATTTTTATAGAATAGTAAATATGGTGTCTCTTCATCACTATAATTTATAATTGTGTTAATTTTACATCAATTAAGAATTTAAATCTTAACTTGTAAGTTCATATTTATTTATTTGAGCATCATCAAAACAAATCCAAGTTTCTGGTTTAGTCATAGATCTTGCATAACAAGAATAGTGACCTGAGTAACTATTCTTTCCTAGATGTACAATAAATGCATATAAAATATATTAACTATCTTAAGCATCAAGATGTTATTATTAAAATACTTCTCTCATATCAATTAAAAATTTGAGAGGTACTTTGGCAAGGATCTTAGTCATTTATTAAGATTAAGCATCATATTAAAATCTATATAATAGAGGATATAAAAATATACCTTTATATTGTCATAAATAAAACAGGAGGTAAATCATTTAATTATAGTGATTTTTTGATATCATTAGATTTTCGTTAACATTTTTCACAAGTAAATTCTATTTTTTCTTCTTCATATACTTATGCTATCATATTTTTTAATTCAGTATGTTTATTTAAATGTAAATCAATTCCCAAAAACTTTTCAATTTGACCAAATGAAACATCACAATTAGGACATTCAATAACAGATCTATGTGTACCAAAGAATATTCTTTCCAATATTTCTTATTATTCTTTTGGTATGTATTTAAGTAGATCTTCTAAAAAATGATGAGCAAATTCTCCAACATCTTATTAATCATTTGAATTGCAATATGGAGGTCTAAGTAATCTCTTTAATTCATATGGTGAACAAAATCCAGATTATTAAAAATTTAATAACATAAATAATTTTCTTAATGCATTATATTATTTAGCTTCAGGTATTGAATTTATCAAAATGAATTAACGAAATCTATCAGTCATATAAAGTGCTTATAATATACTATTCATAAAACAAGTATTAGTAAGATTTTCTAAACCTACATAATTGTCAATAGTAGGTCTATCATATAAAGAGTCATCAAAATTTTAATTTTTTAAAGTTAAACAATCCCATACATGATGATCTATTTGATTGTATTAATCAATACATCTTTCTCTAGCAATATTGAGTAATTTAGAAAATTAATCATGATGAAATAATTTATTTTAATACTTTTTGTGAATTGTATTCATAAATCCATATATTTTATCGAAAATAGATCTTTCATTCCATTTCAAATCAATAACTAATTTTAATCTATCACACATTGTCACAATATCATTATCACTTAATAATTCTTGACTTCTTGACATTCCTATCATGTAAATTTATAAAATATCAAGGATCTTAGTGTTTTAATGCAATTAAGGCAATAATAATGGTAAAATGACTTAAACATATATTTCACTTAAAATTAGATAACAAGTTTAATTACTTTTATACTTCATCTATTCTTCTAAGATATCTGTAATTTCTTATAAGATAGCTAGATTTTCACTTAAAATACTATATTTTATAAGACCTTTAAATATTCTCACACATTTATCAGGATTATCAAAATAATTAATTAAAAAGTAATTTCTATGTTAGTTAATTATATGACCTAACTTGTTACTTCCTATTTTCTTGTATAGGATATATAAATTTATTCCTTATTATTCAATAGCTTAATCAAATAAAGTTGATATAAGCATTAACCAATCATGATCACTATTCTAATTACTATTATCTTTGCATTACTATATTAATGAATCAGCTAGTCTTTACAATAATTCTTCATCCTTATAATCTTTATATGCCTTTAAAATTAATTACAATAATTCTGGATTATAAGTCATGTCTCTAGGACATAATTTACTTACTAAATCGATTACTATTTCTTTATTTAAATGTAAGTGTTCTTCAATAGTCCCTTATTATCTAAACTTTCTGATTAATCTCTCTGTCACATATCCTAATTATTTTAGTAAAGGTCTATGTGATTCAACACGACAATTTCGTACAACATACTTTGCATAAAGTCCAACCATTTCTAAGTTATCCAAAGATTCTGTAATTCTCTTAAAAACCCCCTCATTATAATCCATGCTATATGAAGCTTTGTCTGGAAGAAGACCGCCAAAATTTCTATCCAATGCTTTATCCAATATATTGTATGCATGTTGTGTTTCTGCATGAATACTCTTATACAAGTTCTCCAATTCAATAGGAGGTAATCTCCTATCTTGGGACCTTATTAAACTCAATTTTTCTTGAAGACTTTTTGCTTAAATAAAATTCTGATCCATATATAATGATTATTATTAACATACATAAATAGAATAATAACGTGTAATTTGTCATAATGTAATTATATTTGTTTAAAAAAATGATAAATATATCATGTAAACAAAATCTAATTCAGAATAATCCACTTTAAATAAACATAGATATCGCTAAATTTCTGAACTCTTGCTAAATCATATTAGTATTTATACTTTATATATATATCTAGAACTCAATCATAAAAATATCTTAAAGCAAAATTCAAACTTTAGAATATTACTAAATAAGAGAACTCAGAATAGTTTACAAAACTTAAAGAAAGATTTTGAAGCTAAATAGTTGACTCTCTAATATTTTTCAAGTTTTCAATTAATTTCAGATATATTAACATCTAAAATCAATGTAGAATGTTTAGCAGATATTCAAAAATTATGTAATTATCTTTCAAATTGATTTTAACATTGTATGTTTTATTTTTTATATACAAATTGTAAAAACTTACTCTATCAAATCAATTTTTTTTTCTTATATAAAATTTAAAATAAATTATTACTTGAATTTTTAACAACATTTTATTTTTTAATCGATTATCAAGGTGAATGTAAATAATTAAATAACATATTAAATGTATATAATATTTTATGAGTATGTTTAGACTCAGATACTATTGATGGATGGAGTGATAAATAGTTTAAAATAGTGAAATAAATATCCAAATTGTTATTATCTATTAAGATTACTTTTCATAGTTGATATTCTCTCATATCCTTAACAAAAATAAGTTGTAAAATTAATAAAGAAGATAAATAGAAATTAATCAATTAAATTTCTTATGAATAATTTAATAAAAGATATAAGATGTGTGTAATTTTTATAATAAAATTAAGTTTGTTATGGTTCTTAACAGTTTTAACAATCTTCAAAATCAAACATCCTTTTTTTTCAACTGGAGTTTCTTTACCTTATATAAACCTAGTATCATCCTAATTATACTTTAAAGCTTTTAGTTTTTGGGTAATTCTTTCTTTTTGTTATTTTCAGATAAATATTTAGAATTTTTTTGATTAAAGCTCTTAAATTTTATTATTTTTGTTCAAACATAATAAATTATATAAAAAATAATAAAAAAAATAAAACCAATTCATTTTTTTTTTGAAATGATTTTAGACAAAGGTACTCTTTATTATTTGTCAATTAAATGTTACTTTAAGAAATTTAATGATTATAATGAATTTTGTTTATGATCCACTTCTCTTCCTAATGTTTCTATTGATACTTTTTCATTAAATTTCTTAATTACTATGATTATATATATATATATATATATACTTTTTTTAGATTTAATTTCAATTGGGATTGTTGTTGCTTATTATATTTATGGCATTTTAATGGATTTAATAACTTTTTCAGATAATTTTTCATTCAAATTTCTTTAGAATGATTCATCAATTTTATTATTAGTGAAATGTGATTAAGTACTACTACTTTATTCAGGAGGTTCATCTTCAAATAAATTAGTTTGTTTAGCTTTTAATTATATTTCTTTATCCTTTTTAATTTTCTGTTTTATTTAATCCTTCTATAATTGTTTTTTTTAATTTGCTTATGTTTTCTATTCAGCTACTTATCTTTTTCTTTCAATTTCTGCTTATTTAGCTACCTCAAAAGGTATCATTTCAAGTTCTGAATCACTACCAGACATTAATAATTAATTATAATAAACAAAATTTATAAATTCATGATAAACAATCATTATGTATTAAGTAATGTTTGATAGTGTTCAATTTATTCAGCCCAATACCTTTTGTTTTCTGAAATCTATTCCATAAATTCAGCTAATACTGGAATAATTTATTGAAGAGTATTATAGTAAGGTAATACCTAAAATAAATATATAAATTACCATGAAATCTATAAATCCGATCTAGCTCTTTGCAACATTGGTTGTTCTTCTATCACATAACATAGTGATTGGAAGTCCCAAATCTTTTTCCTTATCCCCTTATTACCAAAATTCTCCTAAAACTCTAAAAGTCCATTACTCATAATTCTTTATTGGTTTAAAGGGATTACTGATATCTGCTGCATGTAACAAAGTGTCAAAACAAATACCTTTATCTTTATTACCAGGATCAAAATCATTAGATGCTAATCTTGCCTTTAATTTATTAAAATCTAATAATTAAATCATAAATACCTTTTCCATGCATTGCATTATCTGTACTCAAAATCATACTAATAGACTTCTCTCTAAAATACTTGAAATCTTATAATGAAAAGTTTGCAAATAATTCAGTATCTCTAATATATTTGAATAGAGTTGCAGCATGATGTTATTCAAGTGAAGATTTATCATTATAAGTCATAGCCAATTCATGTCTTGTATTATTTAAAAATATATTATTAAATCCTGGATGATCAACATCATGTGCAGCTGCAGAGAGTAATAGAATTGAATAATCTAATTTAGTCAATTTTCCAATTTCTTTAAAATTACATTTTTCAATAAAGAAATATACTGTGTGTGTAACATCGAAAGCATGAATTACATTATGATAGAGATTCTCTTTATGATAACTAGATCCTAATCGATCCATACATTTTTTAAAAGAATCAGGAGATATTTTTAAAGTGCTAAATAAATGTTCTTTTTCAAAATAATAACACATCAAATTAGTTAAGATGGCACTATCATACTTTTCAAATAAAGAGAAATAATCATAATCTAATTTCAATATATTTTATGCAAAATCTTGTCTTAAAGATTCAGGCAATTTTGTATCATTTGAATAAATAATATCTATTGAATTAGATCTCTTTGATTCCTAAGAAACCATCAATTAATTTTAAGGTTAATTTAACCAACCTAATGCTTCACTTTTCCTACCTTCTATTATTGGTTCATATACAGTATTATTTGAAATATGAGTGATTCCCCAATTTAATTATTTGATTATGTCTGGATCCTCAAATTAATCTGCCAAATCACGCATAATTTCAATCACTTTTTCAACTGGTGATCTTACTGTATATCTTGATCCTGCATTATTGATTTTTTTCACTTGATTATACTATTGTAATATATATAATTCAATATATTTACTTTACGAAACACTAAAAACAATCTTAAAAATCTAAAGATGCCTCTCAACACCTTACTTATAGTAGTAAATGCATCACCTTATAGATTCAAATCCAAAATTATTAAGATTATTGATGCAACAATTATTAATGCATCAAAAAATGACCAACAATCTGAAAAATAAATCTATGATCAAATGCAATATAATACAATAAATCCATTTTAATAACATCTGATAGATATTTCCAAAACAAATAGAATTAATATTACTAGTTCTATTATCTTAGTCACAAATAATGTCTTATCTATATTAGGATCCTCTTTAGCATCATTTGCTATTATTATTTTTTACAACAATTTACATGTAAATGAGAAATTGATAAAGACTAGAAGAGTGAATAGCACAACTAATGCAATAACTGCCTTATCTATCAATGGGATTCCTTGTTGTAACTAATCAGTAATTCTGTTATAGGATGTTCAATTACTCGTCTGCAATAACGCGATCGTAACCTTCAATATTATATGAAGATCTTCGATCCCCAAAAAGGTTGGAAATCTCTTTTGATCCTCTAGGAACTACTTTGGCAGTACCAACTAGGTTCTTATTTGAATCTTCCTTTAAGTTTTATTGTTCAGTCATATTAATTATTTTATAAATTATATTATGTTAACTGCTATGATTCTCGAAGACAATTAAGGAATCATCTTTAATTTATTCTTATATTAATTATCAAAATGTAGAAACCTAAACATAATTATTTACTTGAATATTATGTAAATAATTGATATAGAATAATAATTCTAACAATTAAATATATATATATATATATATGCATTTATATTATTTCAAAAGTGTTATTATTTGGAATAGTTTCTTTATATTTCAAAATAACCTCTAAAAATAATAATAAATTAAATACCTTATGAGACTTGTTTCAGGATAAAGTTAAGTCACATTTTCAATTGGTAATTGTTCAGATCTAACAACTATAGTTAGATAATTTCCTGGTGTAAGATGATCTATTTTCTAAGATACACATTTATCTAAATTCATATAAAGAGTATAATTACAATTTGAATCATCTAAAATCATTTAATCCAATTTACTAATATCTTTTTCATGTTTTATTTAAAATTTCCCCAAATCTATTTATAGTTCAGATAATTTAACACCTGCTTAAAATATTTGAAGATATTCCTTTTCATTAAATTTCATATCTAATAGATCATTTATTAATTTGATGTAAAACTTCTTTATATTAGAATATATGCATAATTTCCAACTATTCTATTTTAATTGAATTATTTGTTAATTCTTATATTTCTATCTTTTCTTATTACTATAAATATTCACTAAATCCTAACCAATCTTTCTCAGTTATTCTATTGCATCCAAATGTAAGTCTCTATTATTTTCTATTTCTACATAATAAAATGTATTAGAGAGATATTTTCCAAATTTGATCAATTTATTACACTCTAGCTCTTGATAGTTTTCTCCTAAGTAATTTAATTGCTATTATGATAACACAATTATAATCTTATTTCTAATACACACTTCTGATATTGGCATAGATTCATCTAATTCTTTTATACGACAATTAATTAATTTATTAATCCTCTATTAGATATTTGTTTCAAAATATAGATAATTATATAATTCCATAGCCAAATAATTACCATTTTCATTTACCTACAATTATTCATATTAATTTTTAGTAATTAATCCAGTCTATTCGAATTTTGTTTGTTTTGATTCTATTTAATATGTATCCTTTAATTGATTTCTGAAATCTTCAGAATTTCTATTTAATTACACTACAACATAAGTTGAACCTGCAAAAAATTAATCACAAATAGTAGATACTTATTTATAATTTAATTTTGTATTGATTGTTATTGAATCATTACGAATAATCAATTCTAATTAATCAATTTAAATATCTTAATTTTATAAATACTTTCTTAAACTTGATTCCCAATCCTTTAAATTTAATACCATAGACTCTTTTACTTTATATACAATTGATTTCTTATCAATTCCTATTTATAATACTTGTCTTATAAATTATTAAGATATATGATGAATTTAAATTAATTAAGAGAACTTTTCTTCTTCTATTATTTTCTTATGTTTATGTCTAGATTATGATTAAATTTCATGACAAAATTCTTGTAATTCATTTATATCACTAATATCACTACTATCAAGACTATTATAATCTTTTCTAAAAGATTCCATTGAATTGAAAGTTCCATCATTTTAATATCCAGATTAATTAATACAAGGTTATTGAATATTTTCTTTAGATATCCTAGACTTTTGATCACTTGAAAAACTGCTTTATTGTTGGGCCTATGAGGAATTTTTCAAAGAAACTATTGATTTTAAGTCTAAATGAATACTTGAATTAATCTTATTTTCACAATATTTAGTAGTGAGATCTGGAAGTGTTGATTATCCTTTCCATTCTTAAGGAAATAATTGAGAAGAGATTAATTCCTTCTCTTTCAATATTTAAGGCATTATTGCAGATTTACCTTATTGAGAATATAATAATGTAGATTTACAGCTTTAAAATGATTATGATAATGAAGACATTTCTAATTATTTCTTTTTCATTATTTAATTGAATTTTAACCTTAAATCAATAAGATCTTTAATAATTTTGAATGCCATAGTATTGTCTCTTTACTTAGAAAAAAACAAACATTATTTATATCCTAAACTGAATACATAATTTTAAATTTTAGTATCAAATCTTCTATCTATTTCTTTAACTAAGGATAGTATTGAATTGAGTTTATACAATCTAACTATTTAATTGCATTTTTTCTTCAATATTCCTTCCAAATCAAAAATAAATTTGTCAAAATCTTCACACAAATCATATAATTCCATATTAAATATTTCTAATGATTATTAATTAAAAAAATCATTTATATTTTATTATGCTTATTAACAATATAATAGATTTGATGAATAAATTTTAAATTGAATTTTCCATCCATCATCAACCAATTTAATCAAGATTTTATTTTATAATTGAAATTATTCAACATCATTTTCTGAATAGAATAGAATAAAATCAATATAAGTCATAGCAATTTATTAGAGTGGATCAGCATCATTAAAATATTCTCTATTAATAGTTGGTCTTAATTCATATTTTGGAGTAAAATTAATTGATTGATTGTATTCAGTTATCCAATTTTAAAATAATTGTATTATTTTTTATTCCTTTCTTTTAGGAATCCAAGCAATCACAAATGATTCATACATTTCCATATCAAAATTCTTATGATATCCTGTTTATTCTTGTAATTATTTCTATTCCTTAATTAATTTGTCTTTAACAAATAAACAAGTCCCTCTGTATTTAGTATAGAGTTCTTTGTAGTTTTTAGAATAGAATATTGATGTATATGGTTTATATGAAACATGAGTTCGTTGATCTTTCATAACATAGATCATTTTAAATTCCTAATATGCTATGTATTCTATTTTGAATTGAGCTACACGTAATTATTCTTCATCATTGCCTAAATCATTATTATATTAATAATACCTGCCAAATATATTTCATTAGATTCAAAAATAAGATGAGTATTTGTGTTTTGTAGTATTCCTGTAAGGAGATTTACGAAGTTCATCCAGATGAATGTTTCTGTAGACAAGTTGAGCTATTTTTTGTGTAAGATTATCCGATTTGAATAGGCTCCATTATTATGGTTATTTTTATGAAACATTAATGTAGTAAGTGTGATATGAGGTTGATTTGCACAAAAATGTGAAGAAATAATTTGGGATGGTTTTATTTAGGTGTTTTATATAATAATTATTATAATATTCAATCAAATTGAGGACGATCATCAATTTTACCATCTACAACTAAGGTAATTGAATAAGTTACTCATATCTTCACATCTCATTTCCATTTACATATCAGCTACAACAGGCATTTGGAATGGAAAACTAACACGAAATTGTGGTGGAATTTACAATGCTCCATATTGAATCATCTAATTTAAAGAATGATATTGAAAGTAATATGGCTAAGGAAAGTATGTCTGTGGAGGAGGAGGAGGAGGAGGAGGTTATTATTATCGAACAGGGATCAATACTTCTCTCATTTATTAAGTTTTTATTCGCTTTGCTGTCTGAGGTTCAAGAGGTTTTCTTCCTCTCTTTTTTGGTTCTCCTTATTCGACTTATACTTTTGGCTTTGGACCTCTTTTTTTAGGCATCACTGCTTTTGAAGGGTATGTGCTGGAGTCGTTTTAAATTTTATTTTCATCTCTTGATTTATAATCTTCATCAATTATTTTTAGTATCACATGCACAAAGTCATGTCTGCTAAAACAATTGATGTGATCTGAAGATTTTATGTGCTATTCTTTAAAAATATCATAATTACTTCCAAGTAATCTGCATAAGGTTTACGACACACTCCACAATATCTATGTTTACGACCTGGTTTTGGAATTTACTTAACATTTACTAAATATGTTACCAATTTAGTTTTTTTCATTGTGTATTCTTGGATCTTTCTTTGATGATCCTCTTTATATTTTTACATGCTTCTCAAGTAGTCATTCTAATTTAAATAATATACAATTAATTCTTACTCTATCCACTTCTAAAATGAAACCTGGTAAACATTATTGTTCATCTTAATTAAAGACTGGAACAATATTTTCAAAACAGGCCAGCTATGTATTATATATTATATCTGTTACAGCATCGTTGTACAAGGGACAGAAATCAATGTTAGTAGATTACTTTAACCAACACTTTTAACTTTTTGGATGGAGATTAAACTAATGCTCTGGGCATCTTGGTTGGCATTTACGTTTCCCTTATCCTGAAATTTTCTCTCCAGCCATTTAAATTAATTATAATATATTTGGATACGATTTTTCCCTTTTTTTCTTAATCTTAAACCCTTTTCATATTATTTATTTTAATCATTCAATTATATATCCGTCATCATTTATTAGAACTCACTTTTAATCTTATAATTTTAATAATAATGTATTATTTTGATCAAAGAAGAGCAATATCAATCAAAAAAAGAATGAAGGCTGTTAAAAAAGAACTTTATCTTTTATCAAGTACAACTGCATCTATCAAATATCAATCTGTCTTAGAAAATAAAGAATTTAATGAACTATTTCAAAAGAACATCAATAAATAAAAAATTTACAAAAGATGATTACAATCATCTTACAATATGAGAATCTGGAATCTTGTATAAAGAAATGGGTTCTTAATAGCAAAAATAAGTGTATTTCAAATTGAATAAAACTTAGTATTCTTTAACTTCAGATTCCTACTAAAATTTAGGATTTTAGTCCAAAATTGAAGATATTAAATATATGATAACTCATATCTTTATAGTAATAATATTAATACAAAATACAAAGGTTATTATGTATATAGGATTCCTGATACATATGAGAGTAATCTACTAATTTAACAAATGAAGAGAATTAAAAATTTTCAAAACAATAATTTTAAGATATATGATTGAATGAGGTTTATATAATCCAAAAAATTAGTTCAAATATATGAATTATAGAATATGGGTTATCATTTTCATAATATCATTCTCTTAAGTTTTAAAATAGGTTAAGTATTCCTGAAGATTTAATATCCATCAAAAGTAGATTTGATTTATTGAAGAATTGAGTGTTTTCTATTTGATGAATTTACATCTATTATATATGTTCATCATGAAATAACTGGAGACTATTTTGAATATTTTTTACTTAAAAAGCAGATAGACTCTTGATGTTAGAATGATATAATACATGAGTTTACTCCAGATACATTAACTATTGTAAAAAATGCTATTGCTTTAAGAATATAGGATTTATTAGATAATCAAAATTTAAGATTTTTCTATACTATTATGATTATGAAATGCTAAATTTACCATCAAAGCACACATAATAACTAGATGGTTATAACTTTTATTAATTAATTTTCATCTCTCCAAAATAATCTTAACTACTTATGTACATTTTCAATCAGAAACTAAATAGATCATTCTGAATAATAATAATATTAAATTTTGGGATTCTCCTCCCTATCATATAACATTCAATATATTTAAAGAAGTGAGTAATACTAAATTATATACAAATTCATTTGCTAATTGATGTATATATGTTCACAAATCAACTGAGTGATATTTTATTTAATCAAAACTAAAAGTACATATATTTTTATGATATAACGATAATTAAATTTAAAATGTATTCCCTTTAGAAATTGGTTCCTAATAATAAAATTCAAATTTAACCTGGAGCATTCTCATAACATCAGAAATTAAATAAGAGTGTTGATGGTATACTACCAGTTAATTAAAAATCAATATAATAACTTTAAAGTTAAATCTCAATAGTCAACAAAAAAGAAACTAAAAAATAGTTAAATAAAAAATAAGAACTATTATAAATACTAGAAAATGCATAAGTTAATTAAGGATAAACGAAATCAATATCACCAAATACAACACCTCAAAAATAAAAAAGTAACAGAAAATTGAATTTTAATCATATTACTGAATAAGATGCACTCTTTCTTAATACAAGTAATGCAATGGCCAATATGATTATTGAAAATATACTTAATAAAGATGAATATTATGAGAAAATTCGTTAAGAAAATCAAGAATTAAAAGAGTAATCCATAAAATTGTAATTAGCTCTTAATGAATTGACAAAGAAATTTTAAACATTAGAATCAACAAATAAAGATCTCAATTAAAATCTATAAAATGAACGTAAAATCTATCAGAATCAATTAATTAATATAAATGATTAAATTTAATAGATGAAACCTTTAAAATTCAATCTTTAAATGGAATAAAAGAAAACTGAATCATTAAATAAACAATTATAAGATTAAATTGCAATTAATAATGGATTAAAATCATTTATTTGTGATAATTGTTTAATCTGCATAGAATTTCTATCCTTTTTTTAGAAAATTGTAGAAAACTTTAAGCCTTAAATGTTATTTGCATATGAATCTCTTATCCAAATATCTAAACATTCAACTGCATTTATTTTAGATTTCATTTCTAAAACATAAAATCTCAATTTACCTGCTCTCAGAAATTGTTAATTACCAGAAGAATTCGATGTTAATGGATTCTTTTTAAATGTTGAATCTTTAAAATTTAATGAATCATCTGAAATATCCTTCAGAAATAAAAGCAATAATAATTCAAAACATAATATTATAATAACAAATCACACACCTCCTCTTAATGAATCTCCTAAGCCAATGAGAAATGTATTATTACAAGAACAATTTAATTAATTTATAAACATTAATGATCCTTAGGTGGGTAGTCCTTATTTTACAGATCTAGGATTAGTAGACAAATAAGGAGTATTAAATAAAAACATTTATTAATTGTAATTAAATGCACCTAAAAGAGTCATTTAAGAAACTAGTGAAAATTCTCATTATTTTCAATCATTTAAACAAAATAATGATAATGAAACTATCCAAATGGATTAGTAAATATTAAGAGAATAAGATAATTAATCAAAAAGAAATAAGGAAAATTCATAGTCTAATTATTAATATGTAATTGCAAAATATGACTATAAAGCATAGAAAGTAAAGATATTTAATGATTTTGATAGGATATAGATTTAAGCTTTAAGAAAGGAGATTAAATAAAACTATTAAAGAGAACAACGAATGGATGGTGGTATGGAGAAGATAAGAATTAAGTTAAAGGATACTTTCCACACAATTTTGTTCAATCACTAGCATGATTTTAGTTTAATAAATTTTCATTTTTTATCTTTACATTCAATAGATTACATTAATAATTTAAATACTATCTTGTTAATTAATTTGAGATGAATTAAAAATGAAGTTTCTATTCTTACTAAGGTGTATTAGTGAATTAAAAAATCTGGTTAATTTTATATAGTAATTCTTGATCAAATGAGATAATGCTTGATAATAATCTTTTTCTTATCAACCTTAAGTAATTCCTCAATTTTTTGATATTTATGTCAGATATTTTATTCATCAAAATTTAATCTTAATTCCTTATATAGATTTGATGAAAGGATTTTGACAGTAGTATTAGATTTTCTGTCAAAATTAAAATGTATAGATAAAATGGTTTTAAAAAAGAATGTATTATAGTTTATGAAACAAATATTATAGCTTAATTTCTATCCTTTAATCATTATATTAATATGTTGGTTTCATTAATTAATAATATTATATTGATTGTTGATTGAACTAAATATTATTTCTATTGTTGTTATCTTATATCGGAATTAAGTTAATTAGAATCTTGAGACATTCACTATAATGAATAAATTAATATATCTTCTTAAAATGTAATAAATATATTATTTCTAAAGTCAAATATATATAGACTATTAGAAACCTTTCAATTAAAAATATATTAATTTTACTTGGGTATAGTTTGATTCTTCATTCATTTAAGCATTATATTAATTGATTTTTATTATAGATTACCAAATATTGTAAATATGTTATCAGTAGTAATACCTTAAAGATTATATATAACATCTTAAATTATAAGTAAGTAATATTAAATTATAAAAATGAACAATTTCATTCTGTTAGTAATGATCTTTTTAAATGTGCATTCCCTTGAATTTCCATAATTCTATCATCGTTCTACAGTATTATTTAATTTAAACATCCAATATAGGATATTTATATTGAAATTGCTTAAACCATAGAAAAGTGTGATGGAGTAGAATTAGAAATGGTTAGAGATTATCCTAAATTGTCAATGGTCACTTTAAATAAGAATCAAAATAAACCAAATAAAGGATTTGTACTTTTTGGAGAACATGCAAGAGAATTGATCTCTCCAGAAACGGGTTTACATTTTGTAAAGAAACTCTGTAATCAAAATGAAGATATGAAATCAATCAAAGATAATTATGAATTACGAATGATAGTCAATCTTAATCCACTTTCTAGAGAGAAAGTTGAATCTGGTGATTTTTGTAAAAGAGAAAATGAAAATGGAGTTGATTTGAATCGTAATTACAAATCTCATTGGTCTAAAGTATTTAACACTAATTACTCAGGATCATGATCCAGAAATGGTAAGAACTGCTCCTGGACCATTTGCATTTTCTGAAGCAGAAACATAAACAGTGAGAGATGAACTTAAGAAATTCTCTCCACATGTTTTCTTTTCCATTCATTCTGGAACCTTGGCACTTTTTACTCCATATGCTTATAGCAAAGAATAACGTAAAAATATTATGTAAATTTTTAGCATCTGAAAATATTTCCAATATGATGCAAATTCTAACAGAAGTTAAAGAGAAACATTGTGAAACATGTAAAATGGGATCTTGTGGCCATGAAATTGGATATCTTTCTCCAGGTACCTCAATGGATTATGCTTATGATGATTTGAAGGTAAATTTATTATAATCACATTTAGATTCCTTATTCATTTACATTTGAAATATATCATGGAGGTTTAGATGTTAGAACTAAAAAACATGCACTTAAATTTTTAGAAGTTTAATCCTCACATAATAAATATAAAATAACTCATGAAGAAAAATTAGATTAATTACTAAGAGATCATTCTTGTTTTGCAACAACTTCCACGTAATAGTCTATTATTAATTGATTAGTAAAGAAATGCCACCTGATGAATGTTTCAAATATTTTAATCCTGAAGAGAAGGATTAATATGATTTCTATGTTGAAAATTGGACTTAAGCTATAACATTATCATTAAATAGAGTTGCTGAATAAAGACAAACATAACAATAATCATGATACATTAATTATCTATTTCATAAACTATCACAAATAATTAATTCATTAAAATTTAATCTTACTTCTTAAAATTAATATATAAATATTACATAAATTATCTATCTAATGTAAATCAAATTCATAATTTAATATTTCATCATAATTATTCTACTTTTCATAATCTTAACTATTAATATTAATAATAAATTAGATTTATAGTATAAAAGATAACATAATAATAAAAAATATTCTACATGATTAGTATAATGTATTATATTATTTTTAATCAATTTATAAAAATAATAATAATAATATATTATTCCAATATCCATTTTCTTTAATTTATACATTAATAGATATAATAGTTAAAGAAACAATAAATATGAGATTTTAAATGATATATCTATACATATATATATATTATTATATTTTGATATTCATTTCACATTTTATGCCATCCTTTAAGATCATCCTCATCAGAATCAAACTCTTTCTAAAAAATATGTATATAGAAATACTTTTTTTGTAGATTCTTAACTTATTTTGATATTTTCTTATTTCTTCATTTGTTCATACTCTTATTCCTCTTACTATTCAATCTTTTTATCTCTCCATTCTTTAGGCAATTACCAAAACTATTATTTAATAATTAAATATACTTTCAAAGATTTCTCCTTTCCACTGGTTACTAACATATGTTTATCTTCATACCATTAGAGTTTAGTAATATCAGTATTATGAGCCTTAATTACAACTAAAAATATTATAAACAATAAGTACATATTGGTGCAGCCTTTTTACCACTCCATACAGTGACTGTACCATCTTTATTTCCAACCATACATTCTCCTCTAGAAGGTGACCATACAATTTCTCTCATTTACAATTTACCTTTCAAACTTGCTGTTTGTTTTGTAAATTTTTCTCTTCCAGATTTACCAACTTCAAAGATACCAATTTCACCTTAATCAAAACCAGCTGTGAACAAATAGTTTTTTACAGGATCAAAAAAGATGCCTCTTATAGGAGAGAGTGTTTAAGATGCTACTGAGACAGCCAAAGATGGACCCATAGTTGCAGATGTAATTTCAAAGACATGTATATAACCTCCTTTATCTGAAATAAATATTCTTCTATTGTCTTTATCAGCTGCTAAACCAGTCAAACCATGTTAACTTGGTTAGAGCTCTGCAACTGTGATTTATCTTTAAAAATCAAGTACTTTATATTTTTTATCTTCTGATACAGAATGAATATGTGAATTTATGGAATCATAAAATACACCCATCACTCTACCCTAATGTGCCTTGATATCTGCTTACTAATATTAATTAATGATTAATGTACCTCATCATATCTTATAAATTGACTTTCTTAAGGTACTTTTAACAAATTCAATTTTCCTTCATCTAATCCAACAATTAGAGTTGACGTCACTGCATCCCAATATAAACAAATTGCTTATGATGGATAGGTTTTATTCCACATTCTCTCATACTTGAATTCGTTCTCATCATTAGTCTTCACCCAACATTCCAAACATCCAACTGCCAATAGAGTTGGAGGTGCTTCTTTTTCCCATGGCATTTTCATATTGGTTAAATAAGCATCAACTCTACTAGCCACATTCATATCTGAGGATAACACAAAAATGACATCTAGAGAGAATTAATAATTGATTTTTTTTACTCTATGATCTCTCTATATAGAAATCTCTTAATCCATGTATGAATCCTGTAATTTCTCCTAACATCTTGGGTGGATTGACCACTTATTCTTAAGCATGCTTCTCCAACTATAAAAATTGTTTCATAGACTCAGAATTAAACACATCTGGTCTTTTTAATAATTCCTACTCTTATTCATATCTTTTTACCTTAATGTAATAATCCAGTCCCACTCTTCTCTTCTCAATATCTACATGTTCCTTCAACTTAAACAATGTTTTTCCTGGCAATGGAGGTAAAGTTGTGAATACCTATAATGAATTATTTATCTTACCTTCTTTAAGTTATTATTCAAATCATCAAATTCAGAGTACCTCTTTTCTAATGTCCATTACTATCCATCCCTCTTAGACACCAATAAAATGAATAAAATGACATTAGTATCTATCTTGCTGATTTGATACTCTTTCACCTCAGCCTAACAATAATTGAATTTATATCAACCTTTAAGGCCACTGCAGATTAATCCATTAATTAATATATTATGTATAATAAACATCATCTTTCTACAAAGAACCTTGATGGACCAAAATTAGATACAACTCAAGTTCGACGTAAAAGTTGTGTATGTGATCAATGTGGACAGACAGCACTCAAAGAAGATCAATTACCTAATCAATTATGTGAAATAGCCTATCATAAGAAAACAAGATTGGCAGATGTATTTCTAAGTAAATTGGATGGAGCTAGAAAGTATATGAGAAATGATCATAAAAAAAAGAATTTTAGAATCTATGCAAGAAATCCTTTATTCATTTTAAGATCTAAACCAGAACTAGATGAAAGTATGCATTTATAAACATCACCCTCAAAATCAACATCACCCTAATAATAACGTATCAAAACTGAATAACCATAAATTATTCATTCTCGAAGTCATAAATATGTTCCAACTTCAAATTGCTTTCTATAAAATATTAAATAATAAGTCATACGTCAATAAAAAACAATTAATAGATTACTTAAAGATCGTAAAGCTATACAATCTGTATAATTCTCACCTTGTGAAATTATTCCTGTAACTAAATCACCTTAGAAAAACAAAAAAATATTAATCAAACAATTAAAACCCTTACCAAAATAATAACAACTACAAACCAAATTTAATGGTCTCATTAGAGAATTCTTCAACTCCTCCAAATCCAAATAATACTGAATATTGATTATATAATTTTGTGTTTATTACTTAATAAATCAATGCAAGAAACTTAACAATCCGAAAAAGATATGATAGGTTCTCTGCTAGATGGTAATAAATCTCTTATATAATTAGAGAATGAATCAGAATGTTCAGAATTCAGATCTTCTATTACTAAATCATAATAACATTCTCAATCTGTAAATATTCTCTCTATTACATCATCTAGCCTATCAAAAGTTTCAAAGATTTCAAAGAAATTCCACCTGTTCTTGAAGATGGAAGGTATTATCATTAATATTAAATAAGTTAATAAGAATTTCCTTCTAATGATCCAAATAACTTTTATTTTACTGTCTAATCAGCTTTCATTCAACAAAAATAACATTCAATGAGTCATGAATTTAATCAATACATAATCTCTCAACCTCCAATCTATTACCCTTGTTATTAAGATGGATTTTTCTCATAAAAACGAACTAAGAAATTATAATCTTCAACAGATTAAGAATTATCCATTGTAATTTTACTACTCTATTTTTAGTCATAATAATGTTAAGATTAATATGCATCTTTAATCATTCAATAATCCTTTATTCAAGGAAATGATTTTTAAAGAGATAAAATATTTAAATCCATAATAGATGATTTACCACTTCTCTCTAAACACAAATTTGCAAATTATGTTATTCAGAAAATAATTGAAAATTGCAATCAAAATATCAGAACTCTAATTTTTGAATAGCTTCATCCTTATATCATAGAGATGTGTTAAGATAAATTTGGATGTAGAGTCATTTAAAAATTACTAGATTTCATTTAAAATCATCAAAAAATAAAATTAATCTAATCAATCAAAAACCAAGTATTGAATCTCATATTCGATTAATGCGGAAATCATGTAATCTAAAAAATCATAGACTTGGCATCTGATGCAGAATTTATAATTGATATTGTGACAAATAATATTGATCATATAGTCTCACATCCATATGGATGTAGAATTGCTTAAAAATGTTTAGAAACATTTCCCAATTTTAAATTACAATTTCTTTACATTTCCCTGATACCTTTATGTGAGAAATTATCGTTCTGTTAATATGGAAATTATATAGTCCAACATATGATCAATTAAGGACCATCAAAAGGATTTGAAGTCATTGGTAAATATATCAAAGCTAGAATTTTGGAAGTCAGTTAAGATAAATATGCCAGGTATTTTTATTTATTGATTATCAAGTATTGTAGCTTAAAAATACATTACATTGGCATCTGATGATGATATTGCAAATATTTGCAAAATCCTAATGAATGATTGTTTTCCTCCAATGTTACTAATTTTAATTAATAATTAATTTGGAAATTATGTGATGCAAAATTTCTACTCGAAATGTAATGATAAACAGAAAGAATAAATTTAGATTTAAATTCATAAATATGAAGATCATCAATTCAACTAATATGGTATAACTTAAATATCTTATTCTAGGTCGACATTTCTTATAATTTTTGGCCAAGTGTCATGCTTTTTGATTTTTTTATCTATATATTTTAAATATCATATATAATTTATCTATAATTAAAAATAAATTATTTGAGATAAATAGATGAAAATTTAATAGAGTTTCTAGGACTACTTAATATTCTTATGCTTCATAACATAGATCTATTAAAATTTGCAAGTAGACCGTTGATCTATCTATTCAAATAGGAATAAAATTTAGAAGTAACACTTTCAATGTTGAATAGAAATTGGAACTAAGATTAATAACTACTATTCTACCCTATGATTGAACCTCTAAATATTATTAAGTTAAAGATATCAGTATAATAAATATATTCTAGAATTTATAATATATATAATTTATTCATGTCAATTTATAAATTTTTAGCTTAAACATCTCCAGGGTTATAAACTATTTTAATTGAATAACTAGCCCAATTCAATATTTCAGCAAAACGGAGTAGATTACGTAAATCATTTTAAAAGATTAGCCATATATCCAAGTTCAGCTGTGTTTTTTGAGACTTCAATTGACAATCTTAATAATATATTGTATAAATCTACATGAAGTACATACCTTAATATTAGAATAAATAGACCTATAAAGCAAGGAATGTAAGAGAATTTATGAGAAATATGCAGAAGGTTTAAGTTCATCCATACATTCCAATGTATGCACATCTTGAATTTCGACTAAGCATTAAAAGATGTTTGAAGAATCATAGTGATAATTGGAGAGATATAATCAAAAATTATCTTCTGAATTCATGATATTAATGAATAATAATTGAGAATTTTTTAAAAAAATTTGGATTTGTTTAACAATTTAAAAAGAATTATACGTCAATAATCACCACAATTAAGAAGTAAATCTTTTGAAAATTTAAGTATTGCTTAATTGGATTTCATGAACATGCATAAAGAATTCATTAAAGGCAAATTAAAAAAGGATGATTTGATTGTAATTACTAATCCTCCTTGGGGTAGAACAGTAAATTTGGATAAATTTAATAAAATGATAAAATTCTTAGAAACAAATTGCAATTAATGTTATTTGTTGATTGCAAGTGATTAATTTTAGTTTTTTGATAAAAGAAAATGGGAATTATTGGCAGAACCATTAGTTGGAGGACAATGGACTAAAATTATTAAATATGATAGAAATAGAGAGACTTAACTTATCACATTAGAGATAGTACCTAAAGAGAATAATTAAATAATCACATAATCTACAACTATAGATGTAATAGCAAAAGATCTCTCCTATTAGAGAGATATAGAAGAATATGAAAATAAAAAAATAGTGGATTTAACTAAAAATTTAGGAGCCTTATCAAAAAAGTTAAATAATTAAGATTATTTGAAACATTTAAAGAAAGAGACTCGAACTGTTGCAGAAAGGTATGCAGTATTTCTTAAGAAATTAAATATAGGAACTAAAACAAAAGTAAGATCCATTATGTTAAGAAGAGCAAATGATTTATATAAGACAAAAATAAGAAATTTAAATTTACAAATAAACAAAATTAGAGAGTAAATTAAAAAGGAAAAAATAGAATTAAAGAAATAAGAAGTAAAGGATAAGGTTATCTTAGATAAATACTCATTGAAATAAGAAGATTTAGAGAAAAATTAAAAATATTGGATGAAAAAGCAAAGAAAAAGAGTTTAAAATTATTAAAATAATAGAAAAAGAGATCTCAGACAATACCAAGATGGTGATATTAATATTTTATGTATATATCAATGGTTTGATTATTAAGGATGACTACGTAATTGTCTAGCCTTGACTGGGTGTTTAGCATGGTAATCTTCAATTCTTTCTTCAATTTCTTCCCTATAAGATCTTATCAATCCTTAAACTGGCCATGCAGCAGCATCTCCAAGAGCACAAATAGTATGTCCTTCTATTTAATATGTTAATTCCTTTCAATTTAATATGATTCAAATACTTCTAATTAATCAATTTCTGCAAAATCAGCATTTCCTACTTTCATTCTTTCCAACAAATCAACTAACCATGAAGTACCTTCTCTGCATGGTGTACATTGACCACATGATTCGTGTTTATAAAACTTACTTAATCTTAAGATGGCATCAATTATATCTGTAGATTTATCTATGACAATAACAGCAGCAGTTCCTAATCCAGATCTTACATCTCTTAAAGCATCAAAATCCATAAGAACAGTTTCACAGATCTCTTTAGGTAACATAGGAACAGAAGATCCTCCAGGAATAATGCATTTAAGATTGTCCCAACCTCCTCTGACTCCTCCACAATGTCTTTCAATTAATTCTTTTAGAGGAATAGACATTTCTTCTTCAACAGTGCAAGGATTGTTAACATGACCAGAAATACAGAATAATTTAGTGCCTCTATTGTTGGGTCTGCCAAAAGATGCAAACCAATTAGCTCCTCTTCTAAGAATGGTTGGACAAACTGAAACAGTTTCAACATTAGTTACAGTAGTTGGACAACCCCATAAACCTGCATTAGCTGGGAAAGGTGGCTTAAGTCTTGGTTTTCCTGGCTTTCCTTCTAAGGATTCTATCAAACCCTAATAATTATTATTATTAAATGAATACAGTTTCCTCTCCACAAATATAAGCACCTGCTCCACTGTGAACATAAACATCAAAATCATATCCACTACCGCATGCATTTTTACCCAAAAATCCCTTTTTATAAGCCTCATCCACTGCTTATTATAAGGCATTGGCTTCTACCCAGAATTCTCCTCTACAATATATGTATGCTGCTCTAGCTCTCATTGCGAATCCAACACATAAAGCTCCTTCTACTAATTTATGAGGATCATGTCTCAAGATTTCTCTGTCTTTGCATGTACCTGGCTCAGATTCATCTGCATTTATAACCAAATAAGAAGGTCTTTAATTGATAATTGCATTAATTAAAATACCTTCCATCTGGATTGACTTTTGGCATGAATGAGTATTTCAAACCACTTGGAAATCCTGCTCCACCTCTTCCTCTAAGACCACTCTTTTTGATTTCATCTATAATCCAATCTTAACCCATTGTCAATATATCCTTTGTTCTATGCCAATCACCCTATGATTATAAATATTCTTACTCTTTTTAAGGCACCTTGAATATAAGGATCTCCATCGCGATAGACATTAGTAAAGATACGATCTTGATCTTTTAATCCTCCATGATAATATTTAGGTTGAGGAGCCAATCTTAGAAATAGCTGAGCTTATCTAATAATCATTTAATAATAAATATGATTATATTTAATCATTAAATCAAAACTAATTTCCAATAGTTATTCTTTCCTTCCTTATCATTTAAGCAAACCTACGTATTATGTGATAGTGATGCTTTTTTATTAATGAAAGATAGGTATTTAGTAATTTCATTATGTTTTAATTCAAATATTGCTCCATCTTTTAAAATGTTATCATCAAATTCAATAATCCAACATCTACTTGAACCATAACCACAATAGACTACGCCTTCTTCATCAAGCTCAGTTGCCATAAGATATCTTCCTGTCAGTACATGTATCAACTGAATCATTACAAGTCATTTTACATCAATTTTATCCCCAGAACAAATTGGTAACTTGTCTGCCTCTAATTACCATTCACAATAACAACTTAATTCAGGATTAATATTGGTTAAAGATACTTCATATGCATTGCTTCTTGTATTTGTTAGTCTCATTATAATTATCTTATTACTTTATTGAATGTGAAGAAAGTAATTTAGAAATGTAAACATTCAAAATTTAGAGTTTATTATTTCCACTAATTGTATTCCCCAATATAACAGTTTATCTCTAGATTACTTAGAGTCGAATACTTAAGTCTCTGGATTCTGATAAAATTAACTAGCTGTAAAAACTGATCGATCGTATTAAGAGTAGATTACAGAGTCCTCTTCAGGAATTACTGTGAAAGTTGTTCTTGGATTGGAACCTCTTGGATTACTTAAACATGGCCAATTCACTATATTATCACCCTACTAACATACCGATCCCATTTATTTTAATTAATTCTTATAGTTATAATCACAAAACTTTTCAATTTAAATCAATATTATAATTACTCTTCTCTATCTTTTAAATTTGTTATTCTTTTGTATATTTAGATTATTAAGATGATGTAGATTGTAAAAAATCTAAAAATATATTTATAAAGTGAACAATAATACTATGAATTTTATTAAATCATTTCTTTTTAACAAAAAAAGTGGATGTTATATCATATGCACCTGGTCCAGGCAATTTTGTATTTTCAGAACAACTATGAGATCTCTTCTCTCTTCCAAATACAATACTTACTTAAGGTTTCTTTACTTTTAGATCTGTATCATATTCTCCTGGTCCCTATAATTCATCATATATTATTATATACAGGTATCTATATCTTATTGTAACTATCTCTTTTAGCTTGTCCAAATATAATGCTTTTTGTTTCTCTAAAATCACCTATTGTATATGATTATGGTCCAGGACCTGAATTATCAGTCTTCTCTCTATATCTCTAATAGATTGAGTATTTAGGTGCATTGCTAGGTTTATTAGGCTTATAACTTCCTGGTCCTGGCAGTACATCAAGTTTCGTATCTTATCTTTATCCTTTGCCTATTGTATATCCTACACTTTCTTTGATTGTTTAGACATCATAATTTGCAGGACCTGGAGAAGTTGACTTTTAAAAAATCCCCTCTCTTTTGCTAGTCCCAATTTTAAATGACTTTACTCTTTCTTGTCTTAGTTATTCATATGCATCAGGACCAGGTGTAATCATTGATATAGTTTTTTCTCTACGAGGAACCATTTTAAATCCTCCATCAGTTCTTAATAAAGATGGAATTTCATATTGTCCAGGACCTACATGATTACTATATATTTTTCCTGATCTTGTCTATTATCCAATTATATATGAAGTAACATGATTTTTCATTATTATATGATAATCCCCAGGTCCTGGTGATAGTTTTTTTTCATCCTTATACCTTTTTTCGCTTCCAATTTTGAATCCTGTTCTTGAGAGTTATGAGATTTCAACTTTGTAGGTTCCTGGACCAGGCTTTTATTATGATTCCTTATCTATTTAATAAGCTTTTCCATAAATTAAAGTCTTTCTTTAAGATTCTGGTAATCTAATGTCATATTATCCTGGACCTGGAAGGTTTTTAATGATGGGGATTTCTCTAGAGTTAGTTCCACTCATTGTCCATTTTGGTGCGTTTACATGTGAAACTTCCATTTTAGGTTCATAACTTGCTGGACCTGGAAGACCTTGATTAGTTGTACTTGTGTAATCTAAAGAAATATAATGAAGAAGAACTTCTTTTTGAATTTCTTGATGGAGCCGCCGACATAAGCAAATAAAATGCTATTATATTGTCAGATAAATAAATATCTAATTAATTTATGTGAGTTGTTAGAAAATAGTATAAAACCTAGAAGTTAGTAACTTTGTTTAAAAACCCAAAAAAATTTATATTAATTAATAAATTTCGTTTTACGTAGTATGAGTTCTCCATAAGAAGGTGATATTAAATTAGTAAAGGAATTGATGTAATTAAGGACTAAGATGCTTTCCGTAGTGGTCTATAGATCTTGGGTAATCTGTTAAAGGAGAATTTAGATCTCTTGGAGACTTTTGCTGAACTTTTTAGGAAAAAGTAATCAATAAATGAATTTTTTGATCTTTATGAAGCGTTACATTATGAATTGAAAATAAGATGTGAAGAAACCTTAACAATCATTAGTTAACTTAATAATCCTACTATTATTGAAAAAAGCAATGAAATACCAAATATTATAACTAATTTTCAAAAGCCATCAATCCAAGAGTATAATATAATAGATACATAAATATATGACTTAGTAATGGATTTAAATATGAGTTCTTCATGGAAGGTAGTTGTTAATCCAATATTTCAAGTTATTAGTGAATAACAATGATCTTAAAGGAGCTAGAGTTGCAGTACTTGGTTTATATGACAAAGGTAAAACGCATATTCTAAATCAATTAACAAATCAAAATTTACCTACAGGATCCAAAATAACAACTAAAGGAATAAGTTTAAAATAATGTATAATTGACAAAAATAATTCATTTGTGTTAATAGATACAGCTGGTAGTTATGCACCTGAAAATCTTAAAAATCTAAAAGAGAAATAATAAATTGAAAATGCTATTCTTGAAATTTCATTTGAATTAACAGACTATTTTATTTGTGTAGTTAATGATTTTACAAGCATTGAAGTTAGATATTTAGATTAATTAGCTCGTAAATTAAGCACATCTCTCAAATAATTTAAAGAAATTATTGTTATACATAATCTTAAGGATATTACAAATCCTAATCTAATTTAACATGTTTGGTCTGTTCAAATTGAAAAAATCTTAGAAGGAAATATATAGAAATCAACTGTTGAAGCCATTAATCCATTTACAAATTAATTAGAAGAAAAATCTGTTATGTGGTTTAACACTGAAACTAGTAGACATATTTGTATAGTCAATGACAATTCTGATTTAGGTAAAAGTATTAATCCTTGGACATACAGTCTATTAAAATATTGGTTAAAATTAGTAGTTGTTCCACATCAAAGTAAAATATTAAAATATAATGATATTGTTGAAGTTTGTTAATTGAAAATGAGTAATCTCTTAAAAAAACAAATAAAATTAACAATTTAAGATACACATTTACCAAATGAAAAAAGAATTATTAAATAATAGGCAATCTCGCCTAAATTTAATTCAACATTAATAACTCCAAAATTCACATCTACACCTATTGATATTGACAATGAAGAACCAGAAGAATATGAACCATAGATAGATATTATTCAAGGAACTTAATATATAATACTAATTGATTTACCTGGTGTATAACTTGAAGAAGTTGAAATTTATAGATAGAATGTTACAACTATTATACGAGGACATAAGAAAATATCATTATATACTAATAAATCAACTTATCTTAAATAAGAAAGAAAATATGGTCCTTTTGATCTAAGATTTAAAATTCCTGATGAATATGATCCTAAATGGAAATACTATGGTATGAACAATGGAGTTCTAGGAATTATTTATACTCTTGATTCTGAAGACTCAATTCTACCAAAAAAGAATTAATTTTGATTTTCTATAATACATATATTACAATATATATATATATTCATATATTTAATGTGATTTTTTTTAATAATAAAAGAATATTTAAATTGTCATCCTGAATCTTCTTTACTAACAAATAGTAACTCTTTATTCTTGTAATTAATAAGTAGTATAAAAAAATTAAAGAATAAATATAAAGAGGTAAAATATAGGATTGATAGATATATTATATATATATTTGAAATTAATCTTAAGGCTTCATAATATTTATATTTGAATATCTAATTTGTAAAAATGTTCATATTTTTATAATTATTCACATAGATTATTTGATTTATTTATAAAATAAAATGTACACCAACACTGCATGGATGCTTGATGGAGCACTTTGTTGGGTTTCGATTGATGAGGAATATTCAAGAGGACACATCTAAAAATTGCTTAATTAAAGAAGTGTTGCTAGAGTAATTTTAGCAGACAACAAAACTATAGATGTACCTGTTAATTAGATTTTAAGAGCAAGTAATAGTAAAGCTATAGATCTTACTGAATTGCCACATATAAGTGAACCTGAAGTTTTATTTAAAATAAAAAACATAATTTATTTAGATAGACAGATCCTTTTGTAAAATGTAAATAATTCATTAGCAGATTTTGTTTAATATAAAAAATATATTGATGAAAGATTGATTGTGAGTTCAATTCCACCTCATATATTTTCAACATTATTTTATGCATATTAAAATTTAGATATAGGAAAAAATTCATAGATTATTGTAACGGGAAACAAAGGATATGGTAAAACATAAATTATAAATGATATGATTAATTTTCTAAGTAAAGACACACTCATGTATTATAATTTAATTAAATCATTTATAACAGATAACAATGGTCATACTTAAGGAGTGATTAATTATAGATTTATTTATAAATAAAGAAGACTTATTGGACTTTTATTTCAATCTTATTATGTGAATTTGGCTGAGTATTAGAATGCTTAATTCTTTACATAAAAATGGGAAGAATTACAAAATATAGAAATACTTAAATTAATTCAAAATGAAAAAATTGAGAATGCTAAATAATTTTAGAATATGTTTGAAAAGATAATTCTAATAATTAATGGTCTAGTTTAATTGAATGATAATATATAAATGATTAGTATATTGGAATATCCAGGAAAATCAGATTAATTATCTGAATACATATCAGAAAAGATTGAATAAATATATATATAGAGTGTATTTAAGAATTGTTAGAATTAATTAATATAAGATTAATTGCATGAATTAAATAAGTAAATTTCATTTGAAGACAATTTATCTATTTTAGAAGAACTTGAAAATAAAATTTAGATTCCTTCTAATATAGGAAAATTGAATAATATAATGACAAAAGATACATAGATGTTATTTATAAGAGTCATTTAAAATAAATAAGATTTAGGATAATTTAGAATTTTTGATTCAATTAAATTCTTTAAAAATAGTTATCCTTATCGATTAACATTTAATGATTTTTATTAAAGATATCATCATCTAGATATATTTAATAAAAAGATTTCTCTTTAAAAACATATTAATAGTAATTAAGATATGAAAGCGTTAGTTACTGAAATATGTAAACGATTGACATAATCAAAAGGATTATTATTTGGATAATCTTAAGTATATTTCAAAAAAGAAGCGATAGAAAATTTGAATAAGTTGCTATGTAATCATAATTTAAAATTAAGTGTTTATGCTAAAATAATATAAAGAGCCTATAGAATTAGACAATTTAGAAAAGTAATATTGGCATGTGTTAAGAAAATTGCAAAAACTAAATCAATTGAATAATAAGTCATATCTGAAAGTGAATTAACATATATTGAAAATGAAATTAGAAAATAAAGCTAATCTTAATTAAAAGAAGAAAAAGAAGAAGAAATTATAATTGAAATTTCAGATGATGAATCTTATATAATTTTGAATGAAAATCAATTAGAAGAATATAAAAAAATAAAGAAAGAACATATAAAGAAAAAATAACATAGTTTAATAAATGGATAAATTTATGAAGAAGTTTCAGATGTAGCATATAGTCTATTAACATAAGAGTAATAGATTTAAAGGAAAGATAATATAAATAAGAAGAAAATAGAATAATAATTAAAAGAATTAGAAGTAATATAAAATGAAGCATCTGATCCTGAATCTTTTTAATTATTGACATAAGAATAGAAATTTCAATATTTAATTATGAAAAAACAAAATTAAACTTAAGTTGCATATAGATTATTAGATCAAAATTAATAATTGAAAATTAAATAATAAAGAAGATTAAATAAAATAAAAGATTTTAAATAAAAATATTATGATTAATTAGAACCATTCTTAAGTGATTTAGAGGCATTTAAATAATTAACTATTGGATAATAAAATGAATATAAAAAGAAAAAATTATAAAATTAAAAGAATGTTGCATTATCTTTATTAAGTGAATAATAGTAATAAAATAGAAGACAATATTTAGTATAATAAAGACCAAGAGAATTATGTAAAAAAAGATTCTTAGTAGATGATCCACTATCAGATTATGAAGCCTTTCTATTGTTGGAACCAATATAAAAAGATAACTATAAATAAGAAAAAGCAAAATTTAAACCATTAAAAATATTGCAAAGTATGGCTAGATTTAGTGTAGATGTTGAAGTATCAGATCCTGAATCATTTAAATTACTTGATAATAATAAAGATGTTTATATTAAGTACAAGTAAAAATTAAGATTGTGTTAAGATATATCAGATATAGAGGCATATCTTTCAATTGATAATGTAAATGAGTATATTCAATTAAAAAAGGAAGGTTAAAGTGGAATTGCTAAATAAATGGCTAATCTTAAATAGTATGAAGAATTATATCAATTACGATTGTAAGCCTAATAGAGATTAGATGAAATAGGATTGGTTAGGTATGACTTATTAGATTCTATTGCATTTAATCTTTTAAGTTAAAATTAATGGTTATAAAGAAAACAATAATTAAATGATTATTATCAAAGGAAGAAGAGGATGAATGACATAGGAAATTTTTGTTTTGATTTAGATTCTTTGGCTTATATGAATTTGACAATTGAAAAGAAAAATGAGAGAAAATAGAAGGAGAGAATGTAAATTCTTTTAAAAAATATCATAAACCCAATTTTATTTGAAAATCATTTACATCCTAATTCTAGTGTGGCATTTAGATTATTATAGAATAAGGATATTGTTTATAGAAAAATTTCTTTAGCATATATGTTATTAAAAGATAAAACTTTTAGAGATTAATAATTAAAGGAACTTCAAGTTTATGATTGGGAAGAAGTTAATAGTTTATAATAGAAATAAGTATTATTATAGGAAAAGATAAATATTTATGAATAAGAAAAAGAAAATTTAAAGAAGGAAGAGTTTTCAGATTATGAAGCTTATAAATTATTGGATGAAGATTAATTATTGGATTATTAATAAAATGCTTATTCTTTTTTAGATGATGAATAAAAATAAGTACATAGAAGGATAATAAAAGCAAAATTAATATCCAATTAATTTCATTCTGATTTGGATTCATATGAAATGTTAAGTGATGATTCAAAAGAAAAATATAAATAAATGAAGATGGGAGATGTTTCTGATTATTGTGCTTATGAAGTATTGGAAGATAAATAAGAATATTGGAAAGAAAAATAAAGAAAGAAAGAATTATTAGATTAAATAGAATCTTAGGGATTCAAAATATATTTTGGAGCAACACCATAAGTAATGATAAAAAGTGAATATTAATAATTTATAAAATAGAAGTTAACTATTCAATAAAAGATTAAAGATGAAGAGATGAGTTTTTTAAAATAACTTTAATAAGAATAAATAGTATAATAAAAGAAATCTGAAATTAAAAAGACTTATATAATATAAAAACTAATTTCAAATCCAAAATCATAACCTTATATAATATATGATAATTGTTAATTGAATAAAAGGATTTTAGACATTAGATCAGCTCCAGATAAGAATTTAAGTTTCTTTTTAGATAAAGAATTTATATCTAAAATGGAAAAACATAAATTTTATGATTATTGTTAACAAGTATTAAATCATGAAGGTAAATAAGTTTAAAAAATTATGAAATGTTAAAGTGAAAATCTAAAACATCCATTAACAAAACTATAAAATGAAACTACTGCATTAAATGTATTTCGTAGTATTACTAAATTTGCACATATGAAAAGATCACGTTAAACAATTAAATAACATTTAGAGAAAATATTATGTGCATTAATAGGGAATGATGCATAAATTGAATTACCTCCTGCTCCTAAAAGTTTAATTAAAGCTCATACAATTGATATTGATGCATTAAAAAAAACAATATAATTAGAGACTGCTGGAAGGAGATTCAGTAATTAAGAAGATTATGAATGTAATCAAGAAAATAGAGAAGAAATATTATTATAAATATTTAAATAAATTGAAGGGAATAAAAAAGAACATTTACATCATTTATTAAGATTATGCATTGTTATAACTCATTGTATTCCATATTATCATCCTATACCATACATTTAATATTTAGTAGATAAAATTGAGAATCCAGAAAATAAATTATTTAAAGATCCTGAAATTTATAAATTTTGTAAATAATTAATTAAGAATCTTGCTCTAAATACAAATGAATAAGTATTTAAAAATGAAATAAAAATACCATTATGTCCTAGAAAATATCTACCAAAAGCAGATGAAATCTAATTGATGTTTGAATGTAAATAATCAATAGTCAAATTATTTATTCATAGTGATACTCCTATATGGGTTGAAGTAGATCATCATTATAGTGTTAAATCAGTTATAAGAAGTGCATGTAATTATATAGGTTAAATAAATAATTGGAATCATTTTGGATTAATTGTAGTACATTCTAAATTTGATACCATCTATAATACTTCATGGCTTGATGAATCTGCAAATTTCTTTGATATCCTTAATAAATTAGAATTTCATGAAGAAATTAATAATAATGTGTATAAATTGAATAAAAGATTTGAAATCTATTTGACAATCAAAGAATTTTTTTAATTCAATAAATCAGATTAAGATATCCTTGACCTTGTCTTTTATTAAATGGTTTTTGATGTAAAAAGAAATAAGATTTAATTAAAAGCTGAAGATTTATAAATATTATCAGAATTAGAAATGTATATTAGATATGGCGATAACATAAATAATTAGAAGTATAATTTATCAGATAAAAATATGGCAAAGTATTCTAACCATTAATACATAGGCTTGAGTATTTAAAAATATTGCGTCTAGCTGATAGCAATTCAATTCCAGATATAATAATTTGATATAAATATATCATATAATATGATATCATTTAATAAATTAAAGTATTTCAAGTTCATATTTCAGATATTGATGTATTTTGTGATAAACCTATTCTTAAAAAATTCGTTTTCTTTATATAATTATATAGTTTTTGTTAATAAACAATAATTATTTTATTATTGATATTTTCATTTATTAATTAATAAGAATTATTAATTATATATTTTATAAAAATCAATAAATTTCAATTATATAATTTCATAAATAGTTATTTACTTTGTATATATATATAAAGATAGAATAATCATTATGATGGTTTTGTTTGTAACTCAAAAATCTTTTCAAATTAGGATTAGATTTTCTATTTCTCCTTTACTTACATGATTTATTTTCCAGATTTCATAATATTTTAAGTTTATCCAGAATTTTCATATGTTGGCTTGTTACCAAAATTTTATAAATCTGAAATGGTAAAATCAGTGTATTGTTTATTCCTAACTTTATCTTCTGTTTTTTTAAATTCCATATTAATGATATCAAATATTTATTCTGTTTCTTCTTATTCATAATCCCACCAACCATCTAACCAACCCTTTGATTCTAATTCAGGATATACATATCCATATTTTCTTTTCATTTCTACCATTCTTCTTGGAATGGCAACATTATGAATATACCAAAGTAAGACTAAGGCAAATCCCATAGGATAAATAAAAGCAAAAGTGAATTTTTTAGGAGTCATCCTAGGAGACCAAAGAATGGAATTTTTATATTTTTCCATTTATTCAATTTAATCTGCAATGGCTAATTCATATGGTATTTTGTAGGGATTAGTCATTGAAGTTCCTCCTTTAATTTTAAGTTTTGGATTCTTATTCATTACATGTAATACAATTGCTTTTCTAGTCTAGATTTACATCGGACAATTACTTCAACAGGTAAATTAGCTTAATAATCATAAATAGTAGGTGTTTTGATAAGTACCTTTTTAGGATTTAATTTAAACATAATTATAAATAAAATAAAATAGATTATGCAAAAGAAGTAATTGATAAAAGATTTTGATGAAGCTAAGTATTTTGATAATTATGATGAGAAATTGAAAAATGAGTAAGTAAGGTAAAGAGAGATGGAAAAATTAAAAAAGGATTAATAACAGGAAGATGAATTAATTCCATTAGATAATTATATGCTAGATATCTTAAAATAATATTAAAAAGATTTGGCTGAACCATAAAAAGTGAAAAAGTTTGAAGTTGGATAATTTGAGAATGAAGACCCTATTTTATTATAATATGAATTAATGAAATAAAATAAATTGAATTAATAAAGTAAACCAGTTTGTATATGAAAAGAAAAAAAGAAAGGTAATAAAATGGAAATAATGAGGATTCAATACCTAGTGATATTGATATAGATGAAATGGAAGATGCAGAAAAAAAGAAAAAAAATATTGAACCATTACAATTAATTGATCATTCTTAAATCTAATATGAAGAATTTGAATCAAATTTTTATTAAGAACATGAAGAAATAACTAATTTAAATGTAACTCAAGTAGAAAAGATAAAAAGAGAATATTAAATTCATATTAAAGGCAATAATACACTAAAACCAATAATATCATTTGGACATCTCTAATTGGACTAAAAATTAGTTAATAAAATAGTAGGATGAAGCTGATTAAATGTTTTGTTTAGATTTTCAATATTAAATTAGATCTATAATAAATCAAATAAGACCTGATAAATAAATATTGTTGTTTACTGCTACTATGAAAAAGAAGATTAGATAATTATGTGTAGATATGTTGATTGATCCTATTGTTATTAAAATTGGTGAGAATGGAAATTAAGTGAATGATGATATTAAATAAATGCCTGTAATTATTGAACTTAAAAACTTATTTATAAAATGGAAAAGTATTAAGATTTGTTAATTAAATGGGTTAATGTGAGTAATTGATTTCAGAAATCAAACAAAAATTAGGAGTTTAGGGACTTACTCTATATGGTGATAAATTATTATATGAAAGAACTTTAATTATTAATCAATTCAAATAAAATGTCCATTTACTAATTGCTACAGATATAGCATCAAGAGGATTAGATATTAAAGAAATAAGAACTGTTATTAACTATTTTCCACCTAAAGATTCTCATATTTATATACATAGAATAGGAAGAACTGGAAGAGCTGGAAATTGTGATGGTATTGCTTATTCATTAGTATAGAAATAAGATTGGAAATTTGCTATTATGTTAATAAGAAGCATAGAATTGGCAGGATAGATTGTATTTCAAGAATAAGAAGAAATTGCAAATTTAGATGATCATTTTAAAATGGATAGAATGAAAAAGAAAATGGGTTATGATTATGCTAGAGGTAAAGATGCAAGTAAAATTCTTAATTAAGCTCTTAAAAGATAGACTAATTTAAAAGCTGGATTAAGATTTGATGAATTAGAACCAAAAAATAAAAAAAAATAGTAATAATAGAATAATCTACAGAATTCAGTCAAAATACTACCTGTTGTTACTTTGGCTTAACCTACAAAATATATTGGATAGTTTAAGAATAAATGGTAGGATTTAAACCCTTATGAAAATTATGACAATTATGCTGTTACTGTTGCTGTACCTGGTTAATTAAAGAGGGATTAAGTTATTTAGCATTTTTTAAGAATAAATGAATGGATAATTTAGAGCTGGATTAAAATCTGGAGGTATTGCTTAGACAACTAATAAGAAACCTATTGTTAAAATTATAAATGATACCAATAATTAATCTAATTAGCAATAGAAGAAATAATGATTTTATTTATATTTTTATGTGATCATAAAATATTTAGAAGCAAACGTCTAGTTTTAGTTTATAATGTGAACATTTTGAAATAAATTAAAAAAGATTTTAATTTTTTCTTGAAACAATTATGGTAAAAACTATATCGATATCAATTTTAGGCAAGAGGACCAAAGAAACATATGAAAAGAATCACAGCACCTAAAAGTTGGATGCTTTCAAAATTAGGAGGAAATTGGACCATTAGACCATCATAAGGACCTCATAAATTAAGAGAATCAATTCCACTTTCTGTCATATTGCAACATAAATTGAAATATGCCTTGTATGCTAGAGATGCTACCATGATTCTTGCTGATAAGGATGGTAACATTAAGGTTGATGGAAAAGTGAGAACTGATAGTGGATATCCAGTTGGATTATAGGGTATCTACTTTTCATATCATCCTTATAGATGTCATTACAATTGATAAAACAAGAGAAAATTATAGAGTTTTATATGATGTTCAAGGCAAATTCATATTAAAATCCATCAAACCAGAAGAAGCTAAATTCAAGCTTGTTAAAGTTACCTAAAAGAAAGTTGGTCCAAACAATGTCCCATACATTGTCACAAATGATGCCAGAACAATCAGATATCCAAATCCAGATATCCATGTTAATGATACTCTTAAAATTGATTTAGAATCAGGAAAAGTTGTTGAATTCCTTAAAGAAGAACCAGGTATTATATATCTTATTATTCTTTTAAGGAAATTTATGTTACATTATTGGAGGTAACAATATTGGAAGAGTTGGACTTATTCAACATAGAGAAAGACATCTTGGATCATTTGATATTGTCCATGTTAAAGTAATAATTTTCTATCAACATATCATTAGGATTCTAATGGAAAACACTTCTCCACAAGAATTAACAATATCTTCACTATTGGTAAAGGCAAAAAGTCATTGATCTCCCTCCCAGAAGATAATGGTTTATATTTGACTGCACTTGAAAAAAAATAAGTCAAAGATCAATAATAAGTTGAAAAGTAATGATGATTCATTAAAACATATCAGTATAGTACAAAATTATATATTTTAATTATTAATCTTGAATATTTTTTGTATGTCTATCCAAATATTTATAATTGTTTATAAAAAATATAAATATTGTAGATATAATAAGTATTTTCAACATGATCTTTATACAATTAATTAATATATATATATTAAATCATTTCTTAGATCTTATCCAGAGTGTTATACCTAACACTAAAAATATTGAAAGTTCAGAAAATAAGAAATGACAGTAAGTTTCAATGAATCTAAATATTATAATATAATACTATTCTTGGTAGCATAAATAGAAGAAGAAACAAAGAAGACTAAATTAACTCATGAGTACAACAAACATTATCCACTTTTAATTTATAATTCTTTTAAATGTCTCATTTCCATTACTATAATATTTTGAACATTCAAAATTCAATTTTGATATTTAGTATAGTTCATTAATACCTAAATATAAGAATAATAGGCTGCCATTAAATAATATTAACCTAAATAAAACATTATTATTATAATTACTTCACAAATATTAATACTACAGTCATAAAACTTTCAAGTAATCTTAATGAATAAAAAATATTTAATAACATCAAGATTAATAAAGAAATCTTCATTATAATATTTGCAGAACACAATAATTTATTGTGCTCTCTAAAATTTTATGTACAAATCCAACAAAATTCATATTAACATTTACATGTCATATGATTACATCCTCCATTTTTAAAAATTCTTCTTTAACATTTAGGACAATCCTTAATTGTGATAAAATTCAAAAATATGCTTCTTAAATTCCATTTTTCATCTCTTAACTTGAATTAATATCCACATTCACATTCAAATTGTTAACAATTATTCTTTATTATTCCACCATATTAACAATCATTTCTTGGACATATTCTAATATCTTAAGTAGTTTTCATATATTTTTCAAGCAACAAATTATTCAATCCTCCCAAATTTTACATTAATCCTTATACTGTATGTTTGCTTTAACATGAACCAGGACAATGAATTTCCTCAATCACTTCATAATACTTTGCATCAATTGATTTTAACATACAGCATTAACAGATTTGACAACTGCATTACAAATCCAAAAGTTCTGTCGTATCACAACAAATAGAGCATTCCATTTTATTCAGAATAAAACAGAATATATAAAATATAAATTTTTTTTGCACTATTATAATTCAATTAAAAAACTCTGAAGATTTTTAGTTCTATCTATATATCAAGTATAAAACTTTCCAAAATTACGAGATTTAATTATTATCTTTTAAAGACAATCTTTAAGACAACATAAAATAAACTGAAAAAAAATAGCATTATTAAAATGAAAATATACTAATATATATTAAAAAAGATTTGTAATTTAATCCATTTCACAACTATTTGTTCAATAATTAAATAAAAGAATGCCACCATTCACTGATAAATTTTAAACTAGTGAATTTATGAGTCCTTTAAAAGTAGGTTCAAAAATTGAAATATATTAACAATTTAGAAAATTTTGGAAATACATTGTTCAAATTAATTATTTTGTTTATCTTGAAGTATTCTTCAAATAACAGCAATAATCATTCAATGTTTACAAATCAAAATAAAAGAATTAACTTAGAGGAGGAGGTATATGTAACTCTAAGAATTAAACTAAGCCTTAGAAGGCACTAGAAATCACACGAAAATTATAAGAACTTATTGAGATCAATACTCAATTAAATGATTAGAAAAAAATTATATCAATAAGAAACAATTTTTATGATGATATTGTAATTTATTCATGTTAAACAATCACTATTTTTCTTGAATTATTTTAATAACTGGAATTTCCTATACAATAGTATCATGAAACCTTTAAAATATTTAGTGATACCCTAAACGCTTTGAGATAGAATTTAGATAAATAATTACATAATTCATGGATATAAATGTTTGAGTTTTATTTTAAACTGTTACAATAAGTTTTATAAAACTTAGAATAATATAATAATCCAAAATATGAATCAAATTTATAGCTCTTAATGAGATATAACAAATAGGAATTAAATTAAAACATATGGAATGAATTAAAAATTCTACATTCTAATTTTAATCAGTACGAAACCTTTTATTTTTATTAAATATTCTAGAATAAATTAGTTTAAATGAGTAATTAAAACAATTTTGAAATCTGTCCAATTACATTTTTTATAGATTTCCTTAAAAATAATGATTAATTTATTTAGAAAAATAACTATAAGATAATTATAGCAGCATTATTTTTTTTGATGAATAGATTAAGTTTAGTAGAAGATTAAAAAAATTAAATAAAAAGCTTTATAAATAATCTTTTAAAAATAAAATATGATGATGAAATCTTTATTAATTTTTTTCTGAAATAAAAAGACTAAGGTTAATTAGAAATTCAAAAATGGTTAACAATTCATTTGGTTATTTTAGAATAAACTTTAAAAAATAATAAAGATGTTATTGATTATATTAATTCATCATATTTAATAATTAAAGGATATTAAGATGATGATTTTTTATAATATTTGAACAATATGAGAAATAGATAGGATTAAAAAAATATAATAAAAGAGAAAATCATAAATGTTGATGATTCATAATAAGTTCATTAACCAAAACCAATCGATTATAAATAATAGTTAGTTATTGTTCGTAAAAATGTAATAAAAGATAATTAATAATAATAAATTGATGAAACTTATGTATATCCTTACTTAAAAATCAAATCACTAATATAAATATAATAAATTCTTGATGAATAAATTCTCGATGAATAAATTTTCGATCCTTAAAAATTCACTAACTGGTTAGAATAGAAGGATTAAGATATAATTTGGATTAATGGGAAAATAAAGTCTGGTAAAACAACATTAGCTAAGAAGATAATTGATTATTTATGGGAGAAATCTAAAGGGATACCCATTTCAATTGATTTAACTAAAATTGAATAGATGGAAGATCCATAAGAATAATGTTTTTTAAAAAGCCCTCTTTTAGCCAAGCCATTTAACTTTTGTGATTGGTAGATTTAAAATTTTTTAAACGAAGAAGATAAGGAAAAGGTCTATATCTTTTTTGATTGTTATGATTAATTGAGTTTAGATTTTAAGAACAAAAACATAATTGAAATGCTTGGTTATAAAACTGGGAATCAAAATAAAAAATTCTTTATAATTTCTAGAGAATAAGTAAAAAACTTGCCAGCATTTAAAGATTACCATTAAAGAATTATTGAAATTGAAATAAAAGAATTTAATGAAGAATAGTAAAAAGAATATATTGTACTTACAATGAACAAATAAATCTTAGGCAATAATATTAATATTAGGTCAATTACTTAAATCATCAATATTAACATTGATGATGGTTAAATTTTGATTAATTAATAAGAACATTATTAATAGATTGAATTTTCATAAAATTAATAGGGTTAATAATTCAAAAAAGATTTATAAAAGATTTTATTAAATTTGAAATAATTAAACTTCCTGATGTAAAATACATTCGTTGGTTGCTTCTCATTTCATTATTAATTCAAACTTTTGATTAATCTAAGTTTATCTCTAAATCCTAAGAGTCAATAAAGATAATTATAGATCTCTTAAGGATAATCTATATACTAAATATCTAATTTTAAAAATTTAAGAGAAAAAAATTTTGAAAATAGAATTAATAGTAATTACTCTTCTTCAATAAGTTCATCTTCTTTAGAAAAGATTGATGAGAATTTTGAACCAATAGATATTGATAATACTTTTGATAGAAATATGTTTATAAAATGTATTTCAAATCCTTTGTTTACAAAATATGAATATCTCAATTCTCTTGTTGAATAATATATTCAAGATTCGATTCAAGAAAAGAATTTTGTTTGTTCAAAACACTCAATAACAAAGGAAAAAGTATTAAAATTTTAAATGAATATGATAATATCAATATAAAGTGATTATTGACTATACAAGAATAATAACTTTTGAACAATGAGCAATAAAATGAGAGCAATGAGTAAACTCTATAGATAAAAACTATAAAGAGGTTGTGTTTAATATAACCTATCGAAAAAAAAATCTTCAAATCTTTTTTTATAGCTAAAGTTATATATGAAGAAGTTATTGAATTTGGTAAAAATAATTCAACTTTACCTTGTTATCTTAATGAAGTAAATTTATGTAAGGAAAATTATTCAGGAGTAGTTTCTTTACTTTAAGAGTAATTCTCAAAAACATCTAATATAAGGTAAATACTAATTAATTTAATCAAATTATCCAAAGATAGGTAATATCATAGATCTTCCTCTAATAGTATTTATCTTTCGTCAATTCTTAAGCTAAATTTAGAAAGAGAAAATTTAGATGGAATATTTATATCTGATATAACTATCCATGGTTTAAGTTTATTTTAAGCAAGTTTATGTGATTCATATTGGGAAAACGTTGATGTGAGTTATTGTAATTTCAATTAAGCAAACTTATCTAATTCTAAATGGAATAAAATAACAGGAATAGAAGAACCTTAAATAATTACAGAAAATGGAATTACATAGTTATTATTTAAGGAAAAGAGTAATATAATTGGAATTTTAAAATCAGAATCTATATCTATATGGAATATCAATGAAAATCTAGAAATATACAATTCTAATAATAGTTAAATTAAAAGGAATTAATTTGATACATATAACTACATCAGCTTTTAAAGAGATTAATCAATAATTGCTGTTTCGATGGTATAAAATCAATAGGATTAAAATAATTCAATAAATTCATAAATTTCTATAATCGATTATGATAAAGATCAACTCATAAGCAAAATAACAAATGACCATAATTGTAATTCAATGTGTTTCTTAACTTCAAAATCAATATTATGTTATGTATCTTCAAATTCTAACTTGCATTTTTGGAATTATGAGAAAAATAATAATCCGAAAGAAATATAGAATGATTTTGAAATTACTACAAAAATAGCAACAAATTATGATGATACTAAAATAGTCTTATTAAATGATAAAAATAAAATTAGATTATGTAATTTAAAGAGGAGATAGGATTATACATAATATATTGAATTATGTAAAGAAATTAGTGCTAATAATTTTTATGTATCCGATTGCCATTAATTTTTGGCATTGCTCGTTTCAAATTAAGTTAAAATTTAAGATTGGAATTTTAATGAGATTAAAAAATTTTCAATGCAATCCAGAAATAATGAAATTAATTCAATTTAGTTAAACGAGGATTAGAATAGAGTAGCATTATATAAAAACAAAAAAATCTCATTTTATGCTATCTAATTTGAAACTAATTTATAAATCAACATTATAGATTCAGAAATTTAAAATGCTTAATATTCACCTGATGGATAAAATGTTGTAATATAATTATAAGATAAAACTTTATTTTATGATTATAATAAAGATACAATCTTTATTGAAATAGAGAAGGTGGAACATTTAGTATTCTCAGATGAATTTTTTGCTACAAGTTCTAATTAAGGTATTAAAATATATAAATTTCCAAAATGTGAACTAATAGGTTGGCTACCATTCAAAGCAAAATAATTAATCTTCAATTAAAAATCCTAATATTTGGCTATAATAAGTGAATAAATTTACATTTATGATATGAAAAAAATAATAAATCCAAAACTTCTAGATAATAAATATATTAATTTAAAACAAGAATCAAGTTTTATTATTGCTGTTTCAGCAAATAATTAAAATATGACAATAGCTTAAAATGGATAGATTTTATTTTATTAAGATTAGAAATATTAAATAGGAATTGAGAAACAAGATGAAAAAATTCTATATATGTGTTTTACTAAAGATAATTAATATTTAGCAATAAGAAGTAAAATAGGTTTTTAACATATCTTTCGAGTGATAAATTTTTATACTTAGGAAACAATTTAGGAGTGGACAGATGATGATTAAAATGAAAACAAAGAATTTTCGAATCAATTTGAATTTTTACAGATTTAGGATAAAATATATGTAATTTCAAATCAAAATGATCGATTAATCATTTAAGCTGTAACTTAATTATTCGGAGATAAACAAGAAAATGAAAATTAACAGAAAAATTAAACCATTAAATTGGAACCATATGATGAAAATAGTGCAATATTAAGTATGAGTTAATTATGCTATAATTTCTCGATTTCGCATGACTAATAATTAATTGCTTCATGTTTTTATCAAGATATAAATTAATCAGATAACTCTTCTATTATTATGATATGGAAATAAGGGGGTGAATCTTTATATTAATAGTGTTATCAATTTAAAAGTCCAGCTAATACAATGGTCAATTTCTCATAATATGATTATCTATTAATTCTTACTTTCATGAAATAATAGCAATCAATGATTCAGCTGATATGTATTTCAGATAATACTACATACTGTACAATTCCGTCTCAATAGGCTGTTTAATCAATAAAATATTCATCTAACCCACAAAATTTTATTGCAATGCATTCAAATTATAACTTTTCTCTCTATAAAATAACAGAAAGTAAGTAATTGGAATTATAATTATATTGTTAATAAACTGAAATACCAATTTATTTTACTTAAACTGGTTTGGATGTTATTTACATTTTTTAACAATAAATTTTTATTAGTAATGCAGCTAATTTGATTTATATTAATGAATTCTATTCGACTGGAATCGAATAAATTATTGATCAAAATACAGGTTTCTGTTATGTAGATACTATAACATATTTTAATAATCAAGATAAAAAAATTGTTAATTTTACAAATCAAATAAATAAAGAGATCTGTTACAATAATTAACCAAAGATGCCTGTTGTATCATCTTAATTTTCCTGCGATGGATAAATACTTTTATATATTTTTTAATTACAAAAACAAGAATAATAGTAATAAATCTTAAGAATTCTTTTAAAAAATGAAAATCAGTATGTTTAAGAAGAAGAACATTAATTTGATTCTAAAATTTATTCTTTTAAATTTTTAACAAACAAATCATTCATAGTTATATCAAAATAAATACTGATATATGAAATGTTTGATCTTAATTCTTCTTTTAAAAAATACATAATAGAATTACCTAATTTTCTATGTGATCAACAGCTCAAAACAATCAATGTACATCCAAATGGAAAGGATTTTCTTATTATAACCAATAGTGGTAAGCTATAACTTTATAGATTGTATTAAAAATAGATTAAAAATTAAAATGATAATTATAATTATGAGTACAATTTATATAAAACGTTTTCTGATAAAGACTAATTTGAAGCTAAAGGTTGTATCATAACTGGATTAGATGCTAGCGAGAACATCTAAAACCTTTTGTATTTAAAAGGAGCTAAAAGTGAAAATATAACTACTTGATTTATTTATATTGTGGGAAAATCTTTCTACGATTACATTTATAAACTCAATATTTTTCTTCATTTTAATATCTTATTTAAATTGTAGAATTACTCTAAAATACTACTACACCATAATTTTTGAGTTCATACTTATCTTCTCTTTTTTAAATATTTTATTAAACTTTATCTTAAACTATAAGCTTTTCAACTTAAAATAATAGGTAATAATCTTACTGTTAAATTTTAATTGGTATATATTAGAATTCAAATATATCCAAATTCTAATTTGACAATTAAGATTGTACCTTTTATCGAAAGTATTTCCTAAAACTGGTATACAGATTTAAGTAAAATTCTTTCTTTCATTCAAGTATAGTAATGTATTTACAAAACTTATATTTATAATAAATTGATTGATTTAGAGATTAAAAACAAATTTTTTAGTCTACCTTTACTACATAGAATATATAATTTATTTAATTGATTATATTATAGAGAAATGGAATTATTTATATAAATTAAATTTGCTAGTAAATCATAGATGTAATCCATAATATTGTATGATTAATTTTAATAATATAGTTATATAATATTATTGATACCATGATAAATTTTAATTTTGAATTAATCATAGGATCTTCTAATATTGATGATAAATAAGATTAAAATATATTTTTTATGCTTTATATATAATTCTATATAAAATATTGATTTTGATTTTAGGATTATCTAGGGATTCAACCTTGTAATATACGGTTCCAATATAAATCTCAATGATAAGAAATGAATTTAAATGTCTTGAGAATCCTATTTAATTAATTACTCAGTAATTATTGTTTTGATGAAAACACAATAAAAGAGAAATTATTTATTTATATTTTTCAATCCTTCAAAAATAAATCACAATTCATTTATAATTACGAGGATTTACTTAGGAATTTATTTATATGATAATACTCATTATTAAAAATAATTATTTATTAATGATCGTATTGATGATTTCATTGATGTAATATGCATTAACATATGAGCTTGATGTAAATACATTCTCAAATTATTTGGATGTCTAAAATAGGCATTTGCATCTAGAATGGTTATTAAATATGGACAAAAAATATATCAATGCTACTTCAACTTATAAATTTTAAGTTATTGGTCGTTCAATTAATAAAGTATGAAATTTGATGTATTATAGATAACTTTGGATATCTATAAGTTAAATATTTATTCAACATATCTTTACAATGGACTATCACTTCAACATACAATTGACAATCCTTATGCAGACTCTGATCAAGGCTAGCGATTGAATATTCAATTAGATAAGACTTACTATAAAGGATAATATATAGAATTATCTATAAAATACTCTATTGATTCAAGATCTAGATCAATTAGTTTTATGACAAAAGAGTAAACATCAACTAAAAGTACTAATCATTTAAAATAGAAAAGCCATGCCCTATTTATTTTCATAATGTGAAGATGCAAACTGTAGAGCTTTGGCTCCTTTATAAGATACTCCTTCAGTTAAATAAACTTACACTGCAACAGTGATATTTAAAGATACAGAAGCTGCAGATGTATTTATGTCAGCAGATGAAAGTAAAGAAGAATTCCAAGTTCTTTATAGACCTTAAGATTAAGCTGGTTTTACATGGAAATATAAATATTTTATTTAAAAAGTTCCAATTCCTAGTTATTTGATTGCAATAGTTGCAGGTAATATTAAGAAAGTACCAACAAGTACTGGAGGTAGAACATTTTTGGTGAGTGAGCCTGACAAAATATAAGCATACACAGATGAACTTAGGGAAATGGAAAAATTTATGTAGGCCATTGAACAATATATTGGTCCATACACTTGGGGAACATACACTTTAGTAATTTAACCACCATCCTTTCCTATTGGAGGTATGGAGAATCCCCTTTTAACATTTGCTAATCCTACAATAATGACTGGTACTGGAAGTGGATTAGATGTAACTATTCATGAGATGGCGCATTCATGGTTTGGTAACACCATAACATGTGTTAATTGGGCTAATATGTGGATTAATGAAGGATTTACAGTATTTCTTGAAAGGAAAGCATCATTATTCCACTATAATATTCCTGATGATATTAAATTAAATGCTATAATTGGAAATACATCAATGTATTAAGATATGCTTGGCTTTGGTCTTGATAGTAATTTTTCATCTCTTCATCCTGATACTACTGGACTTAATCCAGATGATTCATTCAGCAAAATCCCTTATGAAAAAGGATATTAGTTTCTAACTTATTTAGAATCAATAGTTGGAGAAGTAGATTTTCAGTAGATGCTTAGAGCATATTTGGTTTAATATAAATATTAATCAATTGATCAACAAGAATTCCAAAACTTTTTACTTAGATACCTATATGAATAAGGTGTTGATGATTATTCTACGAAGAGATACAAAATCTTAGAAAATTGGAATAAATGGGTTTATTCCCCAGGTTTACCTCCAGTAATATTAGATTTTTCAACTGTAAAACTCACTGAAGCTTATGATTATACTTAATCCTACATTACTGCTGATGGCAAATAGCCAACTAAATGGTAAGATTATATTAATTTTTTACATTCCTAAAAATAAGTTTTCTTAGAAGATCTATTTAAATAAGCATAGAATAATTTATTGAAATTAAATGTTATTGAATAAATTGATAAGGATTTAAAATTAACAGAAGAGAAGGATTTTGAATTGAAATTTAGATGGTTTAGAGCAATTTTAACAGCTGGAGATAAAACTAGATTAACATAAATTTCAGATTTCTTAGGATCTGTTGGAAGAGGCAAGATGGTCTATCCAGTATATAGAGCTTTAAATTTATTAGATCAGTATTATTTATAATTATCATAGTGATTTTGCTGTTTAAACATTCAAAACTCATGAAGCATTCTATCATCCAATAGCAAAAAATAATATAAAGAATATCCTAGGATTGAAAGAGATCAGTATTTAATGAATATAATTATGAGATAATTTAATAAATTCTTGCATATTTTATGATATTTAAATAATTTTAAACTTATTAGATTGAATTTATTATACATAATTAAATATCTAATTTTATGTTTTAATAACAATCTATTAATTATATATTTTTAAAGATAGTTAATATTGTTGAAACATAATTTAGATATGAAAGATATAATAATTAATAGGATTAAACTTATTAAAATTAAATCATTAAATTTATTAAAAGTATTCTAGAATTGTATATATATTTATGAATGAGTAAAATGAATAAAAAAAGCATACAATAAAAGAAAATCGAATTCACAACAGTTCGTAAACAATATCTAATAATTTCAAAAGTAAAATAAAAATTTTATATCATAAATGTAATATTGTCATATGAAAACCTCTTTCAAAAAAGATTACTACTTTATTAAAGAATTTTTAAGCTTTATCATCTACAATTATTCAATTTTCTAATTTAAAATTTGATTAATAGAATCCTATAGAGTCTACTATGAAAATATTTATTATATTTATATCTAATTAATTCAATAAATAAAATTAAATATGAAAAGACATAGTATAGGAAAAAAATTTCGCAAAATAAAAGCTTTGAAGAAGGCTGATCCTCAAGCAATTATTCCTGAAGCTCCTGAATAATTATAGAAATATATTTAAGAACTTACTTCAAAAGGATTAAAGATCAATAAAGTTTAGTATGCAATGTTCTAAACAAAAAATGGGTTAAGTTATCCTGGTCTGATTGGTATTTACAAAATTTTATTATAGCTACGGAGCCAATTATGCCAAAAGATACTCTGGTTTCTCTCCCAAAAGAATTATTATTAACAACTCTACATGCATTTGAATCTCCTTTAAAACAAATTTTTGTGGAATACCCATAGTTGTTTAGTCCTAAATTCCTTCCTTAATGGGAAGATTATTAATTTCTTGCATATTTACTCTATGAATATTAGAGAGGTCCTGAGTCAAAATGGCATTTACTGATTTCTAATTTACCTAGAGATATTGATTACGCAGTATTTTGGAGACCAGAAGATTAAGCATTTTTAGAAGATAAATATTTAGTCAAATTGGCCAAAAAATAACATTAAGATTTTATGGTTGCCTTTAATACTCTCAAATATATTACAGATAAATATAGAAATCTTTTTAAACCAGGGACAGTAACATTAGAAAATGCAATCTGGCTTTACACACATATTGTCTCAAGGTCATTTGGAGGCTAAGGATTGAAATATGTAACTATGGTTCCATTCTGTGAATTATTTAATCATGAACAAGTTGATGTCTGTTATGATTTATCGTACAAAGACAGATCTTCAAATTATGATGATGTATTCATGTCTAAGAAAATAGTAAAAGGATAAGAGGATGTTGATGTTGATGATTTGTCTCTTTCTTCTTCTGATAATTCTTAAGGTTCAGAGGATGATATAAGTGATTCTGAATTTGTCATGGGTGATTATGATGAATATTAAGAATTTGATTTCGATTCTTATAAGAATTCTTCTTTTAGAAATTTTCATGAAAATTTAAGGAGGATGTCTGAAATAAAGCCATTACCTAATGAAGAACAAGAAGAATTCTATTAAAGAGTTTAAAATCAATAATAATTTTTGAATAAATTTAGGAAAGAGTTTAATATTAAATTAAATATCTAAAGAGATGTTTTTCAATTAGCTATTGATTGTAAATCATTTTTATTTAAAAATATTGATTTTGGTGATAATTATTCAATCTTCTTTTTAGGATAAGTATTCTAAGTTTTGGATGCAACAATCCATGATTTTTTTAAGGAAGATAAATCTTCAGCTATAGCTAGAGAAGATATCAAGAAAGTTCATATAACTTGCACTGTTTATAAGGATTATTTATATGGATTTTTAAATAATGTTATGAAACAGCCAATATAACAAAAAATCAATTTGTTTGCTCAAAAAATTGGTAGAAGACTAACAAGAGGATTTGAAACTGTTGAATAAGTATTATCTCAACCTGTTGATCGTAGATGTGAATTTTATAAATCTGATTGGGAAAGAGACAAATTTGTAAATTTTCACATGAGAACCAGAGATCCTTTTGAAAAGGGATCTTAAGTATACTTCTGTTATAGTAGATTGTCAAATAGATAAATGCTTTTGAAATATGGTATGGCTTTGGAATACAATAAATATGATAGCACATTTTTAAGGGTTGAATATTTAAAATATCTAAAAAATAAGGAAGCTATTTGGATAGTTCATAGATTTAAACTTAATAAATTCAAAAGATTTAAATTAAAATTTACTGTTCCCCCTTATGGCTTAATAGTATTTTGTAAATCAGTAAATTGGTAAATTATAAATAATATCCATTCTGTAGGACTTTATATGAAAATTCTATTGATACTTTATTTAAAATAAACGATTTAAAATTAGAAAGGAAAGCATTATTGCTAGCTCGACAAATTCTAGTGGAGGAGAACTCTAAATTTAAAGATACAATTGAAGAATTAGAGAAATAATTATATGACTAAAGTGTAGGATATCATGAATATTTTGCAATAGTTTATAGATTAGAAAGACTTAGATTATATCGTTATAATATTAAGTAATTTTATTTATTATTGAAGTTTAATCAATATTTGCATTGTTGTTCTTGATAAAATTATGAATGGAGTTCCATTTTTAGAAGCAATATAAAAAACAGAATATGATAATGAATTTTACGAAACAAATCGTAATGTATTAAATACGTATTTTGAATAAATGAGATCAACGAAATAATTATCAAAATGAACTTAATTTATTGTTTAAAGTTTTATAAATGTGCTTTACAAATAATCTAAACATTAAAATAAACATAATGAATGAAAATTTAAATAATAAAAGGTAAAAATTGGAAACAATAATAAAGATGACAATAGAATGTAAAGAATAAGTAGAGATTTATCATCTTTATTTCATTTGAATGGTTAAAATACCTGCACCTAAATTTAACAAAATCTTTTGTTTAATAAACATAAGTCTTAATTTTATTATATTTTATTAATATTTATAACCAAATTTTTATTATTCTAACCAATATTTTTCAAAGAATTGTAGGATATATACTACCTTCCGTTCAACTAGTAATATTAATATGACTAACTTCAATGCTACTAATTTAATCTTAAATATAATTTAAACTTTATTTGCATAATGCAAATTCAAAAAACAAATTATAACCTAAGAATAAAATAAAATTTGATGAATAATGTAATATTTAATTTTTGTTGTTTAAATGTAATAAATTTCAGCCAATGTTTAAAAATAGCTTTAAGTCTTTTACTAACTGCCAATCATCCAATGTTAATTCTTCTCTGTAATGCTCTTTTAATATATCAATGGCTCTTCTTGTAATCTAAGAAAATGATGTCAATAATTACCAAACTTGCTAATTTTGTTTCTAAAGTTATTTGCTTACCTGCCTATATGGCTTAATTTGTTCCTATTCTTAAGGCTACTGCTCCTGTTGTAGCTCTGGCTTCTTTCAAACTCTTATGATTTAATTCAATAGTCTCAACAATTCCAATCTTATTTTTATTACTATTTTAATCATAAATGCATATAGGAGTTCCAGTTTTTAATATTCCTTATTCAACTTCAACTCCTAAAATCAAAGGTTCCTTTGCATTGATAATTCGTACTATCTATATTAATTTTAGAGAGATTTAATACTTTTAATAATGAGGGGAATACAACATCAGCTGCTTCTTTCTTCTTTCTTTCTTCTTTAACCTACTTTATAAATTCAGTAAACTTAGTAAATAAATGATAGATGATATTTGCTTCAAAAATCTTGATTTAATTTTCTTCAGCAAATTTTTAAGCATCTGGCAATATTTTAACATCGAAAACTAACATACAAGCATATCTACAAATAACAAATATAAATATACTCTTTCTTTCTTCTATTTACATCCTCCAACAATACATTTTTCAAGGCTTTCATAACATCATCCTTAGATACTGGCCCTACACTAACATATGAAACAGGAATTTCTTAACTATTCAAATACTATAGAAGAGCTTCTAATGAACCCAAAGTAGATGCTGCAACTCCCACTCCTTGATTTTATAATTTTATGTATTTTTTAACTTCCTCCATTTCATTATTTATTATTTATGTTGCCTTCTCAATATCATCTTAGGAATTAGCCAAATACATTTAAGATCCTGCCATAGCATCTTCCAAACCAACAGCAGATATCTTTAAACCCATAGATGCATATATGACATCATGATGAATATACTCTCCTTTAACTCTCATTTCTTTCATTGGATGAGGTGTCAAAAGTGCTCTAACTTTAGTTACTATAGGACCTTAGAAACCTGCCAATATAATTTTGTCATCCTTTTTTATTTAACCATCAATCAAAAGGCAATCTATCGTAGTACCATGTCCTTCAGTAACTTTCTTCTCTAAAACAGTACAATTGAATTATTCCTTAACTTTAATTTTATTCTTCATATAAACTGATGTATATTTAACAATAACTGACAACAAATCAGGAATACCTTCTCCAGTGAATCCAGATGTAGGTACAACTGAAATATAAGTTTTAGGATCTTCATTCTCCCAATAAAAAGCCACATTAAATCCTTTCTCAGCTAATTATGTAACTACCTATTGTCTTTTGGTTTCATAATCCATTTTACAATTTTTCGTTTAATTTTATAATTAATGATATGAGGAGGCATTTTTCTTATTTTTCCATTCAACGCATCTATCTATTTTGTTCAATGCAATAATAAATGGAGTTTTTCTAATCTTCAGTAATTCTAAGGATTCCAAAGTTTAATTTTCTAAACCATGCATTAAATCAATAACCAAAATCGCTAAATCACATAATGAAGACCCTCTAGTTCTTAGGTTGGAAAATGATTCATGTCCAGGTGTATCAATAATTAATAATCCAGGGATATTGCAATCTACTTAATAAAACTATTATGTTTTTATTAGCTCCTCTTTCAATTTTTTTGCTGGAAAGAAGGTAGCACCAATTTATTATGTAATACCACCTGCTTCACCCTCTTACACATTAGTATTTCTAATCTTGTCTAAAAGTGTTGTCTTACCTGTATCAACATGTCCTAAAATACAACAAATAGGAGATCTTAATTCACCCACAGGTTTGTATAAATCTAATATTTCTTTCTTTGTTGTTGAAGAATAAGATTATTATTGATTTTATTATTCTTATTACTTTTTTTAAGCTTCGACTTATTACTTTTCTTATTTCTCCTTTTCTTATTAAAGTTGTTCTACTTCTCCTTCCTCAACAAATTATTCCCAACTTTCTATTTCTTCAGCTTCATTTTTTTAAGTGATCACTTCCTCTTTTGATTTTTATTATTACTAAGGTTATTATTGAATTTATTTTGCTACTTATTATTGTTTTTCAGGTTATTTTTCTTGCTACTTTTCTTCTACTTTTTATTCAGGTTATATATTTTCTGTTTGCTTTTATACAGTTGGCTCTGCTTAATTATTTTATTAACCTGGTTTTTTTTTATTCTTTTTAACAACGTTCGATGTATTACCTGCATCTTCCAACTTAATTCCTAATTATTCTCTCATAAACTTAATTTTCTCCTCTTCTTCAAGTTGTTTTTTTGTTTTAAATACTCCTTTCTTTATTAATTCTTCTTTCTTTCTTTTCTTTTCTGCTGCTTTATCTTCTTATTCTTTCTTTCTACGTTCTTCTTCTTCCTTTTCTTATCTTATTCTTTCCTCTTCTTCTCTTCTTAATCTTTCTTCCTCTTCTCTAATTCTTCTTTACTCTTCTTCCTTTATCTTCTACATTTCAAGTGCTTTCAATGCTGCAGCATTTGGCTTTTTTCCTGGTTTCTCTGGTTTTTTCTCAGGTACTTATGCTTATTGTTATTGTTGTTATTATTCTGGTTAATTTTTTTTCTTTTCAGCTTATTTAGCTTTTTTTTCTTTCTTTTTTTCAGCCTTCTTTTTTGCTTCTTCATCCAATTCTTATTCTTGGGTTGCTTTTTATGCTAGTAATTTATCTAATTCATCATCGGAATCATCCTTTTTATTTTTATTTTTTTTTGTTTCCTATTTGACATTTTTAGATTCTTTTATCTCTTAAGCCCCTTTTTCTTCTACTTCATTTTCTTCTTTTATTTACAAGAACTTAGAACCTTGATTTTAAGATTCTTGATCTGATCCTTCTGATTCTGATTGTAAAAATTTCGACATTATTTAATTATTGTTTTAGAATCACATATTTAAATTGTTTTAATTCTTTAATAATTAGGGAAATTCTTTTAATTATTTATCATTAGAGAAATTTCAAAATTTGTCATCTGTTCATAACTCTCACATCATTTTATAGACATACATTTCAATCTTTTCACCTTTTGTTTAAAAATGTTCATCCCTATACGCTTAGTTCTTATTTAGAATACATCTCTTTCAAACAATCAGGAATTAAAGTTATCAATTTCATTTACATACTTACAGTCCAATAATCCAAAAAATAATTAAAAACACCTTTAAGGTGTTGTTGGTAATGATGTTTCATTTTATTTAAATTTTTAATTTTTCAATCAAAATATTTATTATACCTATAATTTAAGGCAACGATTTAATAAAATGATGCCATTAAGTATGATGAAGTGTAGTAAGAATTAAGTAGGCCTATTAGAGACTCATCATCTATTATTTCTTTTCATCCAAAACTTACTATTTATTTTTAAGAATAACTAAGACACTTAAAGAGTTATCAACTAATAATTTCTAGTTTATGATTATTTTGATATTTTTAAGAAGTTTTTATAATCTAATAATTATTTATTTTTATAGAAAACATATATTTAGATACCTTTAAAGCCTAAAATACTTATATTCATACCTTGATTGTTATTCATATGAGGTTATTCTTAAGTGAGAATAGATAAAAGGCTCATAGTAAAAGAATAGTAGTTATAGTAAATAAATTAGTTTTATTTCTTCATGCTATCTTAGACTTAGTATTTTGATAGAAATGATATTAAACTAATCACTCTCCTGCTAGAATAACAGAGAATAAATTTGAGTTATCTTAAGAGAAATCAGATTGTGATATTCATCCAGAATATCCTGAAAATTCTTGTATTGTTTTTTCATCATTTTTCATCTCCATACCTTTTAAATAATCATATTAATTATAGCACCATTTTATATTTTTGAAAAAGATCACTATTTATGATGTTTAAACATCTCAGCACTTATTGTCCAAAAACCCTCTATATAATGCTGAATTAAAAACATTAATATATTCCTCTCTACCTATCCATAATAACATTAATTATTAATTATTATACGATACTAAATAATTTGTATTGATTGATAAAAGTAAAATATTGCTCCTTTTAATTTAAAAATTTTTTTTTTCAATTCATCTTTTCATTAATATCAAATAAATATTTTAATAATCCAATTATTTCCAAAATTTGTTTTAAAAATATTTATATAATCATCATTTTTATTAAGAAGATTTGTTGTCAAATAATTTTATGCAAAATTAAAGATATAGTTTAGAAAAAAAAAAATCTAAGATTTAGAATTGGAAAGAGGCTGTGACCAAACTTTCAATTGTTGAATATGTCAGAGATTATGAATGAAAGATGGGTTCTATGTTGATTTTATATATAGAGTAGGAAATAAATTCATCAAAATTTCAATAACAATAAAGTAATAAATAAAAGGAATATATATGTTTTGGAGTAATTATAATAATTGATAATTTAAGACTTAAAATTAACCTAAATGATGAATTACACATTATAATTCAATTAATAATGGAGATTAAGTGTTTTATCAAATAAGAGAACATTTAGTATTTTTTTAGTGAGGGATGCTAAATAGATTCTAAATACAAGAAGAAGTATGTACAATACTTTAAATTAGACTAGAGAAGAGGAAGGTTAATAACTATTATAAAACAAATAGCGAAAACAATTTAAATACATAATTGAAAGAGGGTAATTATTTATCTGAAATTAAAAAATGAATTTAGTTTTGATATTCACAGGAAAAATATGATTTTATTTGAGAAGAGATTTTAAATATAATGATGTCAAAGGTTTCAATAGATGTCAACCTGAGATAACAAAATTTACTAAAAACTAGGTTAAGTTTACTAATTCTCATACTGCAGTCCCAATCATTCAATTATTTGCAAACTGGAATATTCATTTAGATTTCTAAATAAATTGTCTTAGCAATTATTCTAATCTAAATTT